CAACCTCTTTCCACCCGCAAACCGATGGTCAGACAGAAAGAATCAATCAGATTCTCGAAACATATCTCCGTTGTTATGTGAACTACGATCAGAACAATTGGGTAACATTGTTACCAATGGCCCAATTCGCATACAACAGTGCAGTTGGCGAAAGCACAAGAGAATCTCCGTTCTACCTGAACTACGGATTCCAGCCAACAGCGTATGGAGAAGCACGACAAGGACCACAAGCTGTGAAAGCAGTAGCAGACGTGGCGAAACTCAAGAAAATCCAAGAAAAAGCGTCCTTGGATCTCGAGTTCGTGCGCCAACGTATGAAGAAAAACGCGGATAGATCAAGGATTGGAGGACCAACCTTAGAAGAGGGAGATAGCGCCTATCTTCTTCGCCGCAACATCAAAACGAAACGACCAAGCGACAAATTGGACTACAAAAAACTTGGACCTTTCGAAATCATTCAGAAAGTCTCAAACGTCAATTACAAATTGAGACTCCCAGACACAATGAAGTGTCATCCAGTCTTTCACATTTCACTTCTTGAACCAGCACCCAAGGGTTCGCACACAGAAGACCACATCATCGTGGAACCAAACGAACCAGAATACGAAGTCGAACGAATCATCGACCACAGGGTCAGGAATGAAACACGAGAATTCCTGATCAAATGGAAAAACTACGGACACGAGGAAAATACATGGGAACCCATCACGAACCTCCAGAACTCCCGGCAACTCCTTGAGGACTATCGGAAGACTGCACCAACGGACCCAAAGACGAGAACTCATCGCCAATCCCGAAAGTAGACCAGTCCACATCATTTGGAACTTGCATAAACTGCAACTCCTCGACCATTCCACGCTCATGAGCATCCAACGCGGACTCCAGAGCGTCAGATTCATCCATCTCTTGCATTCCACGACGAAAGGTCTCGGCTTGACGCTCACGCACCAACCTCCGAGTTTTCCGAATGCGGGACAAACGACCAGCGGCAGTAGCCATCAACGACTGAAGACGGGCCAACTCCTCATGAAGCTTCAATAGCTCCTCACCCGCCTTCTCCTCCCTTTCATCCCATTCTCTCTGCTGGGCATTGAGTTTTTGAACTACGAAAGAACGTTAGAAGATACAAAAAAAGGTGACGAATGAACTCACGAGTCGAAGCCACCAACACCCCGTCGCAAGACTTCTTCGCCTCAACACAAGTCCGACAACGAGAAGAACCTTCACCAAACCGACACGGGACCTTCGCACGGAAACAACGAGTGCAAGGCATATCGGCGACAACCGAACGAGCTTCGATAAATTCTAAAAGAGCAAGGCGCTCACGATCCTTTATCTCTGTCTTTCTGGACTTTGCTTTGGAATTCGATTTTTCAATTCGACCTGACATTGTGTCAGCACATTTCGACGAAACACTTGACGATTCCCCAACCTGGGAATGGACGACCTACTTATAGGCCTAGAGGACTAGACCTTTGAGAGGAGGAGCTGATGTTACGACCCAACACATATGACGAGGCCAGGGTCTCGCCCCACAAGGCCTGCGGCGGCTACCACACCATATATGCGGAGGAACGGATTCAGGGTGACTCCTCTCGGGTCGGAAGAACTATGGACAAGTCACGTGATGATAAGAAGGACCGACGGACGATAAGCGGTCCATGGACAGGACCGACGAGACAAAGGCGGTCCACCCCTGTAGGACCGACATCGTGATATCGGTCCCAACCACAAAGGAACTGTTCAGATAGTATACGGGACTTGTATATAGGATGGACTTGAGCCGGGCTCAAGGACAGACTTTCCATAGCTTCTTCAGCAATCAACTTAGTATCAGATCTTGCGATCACTTTCAGCTATCTTCACTGAGAACCCTTCTGACAAGACTACGATTGATCACCGAAGCCTTACCTACCTCACGACTTACAGACATAGCTTCAGGGAAGCTATCCACGACTACGACACGCTGTTTATTAGTATCGCAGCCTTAACTTCTGCAAACATACTCACTACGACTAGCTGGCCGTAACAGAAGTGGTCCTTAGTAGTATGAGGTAGGGTGTGATGTGGTGCTGACGTAATAGTGTAAGGATGGAATCTATTTTATAGAAAGAAGCGATATTTATTATTAATAGGTACTTATCTCCTTTAGTTAGCGCTATTAATTCCTTTTTAATCTATTTTTTAAATAAGTACTTATTGTTATAGGTAGTCTTGTTGAACTTAATTATTACTCCTTTTGTATATAATAGGCCCTTTTTTTTTATAATTAACCCCCTTCCTTTACGGGCTTATTATGGAATATTATTTTTAGTTTAATTTATTGTATGCTATTAATGAAGATATAGAGTATTAATATGGCCTGCCGCTTGCCCTAACCGCTACGGTCGCTCTTACTAGTTATAATTTTGGCCCCGACGTTATTGTATATATAACTGTCTAGGTATTTGAAAGGAACTGGGGTTTTATTAAGGTTGAGAATTTATAAGTTAGGAAATTGATGGGCTGGACTTCTAAGTAAATCTCTGATATTAAACCGCTTTACCTTAGCTAGGGTTATTTAATTAACTCGTTAGATAAAAGAAAGAAAGCTATTAATAATTTTAAAGTACTTAGTGGGTAACTTTATTACCTATTTGGTAAGTTAACGTTAGGTAATTTTTATATGATTTTAGAAGCTATAAAACTAACCGGGGGAAAAAATAAAAAGATATTTGCTGTTCGGGTTTTGCTAGGCGAAAATCTGCTTAATAGTCCTTTTAAACTAACTAGTATTAACGAGCTTTTTTTTATTTCGTTATTAACAGAAGGTATTATATAGTGCTGTTTCGAGCTCTAGCTATTAAGGGTAATAAGTATAGTTAGAGGACCGATTAATGATTAATTTATGGTTTTAATATTAGGAGATAATCGTGCTTTGAGGGACTTTGAATTAATCTGCGGCTTCCTGGTATATAGGACGTTTATATATCCTTAGGAGCTCGGTTTTGCCCTGGCGTAGCCTTAGGGGGCAAATCGACTTTTTGTCGAGCTTTTTTACGTAGTGATGCTTTAAAAATATCAGGATATTAACTTTAGTATTGTGGGTATAGTGGTGCTGGCGGTACTTGATTGGGCTATTTTGCAGTATATATTTCTGGTCTTTGATGGGGGTAGGAGTAGGCCTATAGCGTTTAGTTGCTAGAGGTATAATTGGTACTTTTGCCGTATTTAAATCCTTCTCGGTAAGGGCCCGTTGTGAGGGTATCGTGGGTACGTTGACGAGGCCCGTGGTGGAGGTATAATTAGAGGTATAATTGATAGTATAATTGGTGGTCAAATTGGTAATGTAATCGGTGGAAGTGGGTAGTTAGGTAGGAGTAAAAAATGGAAAATAATCACTTACCGCTTTCCGTATACGGTTTAGTCGATTATATAATCGGATAAAACTGATCCCTCGAAAGGGCTTAGTGTGGGCCGCTAGCAGGGCTGGCACGGGCTAGCGCAAGTTCGAGTTGCTCGAGTTTCTACGGTAAATAGCGAGGAGGAGGGGGGGCCCAGTCGAAGCTACCTACCTAGGCCGAATTGTTAGCCCCAGGAACCCTGCCCCTCAATGTACCATCGCGGCCTTCTTAAGTAGTTTACCCTGATCTTATTACAGAGTACGTAGGTACATCACGGACCTTGTGCCTGAGAAAGGCCGTCGACCTCACACCAAGAGTCCAGGACGAGCAATTCCCATCCATCCATCTGCAAGTCCACCCACGCTAGGTACCGTACCTACATGACATGGTACAATGCACTGCACCGCATGCTCTATCAGTCTCTAGACTCTCGCTGTAGGCCCAGGGCCTCCATCTCGCGCTGCTCTCTGGGGACTGCCAGGGCTGGAGGTATAGGTACAGGTACAGGTACCAGGTCCAGGTTTAGCCGAACAAAGAAAAGGGAAAACGTACAGAGGTCCCCACCAGCGAGACGTCTCTTCTGCTACTTTCTCTCTCTTCCCCTTCCACGTCCCTCTTCCTCCCCGTCAGTCACGTCTTGCACACACACACACTCTCCTTCTCTCGACTGTGACTGCAAAGGTATATACTTCGTCCCTTCCCCATTTTCCGCCCTCCTTGCCAGACGCAGTATACCGTGCTGGCGGGCGCTCCCGACAAGACAAACCCAAACCTCTCCCGTCTACCGTCTTTCTTTGTCGACTTGATTCTCGGATAGGGAAGCGGAAGCCCGTCTTTTCCAATTGCGGCCCTGAATCAAACGGCGCAGACCAACGACCGCTACCAAAGGGGGGGAACGTGACGCTACTTTTACTCTCTCATCTTACCTAAGGGTAGGCTAGTAGGTCTCCAACACCAGTCGACTAATTCTTGTTGCGACCGAGACAAGACGACGCATCATCCCATCCCACACACACACACACACACACACACACACACACACACACCGACGCCAGCGAAAGGGGAAAAAAAAAAAGAGGATAGGAGAGCCACGCCATCCTCCTGCCATCTCCAAAACATACCGGGACCTGTCGAACCTTGAACTTGCGACGACGCGCGAACCTGCCGCAAACCTGCACCTGCATCTACCCTACCTACACACGCATCTGCCCAGCAACCCAATTCCTGCTGAACTCCGACGTCCTCGAACTTACTTCCCCCTTTGGCCATTCTCTGGATTGCAGATTATCCGTCCTTTCGTCGCCAACTCTCACACCATCATTTTTCGACACCCTGCAATCATGCATGTTCAGCCTGCTTTCCATCCGACCCAGCATTGTTGATACAACCATTTGAAACACCCTGCCAGGCTTCCCAGGTCCTTGTGTGACAACCCGCCACAGCCACATACCCGGGACCGACCTCTGCCTTCTTGTTCGCTTTCCTGTTGGCATTACCAGTCACACGGGTGGATCCCAGATCCTCATCGCCTATACCGTCCCTATTCTGATATCACCTTTCCAATTCTTAAAATATACTTCACGCCCAGCCCTCTCCTACATTACGAGGTGCTCCACGATTTGACGATTCGCGCACTCCGATTCGAACGACCCGCCGACCACTTCACCCTTCGACGGCACGTTTGCCTCCCCCCGCTGCCGACCTCACCTGATTGCGCAGTCTTGGACGCGGCGCTTTCCTAATGTTCAGTCGGTCTCGGAAGGGTTCGAAAGGGTTCGGCTTTGGATCTTCAAGCACCAAAGACAGTCAGGTTAACCACCTCCTCGATCTTGGTCTTGTGAGCCCCAAGGCCATACAAGACCCCTACCGTCCTGGTACCGCCACCACAACAAGGACAAACAACACTTGGACGGATGCGCCGTCCTTCCCAGAAAAGAGTACGTATGCTCCCAATTTGACTCCGGCCTGTGACTGCTTGAGCGCCGCGAATTGACTTTCCGTCTGAATGACCGACTGTTAATCACTTTGCTTTTGACGTCCAATCTTTCTAAAAAAGTTACTCTTGCTAATCAAGCTACACACAGACGTCTCAATAGCTCGCGGCACAGGACAGCGCTCCAACGCGTCAGTTCGATCCGGAGATAGCGCGCATCGAAGAGGCGACAGCTACTCATCCAACAACATGGCATCCGGCGCCGGCCGCAACAGGAGGGAGCGCACCTTTGTAGGAAGCGAATGCGCGGTATGTGAGGAGCCACTGGAGCACACCCTGCGAGGAGAGCGCATACTACAATTCTCGTGCTCGCACGTATCTCACGAAGCGTGCTTCTACGAGTTCATTCGCGAATTCGAGTCGCAATACTGCCCCTCGTGCGATGCGCCGCTCCATCTCGACACTAGCCGGGGCGGCAATGTCTTGGATATTGGTAAGCGCACTCGCATGTCCTGCTCGCCTGAGACACGGCTAACTCTTTTGCAGAAAAAATCAGCAACCTCGTTCGATCTGTCTCATCAACCGACACTAGGTCAAATCACACCCCTACGCCCACGGCCACGCCATGGGACAACCCAACGCCCACTCCGCGCCCCACCAGCATCGAGTCGAACCAGCGAAACATGGCCAGCACCCACACCCGTGAAAGCGCGCCCCGAAGCACTGGACGCGACAGGGAGAGCAGCCAGCCGCCGACTTCCGAGAGGTACGGCCCTTCAAGACACGCTCGCAGCGATAGCGAGGCCACCGGCGTCGCGTCGTCTGGTGGCTACCCAGAAACCACACAAAGCGGCCCGCCGCGTAGACACGATTATGACGTCCAGGCAATGGAAACTACGCCGGGCAGCCCCCGCGCGATTACGAGGAATCCAATTCCAGCACCGACTGTGACAGTTCGATCCGAGTTCCCCACCATCAACAGGTCTCGGCAGCAGCAGACCTTGACCTGCCTTATTACGGTGGAAGTGCCCGACAACAAGTGGCGGCCCGATCCCGAAGATCTTGGATCAGCCCCGCCAGGCCCGCCCGCGGTGAATGCTCGAATCGACGAGGCGTTTGCGCGGCCGCCATCCCCGGCCCGAAGTGCGCCTCGCTTCTATCCCTATGAGTCTCGGGAAGTGCTGGAGGAACAAACTGAGAATCTGAGAAACCGGGTGGACAACTGGCATGGGCTCGATTTCAGCAGGTGAGATTTTGGCACACATTCCTTGCACACCGCCGGCCAATGACACAACTGACACACTCCAGATTCGGCAAACTGCGGCTGTATGGCACGCTACGTGTCGGCAAGGACAAAGCATCCTGGCAGGAGCTGGAATGCTTCCTGTTCGCTGAAATGTTGATTTGCGTAAAGGAGAAGAAGGTAGCGCTCGCGGGGCAATGGGACGAGAACGGCATGCCCAAGAAGACCACCCGCTGCACACTGAAAGGATCCATTCTCATCAAGAAACACCTCAACGAGGTCTCGGAAACGGGCAACAGTGAGACTCGCCCCTTGATTTCAATGAGACTTTGACGCTAACCGGTCAGCAGTTGATGAGAACATTCTTACATTAAACCTTTCCGTCGCGGAGCTACCCCAGTTCCACCTTCGATTCGAGAACCGCAATCAGCTCAAGCTTTGGCATCAAGCACTACTCGACCTGAACGCTGTCGAGACGTCGCCGGTCCGCAGCCCAGAGTACGACCGAGGAGAATTTTCCGAGACGGACGAGGATGACTGGCAGCGTGGATCGCGACAGCAGAGGGTGTCGTCGATTGCCTCGTCCTGGGGCGGCCCCAAGTCCACCACAACGGCGCCCACCGAATACACCAACTTCCAGAGGAGCCCGACAATGCCGGCTTCCATCCACGTACCTATCGATGTGGTCGTGGTAGTCCCCATTTCTTCGTCAATGCAAGGTGTCAAGATTAACCTCGTTCGCGATGCCCTCAAATTTATGGTCAACACACTTGGTGAGAGGGATAGGATGGGCCTCGTCACGTTTGGATCGGGTGGCGGCGGCGTGCCGATTGTCGGCATGACCACCAAGGCGTGGCCCGGCTGGGGCAACGTGCTGGGCTCCATCAAGCCCGTTGGGCAAAAGAGTCACCGCGCCGACGTGGTTGAGGGTGCGAATGTCGCCATGGACCTACTCATGCAGCGCAAGTACAACAACCCGATCGCAACTATCATGCTCATCAGCGACGCTTCTACTTCGGATGCCGACAGCGTCGACTTTGTCGTGTCGAGGGCCGAAGCAGCCAAGATCACCATTCACTCCTTTGGCCTCGGCATGACGCACAAGCCCGATACCATGATCGAGCTCTCTACCCGCACCAAGGCGTCTTACACCTACGTCAAGGACTGGATGATGCTCCGCGAGTGCCTTGCCGGCTGCCTCGGCGCCATGCAGACGCTCTCTCACCAGAACGTCAAGCTCAAGCTGAAGCTGCCTGAGGGATCTCCGGCCAAGTTCCACAAGATCAGCGGTGCCTTGCAGATTACCAAGCGCGCCACGGGTCGCGACGCTGAGGCCTCTCTCGGCGATCTTAGATTCGGTGACAAGCGCGACGTCTTGGTGCAGCTTGTCATTGTGCCGGACAATACGTCCCAGGAACAACTGCCTCAGGATCCTTGGGACAACATCGTCTCCGGTCTGGAGGCGCTCGGTGGGGCTGGCGACGGCGATGACCAGCGGGTTACGTCTGTCGAGGAGGTGCCTCTCATCCAGGCCGACCTTACATGGGGAGATATTCTCCGGGATGGCACGCTCTCCCACCTTCCCCGCCCTTCTCTGCTCGCCATCACTATGCTCCCGGCCCTGGCGAAGAACAAAAACTCGTGGGCAGGATCGCCTCCAATTCCCCCTCACCCGCATATCGTCCAGCGACGCATGGAGCTGCTTACGTCGGATATGCTAACTCGCGCCTTGACCCTCGTGTCGCGCGGCCAGCACGACCGAGCGCACACACTACTCAACGAGACCAGATCTATTTTGAAGGGTCTCGGAAAAGGCGGTCTGCCTCCGATTCCTCCGCCGACAGCACCACCAACGAGATCCCTCCCTTCTACCCCTCACCCCGGGAACGATGGCTCACCCTCAATCACCCCCGACAGAAAACAAACACCATCGCCCACTCAATCAGCCAACTCATCCGGCGTTAACGGCTACCAGGCCACTGGCATCGGGCGCAGTCGGTCCAATGATGGCCTCGGTCTCGGTGCCGGTATCGATGCCAACACCGTTGCCGCTCTGGACCACGAGCTCGAGAGCAGTCTCGAATGGATCAGCCATCCTGCCGTCTTTGGCCGCGACAGCCGCAAGGCTGTTCTCCAAGCAATCGGAGTCATCAGCTCCCAACGAGCCTTTACCTTCCGCACGCCGATTGAATCCTTGTGGTCTGGTCGCGTTGCGGGTGTGAAGAAGCTTACGAGCAAGAGTCGTGAGTGGCGCGAAGAGGGTGGCGGAGAGGGCGGCATTATGGAGGAGGCTTAATGGACCTTCTCGTTGTGCCCTACTTTCCTCTGACTTTATGGGAACACTTGGACTGCCTGAACGACCAGGCGGCGGCGTATTGGTTCCTTGGGAAAAACACATTCTTACGGTCGTTACCTGGCACAGGCTCGTCTTTGCCAAACATCATACCCCCTGGTCTACAGCTGATTTGTTTTTTCGTTACCGATATAGCTGCTTTGCACACGTCTTTACCGCACCGCAGCATGCTTTGCCGGAAAGATACCACAAATGTTTTTTATTTTGATATTTTGTTGCTTTCTTACCTACTACGTCTTCGGCCGCGCGTTCTTTGTCCTGCGAGACAAATCGTCGTGCCGTCGCATCTCATGAAATCTTTCTCTGGTGCTGCCACGTCACCAAGAGCTCTACAAATCATGTAATTTCGCTTCTTATTGTCATGTCACTGATGTCTGGAGAATGGAAGTAGGGGAACTGGATGACGGGAGATGGAAAGTGGGTTCGGCTGCGAATAAAAAGCATGCTTCTTGTACATGTTTTTGGGAATGAACGACACGGACGTGTGGAAGAGTAGAGCAATACTACTTGCTGTTGACATGCCATATTGGATCTTTGCCTCTTGTGACTTGCGTAAATGTGGCCGGTGCTGGGCATGTGTGTGTATTTGTGAATTTAGCATCCATACCGAGTGTCTGTTGGTCTGAGTCTTGATGTACCATGTGATTTAATTCTAGATGAGTACGATCAACGGGGCATCACAGCTCCTGTCCCAGCTGTGATGAGATCACACTGACCGACATGAGGATCCGAATCACGTTGACATGAGGTTGATATCACGAGGAAGAACTTTTTAAAAGACACAACACGAGTTTCAATCTATAGCTGCGAGCTAGCTACGAGTAATCCAAAGACATGCTCCCCCAAACGATTCAAGTTGTATTCCGTGAACCCCCCCCCCCCCCCCCCGCCCAAAACTTCTTTTATTTTTTTTCTCTTCTAGTTTCTTTCCCTCTTTCTCATGACTGTCGTCACTGTGAGCTTAGCATTCTGACTCTAGACTGTTCTCTTAAACTCGTGGAGGTGATGAGAAGCTGCAAATTTTGGTTCGTTGCGTTAACTGGAGTATCTCAAGGAGGTGAAGAGGGCGATGGTGAGAACTTACTCTACTCCTTCTTATCGTTGCTCTCGTACTTGTCCTCCGGGTAAGGGCCGAACTCTGTAGTCTGGCGCTTGGAGTTGGTAGACTCGTACTTGTCCTCAGGGTATGGGCCGAACTCGGTGGTCTGGCGCTTCTTCTCTTTCACATTGTTGGTGTTGTCGTACTTGTCCTCCGGGTAAGGACCAAATTCTGTGGTCTGACGCTTTTCCTTCATGCTGCTGCTGCTCTCATACTTGTCCTCGGGATAGGGCCCAAATTCGGTGGTCTGACGCTTCGAGCTCTTGCCTTGGTAGCTATCCTCGGGGTAGGGACCGAACTCCGTGGTCTGTCGCCTTGCCTTGCCCTCGTACTTGTCTTCAGGGTAGGGGCCAAATTCGGTCGTCTGGCGCTTATGGTTTTCCTTGCCCTGGTAGTTGTCCTCTGGGTACGGGCCAAACTCTGTGGTCTGACGCCTCGTCTTGCCCTCGTACTTGTCCTCGGGGTAAGGACCAAATTCGGTCGTCTGGCGTCTTTGGTTCTCCTTCCCCTGGTAGTTATCCTCAGGGTAGGGACCGAATTCGGTCGTCTGACGCTTGCCGTTCTCCTTGCCCTGGTAGCTGTCTTCAGGGTAAGGACCAAACTCGGTGGTTTGACGCTTTGAGCTCTTACCCTGGTAGCTATCTTCGGGGTACGGCCCAAACTCGGTGGTCTGACGCTTCTCCGGAGCGACGAGCTTGGCGCCCGGGGCGGCGGCGGCAAGGCTTGCGGCGAAGGCAAGAATGGCGGTGACCTTTGTCATATGCATGATGGCGTTTGAAGTTATAAGTGGAGGGGTGAGTGTGTTGTGAAGAAAATTGTTGGAGGCAAGGTGAAAACAGAAGGTGTTGAAGAAGCTTGGAAGACTTTGAAGGTGTTCGACTTGATGAGTGAGTGAAGAGAATGTTTGCTGTTTCCGGGACGAAAAGCACCCTTAAATATTCTTTGCCTTCATCCAACTTGACTGTCGACTCATCACTGAAGTTGCCGTTCCGTTCACAATACAATCGGTCCGACGGATACGGGTGCATTCGTCACTCGACGCCCTGTCGTGAACTTCTTGTTCGTGACAGCGTCGACGCGTCGCCACTCTTGTTGTTCGCGATGCGCCATACTTCCAAGTCCACGACAGAGCTCCGGTCCAACAGTATGACTCGGTGATCCGGTCAACCTTTTCAAAAGTCATTATACTACCGCCCGCCGACGAAGAAAGCCGAGATGATTGCGTCTCCTCTCGGGGACTTCAAGTTGACGAAGTTTGAATACTCGGGGATCGAGATCATCAACAACCTAACCTTTGAAGATTCTCAGAGTTTTTCGTTGTCCAGGGACACATCTTCAGGCATGAATCGTCGATTCCTCTCTCAAGTCTCGTGCGAAGCCTCTCCGTCGGGCATATAAGGCGGATATCCGTCGGGCCCGCGATCCTGGTCTTAGCGTTTTTCAACTCCCCATCTTACCACAAACTCTTCTCTAACCTCTTCCAGTCAGCCCCGTTCCATCATCCCCCTTCTTCGCACAATGGCTCTCAAACAGTTCTTGTCCATGTCCCTCACTGCGGCCGTCCTCGCGGCAGTTCTTTCTGCAAAGTCTCGGTCCCAGGCGGAGCCCCAGATCCCACTCGGCAAGTCTTGCCCGCGCCCGCGCTATACGGTACGGGCATTGTCGTATGATCCACTCATTCAGCATATCGAGAACTTTATCACTCCGGAGGAGTCCCAGTACCTGCTGCAGATTGCGTACGTCAGAGCTTCTCCCCGTTGTAGACAATTCGGTGTATACCTTACTGACTGACTCGAGAGACAGCCAGCCTAGGTTCCAGCGGTCTCGCGCCATCAGCACTGACGGGCGATCCATTGCTGCGCAGGAACGAACCAGTTCCACGGCGTACCTCTCTTCGGACGATCCTGTCGTCCAATGCATCAGGTCCCGTGCGTCCGAGTTTCAGGGCTACGTAGACCTCGACATGATGGAGGACCTGCAAGTGACACGGTACCTAGAGGGGCAGCAGTACACGAATCACTACGACTGGGCAGCGAACCCCGCGGCTAGGAATCAGACGACAAACAGGGAGACTACCTTCTTTGCCGTCCTCGATGTGGAGTGCGCCAGCTGCGGGACACGATTCCCCAAGATTTCGGTGGATTGGGGCGTCGAGGATGAGCGGTGGTGCAACCTGGTTGACTGCGCGGCCCAGACAGAGCTGACAGTGCGAGCGGTCGCCGGTAGCGCTGTCTTCTGGCGGAATCTCCATTCCGACGGGACCGGAGATGCTCGAACGCTACATGCCGGCCTTCCGGCGGTAGGCGGCAAAAAGATCGGGTTGAATATCTGGACGCGTCGGGAGGTTTAGTGCGTGTGTGAGGGGAGACTATCTCCCCGGGGTATTGGACGTTTCGAAATAGCGCGCCAATCATCTTTCACCCTTTTAACTCCGCTTTGTCACATGTTCTGTTAGCTTTTAGGCTTTAGTTTATCGAGATCTACCTGCAAGGACCATAAAGTCTGTATGCTCATATTCATACTCCTCCCACACGGGATCTGCTGGTCAATGACACAATTGGGGCTAGCTCTAAAGACTCCGGTAAAGGTTTACACTAGTGCTTTGCAGAACGTGGCCAAGTACACGCGGAAGACAGCAGCCGCTCTTTAGACTTTTGATCAAAATATGCTAGGCGGCCGGTATGAACCATGATGTTATGCAGCACGTAGTCTGCGACCATTATCGAGTCCGATAATACCCCAAATGAGTCCGGGATGCGGCTGTTCTTGCTCGAATCATTAGACACGGTCCGCTAGAGCCAACCCTTCCGGACCCCAAAGCTTGTTTGTAGTTCCCGAAAGCTTCTTCTCTACTAAATGTATACGCTAGCAGGCATCAGATTCATGACTGATGGCGAGAGGACCAGGGCCACGACGTTACACATGCACCCGAGTTGCTCGGTAGATGGATACGTACTAGAGGGAGCTTGGGCGGCGAGGAAAGAAACCGTCGCGGCTTGCCGTGCCAGCATCTGGACAACAACAATCCGCAGGAATCTACTGCACTCTGTAGTTTCCCATCTCTCAAGCCATCCCTCGTCTTTCTAGACAGACCTTGTTCACTCTCCGTATTCGTAGAACTCATTAATTCCACTTCCATCATGGAAAACAGCAAGCTGCTTGGACGCCACTCCTCCTCGGACGCTGACACGGATTCTCCTGGATTTACTGACACTATGGAGCGGAAATCTGCTCACAAGACCGCCATGTCACGTTGCGAGATTTTTCATTGCTGTCTTGAGGTTGTTCTCATCCTTTGTCTTCTCGGAACGACCACTGCTGTTCTCAGAGTCAGACAGGACTACAAGGCAGATGGTACGAAGACTTGGCCAGCGGGAAGCGACTACAACCATTTTGTCCCACATGGTAAGTAGCATTTCTTCAAACTTCCCGAACGCCACTGACTTGAAGAGTAGATGTGAGCTCGAGGGGCATTCCCAAGCCGTCGGGTCCTGATCAGTACGAGATCACCGCCCATGCATTCCACGACCAGAGCGTCCTGAACGAGACTCTTGATTCTTGGCAGAGCCTCTCCCACGGTAAGCATGCATTGAAACAGGCTCTAAACCCCGACTAATGAGACTACCAGCCTTTGTCCGAGCCTCTTCATACGATGGCAGCGGGCCTCAGAAGCTGTTTTCAGGGGACTTGTTCGAGATCGCCGCTTTCCATCAGATTCACTGTCTGGTAAGCCATCTTACTGATCATTTTGCTCTTTGCAATACTGACGCCCAAGTCACTAGACATCCATCCTGGAGGATTTTGGTCTCTTGGCTGCCGGCGTTCCCAAGGAGGAGCTGCCTGGTTATCACGGCGGGGTCACGCTCACGTGGGAGGAGCACAAGGCGCACTGCTTCAACTACGTCCGGCAGGCCCTAATGTGCTTTGCTGACTCCACCGCCGAAGGCCACACTGAGGGTGATCCGCACCGGGTGGCTGATCATGGGGTAATGCATGTTTGCAATGATTTTGATGCCCTGCTGGCGTGGTCAAAGAAGCCTGAGCGGGCACTGCCCAAGAGCTGGAGGGTGACAGACTGAGAAGAATTGGGGGCTTGCTTGATTGTATTACCTAGTTTAGTAGTAGACGGGTTCGTAGCTGCAGCACAACTGACGTGCATTCTCTTGTTTGGCTTACTATGCTCATTGTGATGTGTTGATATTGCTACGAAATGTACAAGTCAGATACTGTTATATGAGAGAAAAAGGTGGAACGCGGAATTTTGGTCCTCAAAGAGTTCGTTCGGTGGCCAAGGTTGGCGCCCATCGGTTTATCCAATGACAAAATCGATGGGCTCAGTCACTATCTCATTTCCCCGCTATGAGAGCCCCCTCCTCAAGTACAGTCACAGGTGATATTATCATTTATACAGCCAGAGAATGGGTTTGATTTACTAGTCCAAGTATAGGCACTCTGTCTGACCGTACAATGTCCCCAGGTCCATCACCCCATGTGGGAGTGTCCTTGATGGTGGCCAGGCACACCTTCCTTCGCCTTTCCCGGAAACATCTTTGAAAAGTGCCCACAGTCAGGGTATTGAATCTTTGCCCTGACCTCAATGTCGTCCGGTTCGTTGACCCTCGTGAGCACCTGCGTACAATGCTGCGTGTGCGTCAAGACGTCTTCGCGGTGAACCATGCGATTCTCCGTCAAGGCCTTGTGGAACCTTAGGATGTTGTAGGCGCAGTGCGTCTTGTGCAGCCTATTGGTGAGGTAGACGGGCTGGGTATCGGAGCCAAACTGCTCCTCAGTGACGGACGCCGTCTTATTCTGGTCGGTGTAGAATACCCACGGCCCGGCCTCGCGGAACTTGTCCGTCAGCTCGCGGTCAAAGCACTCTTCCGGAACCCAGCAGAAAGACAGAACGTCAAAATGGCAACCGCGGGATTGGGCCTCGTTGGATGAGTTGCCGCAGGGGTTCTCAATGATTCCCTGGGCGTTGGTTCGGGAGGGCGGGACGATGGACTGGAAGACCCAGGTGACCGAAAAAGCAAAGATTATGCTCAAGGCTAGGCCGATGAGGAGCTTGGAGAGAACCTCGCGCTGGTAGCGTCGTTGCAGCTGTGGTGATGGAAAAAGGGTGTTCTCCTTTTCTTGCTCATCTTCGGCGAGCATGGGACGGGTGCTATCCTCACTATCGTAAGACATTGGATGGTGTTTTTTGAAGTGCTGAGAATGAATCTAGGTGTGTAAGTGATGTTCCTGAAAATCCTTTGTAGAAGCGATGGGAGACAAAAACTTTGAGATTGTCCACTGCTGCAGTGTGTTGAGGTGACTTTGGAATTTGGGTGACGGGCCCGGGGGCATTGCATCTACCCGACTTGAGTCTACCTTACCCCGAGACTCATTTTCTGACTCTGATACATGACTTTTGGCAGGCTCGGAAGATGAGAAAATCATTTACAACCGCATGACATGGTGTTTTAGACTTTAAATACGAGCCTCCCCGCACAGAAGCTTAGCGCGCATAAATGCGCCGTGTCCAAGATCCATATTCTAGGCTTCAGCTTTTTTCGCCATTCTGCCGTTAGGATGGATCATGACTATGAAGAAGCACGATCAGCGATGAACTCATATCCGAGGTCCGGAGTCGAGGGCCGAACAGAGTCAACTTGACGATGTCAAGATCAACAAACTTTGCCATTGAGTTTATGTCGGTCCCATATTTTGACTTTTGACAGTCAAAGCTTCGACGGGAGGAAGTCGTCACTTCCCCCCGAACAACTCCACTCTGAACTGAGTCGTTAGCCAGAGACGGAAACAAACGACATCTGCGGGCGTTCGGCGAACCCATTTTCGAAAGAGTGCATATTTTGAGTTATTTCTCTAGCAATTAACACTTGAACGGCATTCTTTTGCCGACATTGTAGTCAAATGAACCGGACGATTCTGCTTGCTATTGGATGACACATTGGTCGTAGGGCACCTTGTGGTCGTTTTAGTCGAGGTTCATTAAGCCCAAACCTCCTTTTGATGTACCAAGTGCTTGCCCGACAGACATCTGTTTTTCCTACCACAAAAATCTAGCCATTATGAACTTCTTCCGGGCAGACAAGTCAACGCAGTATGTTTCTGTGGAAGAGAGCTCCGAGTGCAGTGAAGACCAGCTGCCTTTGCGAAGGAGACCCTCTTCGCCGATCGTGTCGGTTTCTAGGTCTTACTACTTCATTTCGTTGCTACTGTTTGCTGTATTCCCTGTGCTTGTCATTGCCTTGTTCGTTCTGCACACTCGGCTGGAGGGTGCCCGCATCGACAGCGGCTTCCTCAAGGGCTTCCCTACCGAACTAGGTATGCCAGACAGTGCTCTCAAACAAAAGGTGGACCACGAGCTGACATTAAGAATGACAAAGAACCAATCAAAGGTGTACTTGCCAGTGAAACAGTACGTTTCACAGGCGGTCTTCACTTTTATAAAAATGGGACCTTGTACCGCGAGGTAATTGAAGGACAGCCGCAATACGTCGGGCCTCCATCACCAGAGATTGACGCAGCATGGAAGAGGCTACTAAAAGGTGATTTGAACAAGGGAGTCCGACCTTGAACCACATTGACCGAATTCAGGACAATACATGAACCTTGTCGGGAGCGAAGCATCAAGCATGGAAGAGGCTACTAAAAGGTGATTTGAACAAGGGAGTCCGACCTTGAACCACATTGACCGAATTCAGGACAATACATGAACCTTGTCGGGAGCGAAGCATCAAGCATGGTCGGGCGCACGTGGAAAGATGACCATGGCAACTACGAAATAGCGTATGTTTCGCATTCTCCCAAATAGCGTTTCCAGCAATAAATTGATGATTTCTAGTCTAGATGTAATTGTCGGATTGGAAGTCCAATTCGACCTCGAGGCAAGGGGCCCGCGCAGGGGCCACTTACAGACCATACTTACGAGATCTACGGTCTACCCAACCTCCGGTTAGAACCTCCTTTTTACACCTTACGCAGAAGTTAAATATATATAGATTTTGACCTCTTCGTCACCCACGGTTCGAACCATCCCTGTGATAGGAATACCAACACTGATCAGTGGTTAAATCCCACTATCGCAGATCAGCAAGGCATCTCGCAAGCAGAAGAGACGACCTCCTCGAACGGAACGCGACAGGAGAATCGTGCTACCTACCCGACGGAAAGCAGGCGACAAGACGCGAATCTCTACGACGGAACGAAGTAGAGGAATCGCAGCCCTTGACTGCCCACGAAAGGTCGACGTCCATCACGTCAAAAACAAACCGCAATTGAAGGAATCGCGAGAAGGCGACCAAGCTACCTACGTCGCCCTCACGCGATTTGTCCTACTCAACAATCCACGGGCGGCCCGTACGCCAACAGAGGAAAACAAGCGAAATCACCAGATTCGCCAGATTGGCAAATCCACCGCAGATCTCGACCGTACGACGAAACAGGCCCAATTGGAGGATATAAAAAGGCACCTCAGGACCACAGAAACAAACTTTCAAGGCAATAGGGTGTTCAGGTAGGAACCAGACCCCGCCGGTAGCTCCAGGCGTATTTCTTGGTCGAATCCGAGGAGGCTACCGGGATCGACGGCGATATCGCCATCATCAAGACCGACTTCGAGATTCCAAGGTCAAGCTTCCCCTTCTCACCTACACCCACCACCCCTCGGCTGTTCCGAAGGAATAAGAGCCAGGCGGAGTTGAGACGAGGAAGGAAGGGATTCAGAAGCATCACAACGCTCACCCCGTAAAGGGGTGTGAGGTACCCAATTCTTCAGACTACACATCCTCGCCGAGCTACGAAGGCAAAGAAAGAGCCTGTTGCCCCAGTTGGCACGGGAGAAAGCCAAGAAGACGTCTGAGGAGAGAACACGAAGAGAGGGCCACCGGAAGACCTCTCTTATACGATAGGGTACGCCACAGGAAGAGAAAACCGTCAACAAGAAACATGGCGGCCAATTCAGAAGACCAAGAGCAGATGGTGACGAGGCTCGCCGCAAGGAGGTTGGAGGCCGCGGGAAGCTCCCAGACCCCGACAAACACGGCGAGCGACGACAGTGCGCTGCTACCACGACCAACAAGCGGATCTGACACATCCCCATCAAGATCAAACACGCCGGCCCCTACAAACAGAAGCACAAGCCAAGGGACGACAGGGGGCGAGTCAGCACGCAGAACGCGCGGAAGGACTCCCATCCCAGAAGATTGGGTTGAGATTAATCCGGAGTACTGGGGGAAATGGTCATATCGAGACTCAGACCACCCCAATGGCGAGCAAATTGATGCGGCGTTAGTCTTCATTATGGAGATGTACGCCCGCAAGGGGCTCGAAGGGCAACCCCTGTTCTACAGAGTCGTAGACGACCTAGGCGACTGGAAAGATGAATGGTTCGCCAGCGCTAATCCCGGTGTCGTCAAGGAGGTGAACAGATTCCTCCACTGCCGAGGCGTTCTGCCAGCCCAAGGGGCAAGGCGAAAGGCCCACGAGACACTCGCAGCGACAGTAGCCGCAGAGGACTTCACGCCATGGGACCAGAATCAGATCGACAGAGCAGTGTCAAAGTACGAAGAATTCAGCAGACGAGTGAACCAACCGGACTTTCTGCTGAAGATCACCAACGGTAACATCGCGGCGCCCAATCTAGCGCAGACAAGGGGGATCACACCGGAGGCGCGTCAGACGACGATTCCGCCCATCGCGGTGACGACCCCAACGACAATACCAATCCGAGGATTGATCCCAAGCACCCAACAAAGTACGAGGTCGACAATGCAGACACCACCCAATTACGCTGCCGCACGAGAAGCACGCGAAGAGAACGATCCAGCGGTAGCCAGCACAAGACAGTTCACTGACCTAAAGAAGATCTTTCCAAAAGAGAAATTGTACTCAGGGGGGAGATATGAGGTCCTGCAAGAAACCCTCACGATGTTCTACGACTACTGCGAAAAAGTCGGCATCCGAGAACACCAATATCATTCGGTAGTCAATGTCATACTGACAGGGAAAGCTGCCGAGTACTACTATCAAGCGGTGCGTAATATCGATCGAACCGACTTTCTCAGCATCGTTGACACAATCCGAAGTCGATTCGAGACCCAAGATAGGAGCCTCGAGCTCCTCTCGGAGCTGAGGGCATTGTCATTTAGCTCTGTAGCCAGAACAATGGAAGGAAAGTCGAGAATTGAGATCCTCGAGGAGCTCATCGACAGGATCGACAAACTGGCGAGGACGCAGCCAAATGAGGGGACCAATGAGCGAAAGGTCGGTTATCTATGTACGGCGGTACAGAGGGTACCAGAGGCAAAGATGACTCTACATCAACCGCCTGAGGACTACGAGACGCTGTGCTCGAGGCTGAGGTCCAGCTTCAACATCGAAGCCAGGATGCCAAATCAGACTCACCTCCAATCTCACGAAGGCCCTCACCAACAGCACTGGGTGGACCGCACGTACAATGGCAAAGGAAGAGAGGCAAGGTATGGCAACCGCCAGGGGGGAGGAACAGACTCCTCAGGGGGGCGCTGGTCCAACACCAACCGAGCACCGCGGAAAGGGAAGTGCTTTATATGCAAAAAGGAGGGTTGTTGGTCAAGCAACCACTCTGATGAGGAACGCGCCAAGTCGTACGACCAATACAGAAAGGCAAAGGGCACACAAGGCAAGACGGGCCATGATCGATTCAACCAATTCCTGGTGGTCTACGAGGACCATCCAACGAACGCAATCGAGTCGTCTGAGAGCGAGGAAGATCTTACCCCGTACACTCAAGACCTCGACTTCGACGAAGTTAACGATGTCACCCATTCTTTCTTCGCCCCGTCAACCTCAGGAGGATATACAATGCTGAACGAACAGAGAGCGGTACAAGCCCTAAATGAGCAGGCTTTCCTCCATGGTTGGCAAGGGAAGGTCCCTCAGCCAACGACAACGCTCAGCAGCACGGGGGACACGAATGCTAATACCGCAGCCATGGCTCGCACTAAGGTCAAAGGGCCTGGGGAGGAAAAGAGAACGATGGGCTTACAAGCACGCAATTTATACCCACCAGGAGGGTTCTACGGTAATCCAGTGCAAGCATTCCATGCCAGCGAAAGGTATGGCTCGGAAACCTTCCACGGGATTATTCCAGATACCGGGGCATCACAATGGTCGACGGGGGGCAAGGGACAATTCCACGCACTCCAAAAGATCTCACCAGTGACCCTCAACACTACAAACGCGGGCATTGCGAGGATCAGTTTCGGCCCAGGGGAAGAGATAAGTGCCTTAGGTACTGTGGATGTAAATACACGATTCGGAACGATGATTTTCCACATTCTACCCGTCAATACACCATTCCTCCTATGCCTGAACGACATGGATAAATTGGGCATTGTGTTTGACAACACAAGGAATAGAATGTCCAATGGAAAGCACTCTGAGCTCGTCGATCGACGATGGGGGCACGCGTTTATGAAGCTTGAACCAGACGTCAAGTCCATCAATTACTTGACGGAAAGTGAACTCAAGCGACTACATCGACGATTCGGCCATCCGTCGGCGACGAGACTATACAATCTCCTCAAACATTCAGGGAACGATGTGGAAATAGGGGCTCTAGAGCAATTGACGATGGTGTGCCACCAGTGCCAAATGAACGCCCAGAGCCCGCGCAGATTCAAGTTCAAATTACACGACGACCTCAACTTCAATTGGGAAATCGTCGTTGATATCTTCTATTTGAACAGTCGACCAGTACTCCATATAATCGATGAAGCCACATCATTCCAAGGAGGCCAATTCCTTCGAGATATACAAGCCAAGACCGTGTGGGCAACGCTGAAGCGCTGTTGGATCGATACATACAAGGTCCACAGACGGCATCAGAACCGATGCCGGCACCAGCTTCAAGTCGGCGGAATTCAGGGAGAATGCCACTTCGTACGGCATCCAACTGAAAGTCGTCCCTGTCGAAGCGCACCACAGTATTGGCAAGGTAGAAAGATCACACCAGCAGTTGAAAAGAGCTTTCAAGATCATCCAGGAAGAGAGCCCTAGTTCAACGGACGAAGAGTGCCTCCAGACGCACTCAAGTGCTGCAATGATACCATGGACCCAAGGGCTCGTTCCGACGCTGCTTGTGTTCGGAGCATACCCACGAACGACGACGGCCTCACCGCCGTCACCAGATGTGACCCAGAGGGCGCGAGCAATCGAGAAAGCAATGAAGACTCTCCGCGAGGCAAATGCTAGAAGGCAAGTCAACGAAGCCATTGCTACGCGCAATGGGCCGACGTGAGCCTCAACCTCGACATGCCCCTGAATTCGGAGGTACGGGTATGGAGGGAAACCACAAAGCAATGGACAGGCCCATACAAGTTAGTCTCAATTGACGAACGATCTTGTGTCGTCGCGAGAGATCGAGACCAACCACTGGAGGTGTCGATCACTGCGGTACGACCGTACCACGTCGACCCCAGCGGAGTGATTTCCAACCCACAAGAAGAAGAAGAGCCAGGGGAACCACCTCAACAAAGCGATGAGGGACAACCAAGCGATGAGGGGCAGGAAACCATCCTCGACGAGATCATCGTCGCAGCACCCTCAGACGATGAGCAGAAGAAGAACCAGTACCCCACCGCAAGCAAGACGCCGAGGAAGACCCCGAAAAGCACCTCAACGGCAATTCATGTCTGACACCAAGGCTACTGCTGTCTTCTACACGGCCAAGGAGAAAGCAGACTTCGCGATGGCGGTCAAGCTAAGGGAACAAGGATAATCACAACTGCAGGACGACCGTACGAAGGCTCCGACCTCATCGAAGCCGACACACTGCGCGATCGAGGGTCTACAGATTCATCACCTACGACCCAGAGAAGCACGCGAACCTCCGCATCTTCAAGTCGCGAATGGTCCGCGAGATCAAAGGAAAGGGGACAAATCAGCCGTACGAGAAATCAAGGCATGTGATACAAGGCTACGGCGACGTCGAGAAGGCGGCACTGCTCACGCAGTCGCCGACAGTTCAGCGCTGCAGCCAACGACTAATGATGGCATTGATGGCATCACTACGGCAAAGAGGATACCGGATCTGGAGTCGTGATATCACCCAGGCATACACCCAATCGGCGACAAGGCTCACGAGGAAGATATTGGCTTACCTACCAAGGGAGATGGCAAGCAAATACCCGGACGACACGATTATCGAAGTGCTGAAGCCACTCTACGGCCTCGCAGAGTCAGGCACTCACTGGTGGGCAACATACCACGATTTCCACATCGACAAGCTCTCGATGATTACATCGACGTACGATCCTTGCCTCCTAGTTTCCGCGCATGCAGACGATCCATTTGGAATCGTCGGAATGCAGACCGACGACACATTAGGGCTTTCTGATGCGGCCTTCATGGAGAAGGAGGACAAGGAGCTGGAGAAGGCAAAGTTTACCGCCAAGCCAAAAGAGATCCTCACAGAGGACACACCACTTGCGTTCAACGGCGGGATCCTCACGATCGAGGGCGAGAATGTCGTCTTCCGACAGAAGGGGCAAGGCGAGAAGATCACCCTCATCGACCCAAGGGCAACCGACTGCCAGAAGCGGTACAAAGCAGAGCTCGCACGAGGAGCTTACATCGCAAGCATCTGTCAGCCAGAGGCCACTTTCGACTGCGCGAGGGCAGCGCAGGCCACTTCGCCGACGGAACGCGACTTCGACGCCCTCAACCGACGGCTACAGTGGCAGCAAGTGAACCTCGATAGGGGGCTCGTGTACCAACCCATCGACCTGAGGGAGGCGAAGCTCTACGTGTTCGTCGACGGCTCATTCGCGAATAATGACGACCTCACATCGCAATTGGGATATGTGATAATCCTTGCCAACGAGGCAATGGGAGAGGAGAACTTCACGATCCGCGGTAATGTCATCCACTACTCGTCGACGAAGAGCAAAAGGGTCACACGAAGTGTACTCGCCTCAGAGGTCTACGGCATGGTTAACGGCGTCGACATCGCACACGCGATCTCAACGACGCTGAAGAGGATTACCGATCGACTTGACATCCCCACGATACCGACAATCGTCTGTACCGATTCGTACTCGCTGTATGAGTGCCTCGTCAAACTGGGCACCACGAAGGAGAAGAGGCTGATGATAGACATCATGGCCCTCCGGCAATCGTATGAGCGCCGCGAGATCCTCGAGATCCGTTGGATCAACGGGGACGATAATCTGGCGGATGCTTTCACGAAGGCAACGCCCAACAAGGGGCTCGAGCACTTCGTCGGCGAAGGAAGGGCGACGATACGGATGGAGGGATGGGTAACCCGCAAGGAGCAGAAGAAGGAGGAAAAGGGGGCAGCCTCGGCGAAGGAGCCCGAGATCGAATTACACTTCCAACCGCCGTAGTTGGGCGATGAAAGAGAGAGATAGTCAGTGTCGGATTGGAAGTCCAATTCGACCTCGAGGCAAGGGGCCCGCGCAGGGGCCACTTACAGACCATACTTACGAGATCTACGGTCTACCCAACCTCCGGTTAGAACCTCCTTTTTACACCTTACGCAGAAGTTAAATATATATAGATTTTGACCTCTTCGTCACCCACGGTTCGAACCATCCCTGTGATAGGAATACCAACAGCCGTAGTCTGATCATAAGGCGTCCAGCTCTTCTTTTGTGAGAGCCGTTTGTTCACCTTGCTCTCCCTCAGCCTCTTATCCCGCGCAGCGAATAGCGCGACTTGAGCGCGCTCCCAGTTTCGAGCCTTGCGCGCGAAAGCACTAATTTCTCTCCAAGTGTTTCCGCTGATATCGTTTCCAAAGAATGTCACCAAACACCCTTCGCTCACACTCCATGCCTGTGCAGCAGCACGACGTCCCGCAGTCGTGTTCTGATCCGAGTCTGGCCCTTCGCAACAGACCCAATCACATTGACGACTCCGTTTCAACGCTGACGAAAATCGATCGGAGTGAAAAGTTTCATTGGCAAACAGCCATCGGTAGAGCGTGTTGACAGCGCGGAGCAACTCGCTGTTGTTGCTGCGTACTGCTCTGATGTGGTCAAACCTAGTCCGGATTCGTTGGGCAGTATCGGCAAAGTCCCCTCTCTTCTGGCAGGTGACGGGTTCATAGCCGTCAGACGACAGACAGAGAACTTGGCATATTTCATAGAGAACTCCTTCTTCCCGAGGCATGATGAGTGTTGTGGTGGCGCTGTAGTCGCGATTTTCGTGAGTCCGAGGCGACTGTTGGGCTGCGACTCCGTTGGATAAGCAAGGTGCGCAGGTTTGGCACGGGGCTGAGCACGGCGGCTAACGGGATATTTGATTGGTCAGTCATGGGGCAAGGGCAAGGAAAGGAAGACTTTAAGTACCCAACCATCCGCCCGCACGCTCAACCATTGTTGTCACCGCTCGCTCATCGCAAACTCCACAGCAACCATGACAAGCCTCGGAATCGATCTCGGCACTACATTTACATGCGCTTTCACTTCGAATGCGGACGGCAATCTCGAAATCTTAGAGTTGCACCATGGAAGTCGCATCACTCGCTCCGTCGTGCAGATCGCCAAGGGTAAATGGTCCATTCCGCGCGCGACGGACTTGGCCAGTCCGCAACGCAAACATCTGTCACTCGCGAAACGTCTCATTGGTCGAACCTCAGACGACAGGCAGCTCGCTGAGGATATCAAGTCAGTTTGCCATATCGTTGGAGATGATACACCTCGGTTTTCCACCGGCGTACCGGGTGAAGCAGTCCTCCCTGAAGAGGTTTCTGCCTTTATCCTTGGACGCATTCGTAACCTTGCAATTGCGCGGATGGGTCAGGATCTCAACAATTGTGTAGTGGCAGTACCTGCATACTTCACACATCGGCAGCGGGAGGCCACAGTCGATGCCGCCGAGATTGCCGGGTTTGAACGTCAGCATGTTACCTTGGTACCTGAGCCATTGGCCGCTCTGGTGGCTTATGTTGAGGGTGACGGCCAGAATTCCGCCTCGAAACAGGATGGTCACTGGATGGTTGTCGATATTGGCGGCGGAACTTCGGACTTCACGGTTGCATATATCGAGAGAACCGAATCCCGGCATTCTTATGTTGTGAACGCTACACGTGGCCATAATGCCCTTGGAGGGACCGATTTCGATGAAGTCCTGATGGAATACGTATACGACCAGGCTTGCGGTGATTCGGATGACGAGTTGCTCGTGGACCGCCAAAAACTACTCGCTGCTTGTGAGAGGGCCAAGGAGGAACTGTCACAGACCACGTCTACCGTCGTCACACTGGAAGACGAATTCGGAGAGGAATTAGCTGAGGTGGAAGTCAACCTGGAAGACGCAGAAAGAGCATGGCAAGACGAGATAGCGATGATCAGGGATTTGATTCAGAATGTTCTCCGGCAGAGTGCAAATAAGAAAGTGGCCAATGTGTTGGTAGCTGGAGGTACGGGCAATATGCGGTGCGTCAGAGCGGTCATCAGAGATGTGCTGCCAGAAGCGCAAGTTCACCACTCCAATCTCTCGGAGGCAGTCGGACAGGGCGCTGCGCTGGTTGGCTCCAACTCTAAGATCACCATGACTGATGTGCTTCCCCGCGGCATTGGTATAGAGCTAGAGAACGGTGAGATGGGGTTTATCCTGGCCCAAAACGCGGCTTTACCAGCAACGGCAGTCCAAGTGTTCGGCACTCCTGTGGATAACTGCCCATTACTGCGCATCAGGATCTTCGAAGGAGATAGCTCGAAGGTCAGAAAGAACATCCTCCTAGGGAATTTCAACATCACGGATATACCTCTACTTCCAGCCGGCACGCCAGTCAAGGTCACTATCAACATCGACCGGCTTGGAGAAGTAGCCGCATCCGCCCTGGTGGAATCTCAATCGGAATCGCTCACCATCCAATATCAGCCACGACATAACGCCACAGAGCTACGCAACTTAAGGCAGATCACTGCTATGCGCCTAGAAGGCAAGAATGGGGTAGAACAGCCATTGAAGAGAGATCGTGCGCAAAGCTCTGTGGGTCCCATCAAGCGTCTTCGCCGCGAGCTCGATGAGGTCGCATCCGACTCGGGATGCTAGAACGCAAGGACGCGAGAGTGGAACGATATCCTCGGGTTCCTCTCAAGAAAGCTGCGGAGCCGCCGTCTGATGTGTTCATGTTGGGCGTTGTGATGACCTTCTTGCCTGGCCACATCACTACTCTATAGAGCGGACAGCCATCAAAGTTGTGGCGCATAACACAGGTGGAGGGCGATTCCGCTTCTTCTGCAACCATCGCCATGGCTAATTGGCTGAGTGCTATAATACAGGATGCTCAATAGGACCTAGGTATTACCGTAGATTGCTCATCTCAACTAGTTGTTCGTATGGTGAAGCCAAGACCACGGGAACGAATAACGGCACGTGAGCTAGATACTACATTACAGAGCGGTCTCAGAAGAAGCCCACGACCTGCAGACTACTGAGAATTAAGCATGATCCGGAAATGTGCCACTGTATTTTGAGAACTATAAAATCGTTCTATGACTAACGTTTCCAGTTCAAGATCCTTCTAAGACCGTGAAGGAAGCTAAGCAGATCGGGCGCTTTCATTGTCACTCTCCACGGGCCTCGGTCGAATGTTTGGGGTTCTTCTATCCACCATCTGCTCCACCGGACTAAGCTCAACTGTTGAGAAATCCGCATCCACGATGGACCGCTCCGCAGTCTTTATCTTACGCATCTTAGGTGGCCTTTCTATGCCATCTCGATCGTAAGAATCTTTTTCCAATGCTTGTCCGGCTTTACGTTTGAAGCTCTTCGCTGCTTCAACATTGGGTTCACCTATTTGAGGAAAACCGTTGAGCTGAATCCAAAGGTCTACAGCTTCTGATCTCCATGTCTTTCTGCTTTTATAGCCGGGGTGCTTGATACCGCCACGTCTTTTCTTTATTGGCTTTTTGTCCCAGGAACTTCGCTGATTTCTCCTCTTTCTCGTAGTGGTATATTGTCCAGAATCTTCATCCAGATTTCTCTTTCTTTTTCTAATGAGCTCACATGCCGGCGTGACTTGCTGACGGGGGATTCTTCTCTTAGCTTCTGGCTGCCTCACAGCTGGATTTGCTGAGGTTGGAGACTGAAAGGTCGGTGTATCTCCACTATTGTCATCATTGTCGATCGAAAACAGACGTTGTTCTGCTTCCCACTGACCCATCTCAGGTCCTGATGCGCCACTTTGGGGGCTTTGAACTTTTGGAGGAGATCCAACCCTCACATCATTCGGAGATTGTGGGTTGGCTTCCATCCCTGCTGCCACCGGCTGCTTTCTTGGGCTTTTTGATTTCTCTTGGCTAGTTGAGGGCCTGGGTATTTCCTTGCTTCTAGGTTGCTCACCCAGTGGCCAGTGTGATGAGACTGGCTGATCTGTCGTAGGCACGTACTCCTGGCCGTAACTTGAGAATTGCTCTAAGATGTACGACGAGACATCGCCAAAGAATGCGTTCAGAATTTCACGAAATACAAAAGCAGGACTGATCTCTTCAGTGGCCAGCCGGTTTCGGTATAAACCTCCCACAAAAGCATGCTGTTTAAGATCAAGAAATGTCCGCAAATATGGTTTCCCCCCCCGCCATTCGGATAGACTGCAATGCATCTTTGGTCTAACCTCTTTTTCAGGCTCCAAGCGGGATTCTGCGTTTGTTGTTCTATTCCGGAAGCCCATAATCCATGCTTGCCAGTGAAATCGTTTGATATGAAACATGTTCAGCTGCCCTGAAACCGCCTCATTTCTCGAATCCCGCAAAGGCGAGTCCGAAGAAAGAGTAGGATAAAAGTTCCTCAGAGCCGCGACAAAAAGTTCCAAGTAGGCCAAGGGCGGCGAAACCCGCCCTTCATATGGTTGAAATTCTGTCTCAGTGACTTGAAAGATGGGACGTTGGTGATTGTTGAAGCAAGCTAGGCAATCTTTGAACAATGTCCCTCGGCGAATATTGACATCAGCAAAGAACAAAGGGTTCTTGTTATTTTTGTATGGTGGCTCAGTATCTAGCTGCGTCTTGCCTAAACTCAAGTGCGTTTTCAATATCTTGGCTCCAATGCTTATGTAAATCATGTTGTTGTGGAATGATTCAATGCTTGGAATGATTGTTGTGACCTCTAGCACATTTCTTCGAATCATCTCACGGTCGCTCGGCGACGTTACATGACGAAATAGTGATCCGTCGAGCATGGATCGTTTGATCTCGGTGCGGTCTGCTTTGCTGGCGCCGGGAGCGCGGCATTGAAGCTTGCGGACAGTTGTGACATCGAGAAGTTGTTTAAGGTCTTCGCGGCCTCCAAGGATGGTGTTCCAAATTTTATGAATGTGATGCCAATACATGATAATCAATTCGTCGCAACGGGTTGCTAGATGTTTGAGCCAATTGCCTAATTGTAAACCTGGCCATAGTCCTGCGAACGGAAGTAGCAAGCTGACTGCGTCCATAATCTCAGTATGGCCTAATAGAGCCGCGAGGCATTTCTGTTTGGAATTAGACAAGACCCTTTCCCAACCCCTCGATAGCGTGTATCTTCTCTGTGTGAAATGTATGATTGCATTGCGACAGATTTCGCCATCTGAGTACAGCGTCTCAGTCGCGTGCTCCTTTGGTTCTTGGTGGAGAAGAATACCTCGATCTACGGTATCTGTGTCTCGCATCAATATATGACTTATCTTGATATGGCGGACTGTAGCTCACCATGAGGGAAGAAATGAAGCCGTACGGTCCAGGTTGCTTGGTTACCGTAGAGATGTTTGGCTGCTTCAACACGATGCCTTCCATCTGTGCAGTGAACAGTGTATTGTCCATAGGCTTGAGGATATTCCAGTTGGAAGAGTGTTTGTTTGAGCTGGTCTGTTGATAAGTTCAAATGATCTCGGATTGACTGATAGTTTGGTCCATCGATAATGCCTCTAATCTGGTTGCCAGGCTCTTCCGACTTGACCCCGACATGTCGGAAATGGTTTGCGATTCGAAGGGCGATCCTGTCGTCTTCCAGCCTTCCAAGATGATCTAAATCGCTGGGCAGGGGAAAATGTAGACACGACACGGGCAGCGTGACGATTCCGACGAGATAGGCATCCCAAGAAACCATATCGTTTTTTTTTTCAATGTGCCATTTTGTGCGAGGAATAGCAGCGCTGCAATATTGCACCAATGCGGTATGTTATAGTCATTAGGTAGGCTTCGTCTTTAGACACAGTTTTTAAAAAGCAATATCTTGCTTTTTGTCGGTACCGCCATAGGTGGGGGTGGGGGTAGGGGGCAGGACCCGCTGAGGTATGAAAACGAAGGTGTGGAACCCCGCAGGAATTCGAAATCGAAATCCGGAAAAATGCCGTTGGAATACATAAGTGCACCCGATGCGAATTTCGCCCCGCATCAACGACGGGATCAACACGAACACCTGAGAATGGCTACCAAAAATCATTGGCTTGAAGTACGATCCCGCAATCCCGGTCTAGAGGGCCCATACATCCAAGAGTACCATAAGGCGTATCGATCAATAGATCAACATGGGTCGTCAAAACTAGATGTTGTGTTGGCTGTTGGCGGAGCCACTAGCGAGCGGTACTTTGAACTACAACCTTGTCTGACGAGACAAACCGCTAGCTTGTGCCACACAACGGCAACCAACGCAAGCCGGCCTAGAATTCTCCTTAATTGTCAGTTGCCACTTCGCTGTGAGCTGTCTCGCATCCCGGACGCCATCGATCACGGGCATCACTCCCTCCACCATTTGAAGGGAGTCTTTCCTCACGCGCCTCAAATATCTACGAGCCTCTATATTGAAGTGTTAGCACCTTTGAGCTCTGTTGTGCTCCTCTTCGTCGCTGACTTCGGTCCTATTTCGAGGATTGTTGACTTCTTGTGGGCCTGGCTCAGATCAGCAATGCTCAAACCACCTCCCTTCTGTCCTGAGATCATCCTGGTAGCTGAACGTGATAGCCAACTAGATTTGAACGCTATCTTTTCGCGGCTTATTTCTTCCGGCCTCAGCAATCTTCGCGTCAGTGATCCTAACCATGCCTATTCCGAAGGGGACATCGAAAAGATTAGGGATGCATTCCTCCACCTCAATATTGTACCTGAACACAGCCTGAAAAAATATCTACCCACTGCACTGCAGCGCACTTATTCACGGCGTTGCGCGTTGGGCCTAGATTTCTCGGCAATTCATTGGAAAGCGCTTACGAGAGCCGCATTGAATCTATATGCTGAGCAACCAACCGTCGCAATCAATTTCCCCCGCCTTGCGCGACTAGGCAAACCGGTTCCGCACGATCTAAAGACCCATATCACAGAGTTCATTCAATCTGCCAAGAGCGATAAAATTGATCACGCAAAATTTATAGCATCTGCTCTCGTCCTAGATGCCTTTCCGCCCGGCATGCACAGTAAGTCACCTCGAATAGACAGGGTTACAATATGCTGACTGGCACGTTAGATTTCTTACCAGAACACATATTTGACACCATCTATAAGCCCATCATGAAAGATGTGAAGGTGGATTATCTCATGCGGAAGATCGAATCGGAATTTGTCGCCATGGCTAGGCAGAGTGCAAAGTCTGGCATACCGTCTTCCCGGTTACATCTAGATACGATCAGAGAGTTTCAGGACTATTGGCTTACCAGATCTAACAAAGCATTCTGCACGATATGCATAGCACGCCCTTCGCGATACAAACTCACCTGCGATCATCAGATTTGTGACGTTTGTGCGGTTATTTTCCAAATGGATGCCACCGAGCTCGCCATCGAGATCCCAAGATGCCCACTATGCTTGAAACCAAATCAACTTACATTTTATCCGGTGCCAGCCACAGCTAGTAGAAGAACACTGAGTATCAGCGGTAGCTCAACTCAAAACATTGTTCGATATCTCAAAGACCTTCAAGTCTTGCTTGGACTGACTGCTTGGCCCCTAAGAAACCAGTTCGACGAGGTGATTGCTTCAGATCATGGTATGGAATGCTCCCTCGGAGAGAGAATTTTCACTAATGTAGCAGCGATGTTTTTTGCTCTGACACTGTTCCTCGAAAAGTGGAGTCTTTCGGAATGTAAGTATCATTTGAAGGCACTCAGACGACCAAGCTTTCGGCGGGGGAGTATTCTTCGTTTCGGTCAAGGTCTCGAGTGGTGTTTGTGCGACATACATTCCGACACCCAGACTCTTATTGTCCTGGAGGGGCGGCGGACGATGTTCTCAAGATTCCCTCAAAGTACCCCCAAAGAGTTTCAGCCATTCGTCAAAACTCGACAGCAAGGAGACACAGATCGACAATGCGATCTCCTGATCGAGTACAATGGAACAACGTATAGCCCCAGACTACTTGAGTCGGTTTCGATGCAACTAATTTGCAACTTGTTTTATGTCGAAGCCATGAACGCGGCTTCATTTTACACATCACCGGAGGAGCAGCAGTTCTTAGTAAAATGCCGGTTGCCTCCAGGACCTGGTCTTCTTGATCTTCTTGAGAAGCTTCAAACGAATCAAACCTACCTTATGTACAATCGAAGCCAAGACGAGATGGCGAGAACTCCGTTGGTCACTCGTGAAGTAATGTCGGGTTGCAGGGAACTCCAAGGGTTCTGTCGGAAAATTCACATGTCTTTGTGGTCACTTGATTCTATGATCGATATTCAGATAGGAGCGATGGACAAGGCCAGTCAGAACATTGGTAGATGTCCCTACAAGTTTCGAGATTTGATCCGTCATCAAAAATTAGAATGTTATTTTGGGACGGAGGATCACCGAGTCGAACAATCGCTGGCCATCGTAAAAAAGGACTGGAATGAGATTGATGTCAAATTTGAGGAACTATACGAAACACTAGATCAGATACGGTAATAATCATTGATTCCAAACAAAGTTTCTCCCAAAAACATAGATGGCATAAGACAAAGTTCCGCGATTCCTCCGTTACTCGAAGAATTTGCCAGCCAGAGAGAGCAAGGCCTGTTTACGCCGGATCGATATCGGTCTAGGGTGATGCAGTGGCAACTCTTCAGCAGAAGCGCTGCAAGCTTCGCCAGCCGATGCTGTTGGTAGGCTTGACTGAAGAAGCATTGATGGCAAGATGATACCGCTGGCTTCCATTAGTTTCTGAGGCGTTGGGGCGTCCTCGTCTATGATGCTATCCGAAGGTAATGCCATGGGGGGCGTATGAGGCAGCATGTCTATGAACAGTTCAGATTCCGCCTCATCATTTTGCCTTGGCTCGAATGATGATTCTGTTGTAATGTTGCTCGAAGAGCTAGAAACCAGAGGGGGCGTAAAAATATCGCTGTAGTCCTCGTCGATGCTGGGCTTCATAAGAGCAACGGGAGCGTAGGCCTGGGAAGTCGGCACTTCCGTCACTGTGCGGTCTCTCACAAGGTCGAAGTCATCCGGACCTTTGATACAGTCTGCAGCGACCGATGTATTTGTCTGACTTCTCAAGAAGCCAGGGTGCGATTCATAGGCTTCCACTTGGCCTTGATAATGCACAATGACGGCGATCTGTGCGCCATAGATGCGGTAGAAGGTATTTGACTTCTTGAAAATGCCATTTCTGCGGTTCTCGAGGCCCTTGCGAGGATCCTTATTGCTTTTGAGACGCGGCATTATGACAAAAGGAAAATTCGTAGAGAACGAAGTAGTAGGGTTGACTTGTGGAACTGTGAATGCGCACTTGGAAATGTGTTGAGTTTCGCCCAGGTGTGGAGGGCGCCTGGCTGAACTTTATATCCATCAAGAAAGGCATTTCTCCTCTTCCATTCAGCCCCGGCCCTCTGGTTGTTCGACCTCGATCCACTCTCGTCCGGCGGCTAAAGAGCTGCTGCCGCATGGCCCCACTTATGCCGACGTCTCCCGGGCGGCTACGTGGGCCAGCCGATCCGTTGTGGGCTGCCGCTACTTCACAGCCGAGCATCATTGTCTTGTCCACTCGGCGGTTAGAACCCGGGGTTATCGGGCGCGTAGGTTCCCCCTCATTGTTGCGGACCCCTGCGAAACGCGAACACATTTAGAATTTAGAAATTTAAATTTAGGATTTCCCAGCGCTGTATTTAAAGACCGCTGGAGCTGGCCTGAGCCTCTATTGATTTCCTCCGCATCCCCCCTGTGAAACCGGCAGAAATGGATATCGCAATATTCTACTTAGCTCTATTCTATGGTGTTGCAGTCTCCCTGATAGGCTACCGAGTTCTACAGCTGGTATTGCCAATCTTTTACTCACAGGCTTCCCGGTTCATTACGTATCCGTTACTTGTGCAGAGAAGCAGGTGGAGAAGTCCAACTCGTCTCCAGGCTATACTCAGCTTTGTTTTTATCTCGGGAAATCTTGCCGTATTACTCTACCCTTTTTCTCCTCTTCCCGAGGCTCGTTCCATTCAGAAACGAGCTGCCCTCGCCGCCCTTATCAACCTGCTTCCGGTTCTAGTTGGACGGCAGATCCTTTCGCTTTCCACTCTCCCGTATATTTCCGCAAGTAGTCTACAGCTCGTGCATCATACTTTGAGCATCACAATTTACGTCGAATGTCTCATACATTCCATCATTGTTTTATCAACAAAGCCATCCTACAATCAGTCATTAGTGTCAGGGTACATCGTAGGTTCTCCAGGCATATGTATATGCGTTGATAAATATGCTAAGCGCGAGTAAAGATCTTCTTAGCACTACTGCTAGTTCCGCTGCCTTTTCTTTGGCCATTAAAGAGACTTCTGAGCAATATATCCTTAGTCCTCCACCACGTTTTTGTCTTCAATTTGCTTTCGGCGATCGTGTGGCACATGTTTTCAGGTTTACTCCTTATGCCAAAGATAGTCGTCATCCTGCATTCTGTAGTGGCTGTCATTGGCTTCTGCATATTTGTCTTGAGGCGCACAGCCACTAAAAGAGCAGCCATAATCAAAGAGGTCAATTATACCGAAAACTTGATTCTTGTCAAGGTCAAAACTCACAAGCCGGTCGCTATCTTTCCGGGTTGTTATTTCTTCCTTCGTCTCTCTGAATCTAGGTCCCTGTTCGCGTCAAGACTTTTCGATTCCGATCCAAGACAGCCATTCTGGTACGGACAAGGGGAACAATTATCTCCTCGCAACGTACAGAATCTCATGTTCTTACTGCCTTCTCACAAAAAGCATGCCAAAAGGTTGAGATATTTGGAGGAGGATCAACGAATTGACCTAAGCGGTCCTTACGGAACTGATCTGCAATTACATCACTATGAAGACGTCCTTCTCGTTGCCAAAGGCAATAATCTTAATGGTGTGCTTTCCTATGCGCTCTCACTTTGCTCTAGAAGAAATCACGACGACAACATACGTAGCTCGATACAAGAGCTCCAGAGCGAGGAAACCAATCTTTTGGCCGAGATTGAGAAGCTTCAACATCAACAGTACAAGGCAGAGTCTCCGAAGCGAGCTTCAAAAATCAACAATCTCAGTCAGAAATTGTCCATAACGCAGGATCAGATTAAAGACCGTCGGGCGCTAGCTTTGTTCAACGACAAGGTGAGAAAAGTGGACTTACTTTGGGTTATTGAAGAAACCAAGCAGGCTTCGTGGGCAGCTGAAGCTTTTCAAGCTCTACGAAAACTAGATTCTAAAAATGTGGGTTCCCTCAGTACCGCTCTAGCAAGTAACCATGTTGAAATCCTTTCAGAAACTGATAGTAGTGTGGTGTATGTATCCCGACGCACACTACCCCCCCTTGTTTGATATGTTCAATACATCTAGTCACTGGCAGTCGTTCCATGCTGGACCTTCGACTACAGATGCACTTCAGACTATCGACTTCCGTATTCGAGAGCGGCAGAGTACGGGAAGAATCGCAGTTGCTTGTAGGGCCACGCTGCGCTCCTTAACTTATCTTAAGAGTACTGACATAATTCAGGTTGTGGAGACACGGAATTCAATGGACAGGTACGCAGAATGGTCATCGGGGCGTTAGAAAATGCAAGACACATAGAGTTTATTGAGATTGAGAACTGTTCCCTTGACCTTCGGTAGGGACAAGGTCGTAGCTTGCTTTGACTTTGTAGTAGGAGTTTTCAACATCTGTGGGCGGATGAATAGCAGGATAACCAAGGTAAAGAAATAATAGTACTTTCGTTTCTTACATGAGCCGAAGTTGTATGTGCCTCAAAGTCATTTTCGCTTCCTCCTGATCCCGCACCGTCCCATGTCTTTGACTCATATGCCGAGTTTGTTCACTCCCTTGATAGAAATCGGTGTCGCGAAACTGGCAAACTAATTGACCATCTGACAATCCAGCGAGCTGTCGCTCGGATGTGGCGAACGATGGTCTCGACGATGCTTCAGGTTTGCTACTAACTCTGCTGTGGAGTGCTGATGTTCTCATCCACCTTCCGTCCATTGATGCTTGGTGTCTATAGAGGAGCATCTGTAGAGACGGAAGAAGTGTAACACATCCATGCACCGAGATACGACGGCGTGCACACTCTATCCACTTCTGTATTTGAGCGACGCTCGCTCCGACATCAGTCTGAGAGGCTTCGAGGTCTTTGAGTAGTGATACGGAATCCTGAATATCATCGCACGGATGGCAAATAACGCCCGGAAACACGGTTGAGCTGACCAGTCTGAGACGGCAGACTCCTCCCGTATTAAGCCCCACCCAACATTGCTCGCGCAAGGGACCCCATTGCCAGTGACCGCGGGCCCATACAGCGTGTTCGAAGAAACACACGGAGTGGTTTCTGTAAGGACGCACTGAGCATTCGAATAGATTTGAGCAAGAATGGTTCAAGAACGTACAGTGTTGCGTATGGGTGCGATGTAATGTGTAAATCAACGTCATCACTGCAACGGACAAAAGACAGAAGGATAAAAGGACTTGAGCAACAAGCTGAGGGTGAGAGTCCTGGAGAAACCGAATCAATACAGGGGCCAATACTATGGCCACGGTCTGAGCGTGGGAAGGCATTGTCAACAAGAGGTAAAGGTAGAGAACGAGAGGGTTGGGGTTCAAAATGATGGGGGGCCCTTCTTAACCCTGAAGGACGGACTGACCGTCGCCAGCTTCATAGTTCCCTGATCCAATCTGAGGAACATTTGGGAAGAAAGTCTGCGGAATTTCGTCGGTCCAACAGCATGTCAGCTCAATGCAGGCCGGTTTTCTCGTCACCAACAGCATTCTTAGCGCGACGACATTGGAGTGAGTGTGCCAGCGACCAGCAGCTCATCCCAACCAGTAAGTTTCCCTCACGGCACACCATCAAGTTTCTTAGCGTGAAGTCTGCTGCGCCTACCTCGGGCAGCATACACCGTGTAGATACGGGCTGTAAGACCCGACAGACTGGAACGCTAGTATATCCCTGCATGTACCCATGAGGGGGACGAAGTACTTGCATCACGCGTCCAATTAAAAAATTCATCAGAATCCACTTAGCGAGAAATGCAACCCTACGTGTGTTCAATTACAAAAGCTGAGTACATGTATAGTAATCCTACCAGACAGGGACGATGACAATTTAGCCCGCATTTTACGACCAGCATACCCTTGCCAGCCCTCCTTCTTATCTCCGCTGTTCGTTTCCAAGTTCCGGGTAGGGCCAGCCCCCACCGTTCGTCCCGGGTTGAAGACTTGCAGCAGTTCGTGAGTTGGACTAGCACCGTCTATTGCTTCTCGAATCGTCATCGCCCTCCGTGTCTCTCTTTCGCTTACGGCTTGGCTTTGATTCCTGGGCTGCCCCTTTCTGCCTTTTTGACTCGCTCCCATGCGCTTCACCTTTTCGCTTGCGGCTTACTGGTTCTTCAATGGCCGAGCTATCATCCGCCTCGTGAGGTGATTGCTTCAGGTGACCCGAGCCCGTCTTTCGTTTCTTAGATCCAGTTGTATCTGATCCTTCGACTTTGCGTTTGCTGTTCTTTCGGGTTTGGGTGTCTGCAATACCTTTTTCCTTCGCCAATCCAGTCTGCTTGCTCACTCTCTGTGGCGTCTCCGATGCAGGTGCCTCGTTTTTGCCTCCACCTCTCCCCTTACCAATCATATCGTCCCATGTGACGTGGCCCTTCGTCCGTTTAGAGGGCTTCGTTAGTTTGTTGGGTGCCTTTGGAGCTTCTGTGCGTCTCATCGCGGGCTCCTTGAGCTGTCGTTTGCTCAGCTCCTCGTGATCATCTTCATCAGAATCAGAAATGTCTGGTGTGAATATTGGAGCTTCATCATCGGAGTCCGATTCAAAATTCGATTCGGGGCCTGATCCGACGCCTGGCTCAAAGTCTGACTCCGAGTTTGACTCCGAGTCAGATTCCGATTCCGAGTCGGTGTTGGAGGCGGATCTCGGATTCAGGTCTGAATCATCGCGATTGCGGAAGGTGTTCGGGTTTGTGGAGAGTCTTTGGGCCCAGATTTGGGATTCAAATCTTTTGGCTTGGATATGGAGAGCACTGACGTCCTCATCTGACGAACCGCGCAGCCGGTCAGCGATGATCAGAAACATCACCAAACACGCTCTGGTTTTTTCTCGGCTCTGGCTCTCGTCTTTGAGGAAAGCTCGATAGCTAGATCTCTGCCGAGGTTTCAACCGATCCCATTTCTCTTTCTCGTACAGAACTCGCTCCCAAGCAAAGAGAATTGATATAAGCGTGGCGGTGACTTCATTAAAGTAGTCCGTCTCTTTATTGAAATAGTTAGCGAGAAGCTCCATGCCATTATTCCGCTCGATGTGAGAGTCTATAGTTGCCATTGCGGCTTGATCCTCTTTGCCGAGGAACCCTTTGGCTACCGCATCTTTAGCCCACCGTGTGACATTGGTCACCGACCGAACACCGGGAATGCTATTGTTTGGTTGAATTTCAATCATGATTACTTGATCGGAAGATTCTCCTTTCAGTGGCAAGATAGTCTGTAGTACGAGCTGGGGAATGTGTTGCAGGATATGTTCAACTCAGCTGGGGCCCGATGCTTTAATACCTGACTCTCGGCGCTTAAAGAGACAGAAACCGAAAAGTTGGTTCTCGAATTTTGACTTCAAGGAGCAAAAAAGGTGAAGAGGAAGAAATAAGGAAAAAGGAAACTGGCCTCAGGTCGAGCTCAAAAATTATAAATCTTAGCTGCCGCCCTCGATAACGTAGTAAGTCACGCGCACTTTGCTCATCGATCTCAGCCGTACAATGAAGTTGTGGTGCCAAAGGTAAAGTGCCCAGCGGAAAGTTAGATTCTCGCTAATTGGAAAAGCTGCTATGATCTCTTCGTTCCCTTTATGGGCCAGGAGCGTTCCCAAACTCTTGCCTTTCATAGCCCATGTAAAAAGCAGAGGGTTGACACCCGAGTTGAGGAGCAGCATGAGGAGAGAGATAAATCTGAAAATGTGCAGATAATGACCTGGAAGGACAGACGGAGACGCAACTCTCGATTTCGGAAACGCCGCCAGACGTTCTTGAAGTCCGCACAGAAGCTCCACGAGGATTGCGAAGTGGACGTTTACGTTGCTGTCCGAAAAGGTGATCGCTTCTTCAGCTATTCATCTACACCTGAGGAAGCATGGCACATAGAGGAAGCCAAACGTGTATGTTCACGCCCTCGAGATATGGGCTTCGTCTGATGCAAGGAATAGAAAGACTGTCACCTGTCGCCCACGTCGCAGACATCCGAAAGCTTTGAGGTCCACAAAGGATAGATGGCAGAACAACAGTGGTGGTATGTCTGATATATCACGTAGAGTATATACAGAAATTCAATTGATCTTCTTACGGAGTGTTGCTTCCTTTAGGAGTCATGATTCCGCTGTCCATAGGTTCGGGCGTGCCCGGGCTGTACAGACTCCAGTGCTGACCCATTTTGTTCGGAGACCGAAAACCATTATCGAAGCCCTTTTAAGACGTTAGATTCTTTACTTTCGATTCGCGATGAACGTTAGCTTACAATGTTCCCAGTGTCCAGGCTGACGTGGGGCTTCGCGTGTCTCTGTAAATTGTCGACCTTGGCATGGAGACGTCTCAGCTCTTCCAGAATCTTAGATAGGAGGCTGAGCTCTGCGAGGTTTGCGCCTCCGTTGAATGCAGCAGACGCGGGACAGGCCCCGACGTCCGAGTAAGGTACCAGATGCAGCCTGCCGTGGGGCACAGGTCGAGCGTCGCAAGTGCCGCACCTCTCGGGGCGAAGCTCTGGCAAGTGATAAGAAGACATGGTTCGAAAACTGATCGAAATGCGTAGGTAGTGAGGCAAGTTTGGCACATGGCAGGGAAATGGTGAGATGTGTGGGGGGCTTTATACTTTGATATTTCTAATAGACCATATGAACCAAGAACTATCGATTGCCATACCTCTTATCCCAACGCAAGTCAATCCCACGAAAAGACGGCCTAACTTTGTTTAGCAAGAGGAGGAAATGCAGTCAACCGCGGCAAAGCTTTCAGACATCCGCGCTACAAGGGGCAGTCACAGTCTGCATGACCGTAAGGGTTGACACAACGGCCGTAAGCGCCGCGGTTGTCGTCAAGGATGTCGTAGGATCAGAGGCAGTGTTGGTGTAAAATGTCGCCAATGGATCCGACACTGATGTGGGCTCCGGCAACGCGGTTGTCTGGCTAGTCGAGGATCCTGTCCCGCCGGCGGCGCCCGTGTTGGTTGCCAAAGTTGTCTCGGCGGCCGTTGTTCCCGGAGGTCCGGGAGCTGTGTTGCCCGGAGAGTCAGTGGCTGGCGTCCCCACTGTAACACTGGTGGTCGAGGTTCGGGAAGCGGTGTCACCATTGCTGGTAGTTGTGGTGGCCTCCACTACGAAGTTCGTGGTGATACTTGTGATCAGGGCCGGTACGGTCTCAATGATGGTTGTCGACGACCTAGTCACGGTTGCGAGGGTGGTGCGGGTCAAAACTGACTGGGATACACAGCCTACTTTGCCTTGGTTCTGGAGGGGAAGGGAGGGGTCCCCCCTGCCACCAGTGATCATCGCGCGGGTACAAGAAGGCACTTGTCCGGCGCAGTGCCTGCACATGCGTTAGCCTGCTGCTGTTGGTCACGAAACATGAGAATCAAACCATGTGATGTGAGCTTCGCCATTGGGTGCACCAAGTGGCATCACAAAGTTATTGATCTTTCTATCAGGGCATTCCGCCTCGAAAGAGTAGCTGATCGGAAGGAAATTAGGGTCGGCAAAGTAAACCGTTGCTTCGCATCTCCGGTTTAGCGGGTCCTCGATTCTATCTCAAGTCAGCGGAAGACGGACGGCGCACAGTAGGTTGAGAGGAGAATTACGTTGCAGTCACGTTGGTTGTGCCAGCCTCGATTGGGATGGCGGGGCTCGAGACGCAGAGGAAAGGTGGTTGATATTGGGCAAAAGCATGCGGGAGCAGGATGATGAGGGAGAGCATGGATGTCTTCATTTTGATGGAATTGAGCGGTTCCCGAGCTTTTGGGAGGAGCTAAACGACTTTGGCCACTTTGGCACGATACGCAGATGCTATATACCATTGAAGCTGGGGCGCTTACGCGGTAATAAATTAGCAACAATCTAAAATTCGAAATAGATTTTGAGAAGTCTGAAACGCGCGACTGCGGCTGGCAAGCGCCCATACCTGTGCAAGCGCTAAGCGCTCTGGAATACAGATTATAAGATTAGTTCAAATCAATGGACAATCGCTGTCGATGGAGCACGGCCGAGCAGCACTTCTCATCTTCTTCATCAACAACTATGGATACCACATTCGAGGATTGGCAGAGATACCTTGACTGGAAGGAAATTTCCGATTCTATCCCAACCGGTATGCCCGACATGAACCTATCGCCTCAAGACGTGGTTCAATTTCCTACACGTCCTTTTGGCCTGGAGGGGATACCCGAAGTAGAGGAGAATGCCCCTGTGCCCGACCTCGAACTAGACACCTTCGAAGGGCCTTTCAGCAGTTTGTGCCTCCCGCAGATGGACCGAGGTTTGGACCTGGGCAGAAGCAACCAAGATAGCGAAGAGATCCTGAGGTAAACACACGTGCGCAATCCCAATGGGCATGGCTAATCACATCTTCAGGCGCCTGGATGACATATCCGCCCGCTTGTCTCGGCTGGAAAGCACTGTGACGACGACTGCCAACGACATGGAGCGAGTCATGCACACGGCTCGGGGAGCATTACAGAACCTGATTGACCTGGCAGATGGCTTCTATGATAGTATTGAAAAACTGAAAACGTGTATGGGCCTGTTCACCAAGGGGTTGGTAGAACACTTTTTCGGCGATGACGCGACGTTGGAAGTCGAAATGTAACGCTCGTAGTTGAAGACGTCGTCTGGGCATGGACAGGGGTCACACTTCGCGAAGTACCTGCAGGGGTATTGAGCCTTGAAGCATGTAACTGCCACCACTATCGCACACGTGTAATAAAACGTTTTTTGATTTTTTAATTTCTGTAATTGGGCACCTTAAGCCGGTTCGGGTATATCTTCTGCGCAACCCCGCCCCCGTGATTCGAGCTGCATGCAAGGCAAGTCCCCCGACCCGGTCCAAGGATGCGAACTTACGACAAAGCTCTCCCCCCCGACCCACTCTCAACCCGAAGGTCCAGGCCCAAGCGCCCAGCTCCAGCTCGCGTCCATGGAAAACGCCCCAAGAAAAGCCCTTATGAACAGGCGGTGACATACGAAGACGACTCAGACGACGTGGATGCCAATGCCGAGAGAATGAGCAGCCTGCAGAAAGAGAACGAAGCGTTGCGCAGCCAACTCGCTACGCTGAACAAGAGATTAGCCCTGCTGCAAGACCAATGCAACCACAACCGCGAGACAGTCGCCGCCCAGTCCCGGCAGATCCGGGTGCAAAACGACCAAGTCGCCAAAGTCGCCGGCGCTGTCAAGGAAGCCTTCCAGGGATACCAGGACGCCATGCGACGTCTGCGCCTGGAGACACCCGTTAGCCCGACCACCAGTAGCAGCGGCAGCGAGGAGATCCAGGTCCACAGTACGTTCAGTCTTAGTGATAGTGAGAGCGAGTATTCCGAGAGTTAAGCGCCTGACGCCGTACCCGCTTGGTGCTGAAATTGATTTCCTGGATTTCGTTTTGCCTTTCTGCTCCTCGCGCTTATCGCAACAACGCCTTTCTGCGCGACTTATAACATCGCCGACCTCCCGCTGTTTCGCTTTACCTCTCACCAACCTGGAACTCGAACGCCATAAACTTTGCTGCCCTCCCCATACACAAAACAAACGCCATTAAGATGACTCTCGGAAAGCTCACGTTGGTTATGGCCAGTGCCTACGCCGTCGCCAAGCTGTAAGTCTGGAGATGCCGAAGAAGGGCCGTCGCCTAACTCGTTGTACTAGGCTCGAGAGGGGTGGCGATCAGTTCCCCACTCGCCTCGCCGGACGCCCCGCCCACCACGGCCGTCGATCGCGCCGTTATCAGGACGACTATCGCTCCTCTACCTCTAGCTCGCGGCACAGCAGCTCGCCGGAGAGGAACACCCGCCGCCAATCTCGTAGATATGAATGACTGGGATGGAGTGTGTTGGTTCGCCTGAGCGCGCTAGGAGGGCCTCTTGGCATTAGTACCTACTTTTTGCGGTTAGAATAGTCTGTCCCTGAGTTCTCTGAATACATTCGATGCGCATCGTATCCAACAAATCCCATAACCTGCTGTGCCTATGACTAGGATAATGTCCCTGGTGGCGTGATCTCATTGCTTGCAGTGACCTGACATGTACCTTGTTTTTACACTGAAGCCAGCTCGACACGAATCCCTGCTAAGATGCGACTGTGCAGTGAGCGCCAAGCCAGGCCCGGCGCATGTCCGCCGACTTTGCCCCATTTGAGCTGTTCGGAACGGGGTGGGTCCGGAGCACAACGCGCGCGGGTAGTGATCGGATACCGTATTCATCTTGTTCGATTTCGGAACCGATTTCTCGTTTACACGCCGGCGCTTGCGTGATGAAATACCATTAAATACCGCAACAGCTACGATGGTACACTGTACGTTAGGAACCAACCTCTGTCCAACGCCAACATGATTCCTATCATTTGCCAGGTTGTCAACGCCGATCACAAAGGTCTCGCCGGAATGAGGGTAAATTTGGAATACTCAGGCGCTTATCAGTTTTCCTCGTCTCTCGAATCCTTCACCGGCCTTCAGGGTCTCACATCCAGCTGGACGCCCCGCCAGGGCTACGGTGGCGGCACTTATGGATACGGCGGCTTCGCCGGTTGGAGTGCTAGCCCACGGATCACCGTGAGCTTCATGACCGAGCGCTTCTTCTGCAACCCAACACCTTGGTCGAACATCCAGACCACCATTGACACACATGCGACTGGTTCTGCGAGTCACCACGTTCTCCTCCGGTTTAGTCGAGATAGAACAAGCTATCAAATCGTGCATACATCCAGGCCCTTAACTCCGCTTGTTTATGGAGAACGTCAGATGCCTGAAGTCGACTGGAATGCCGACCTTTGCATTGATCTGCCTGAGGCTTTGTCGCCGTCTTCTAATGACACGGGACTACTAGATACCCCGCCGTCATTGAGTCTGCCGTCTCCTTTGCTCGCATCATTTGGCGAGCATGATAATCTTATGGATGTCGAGCCCCGATCTTTGAAGAGAAAGGCCTCGTTGACCGAGAGCGAGGGTCCTCCCAGAAAGAGACGTCTCCGTTCATTTGCTTCTTAATACCAGTCAGGTCGTGGTCATGGTCTTCGGTTTTCAGACACATTTGCCGTAATATGGAGTTACACTGGCTGCTCAATTCAATAAATTGCCGCTTTGATTTAGATAGCAAAATGAACTAAGTTTACATTGAAAATAGAAGCATGTCCCTTGAGAAGCGGCTAGATCACTACTGGTTTCATGATGAAGTCCTGTAAGCACTGAAAACCCCGGTCCCTCGAGGTAGCACATAAGCGCCCATGCAAGCAGTAGGATGGTTGGACGCAAGGCCTGAATCTCTCATTCGTTCCATGGCATCAAGCGGGGCTTTTTAGCCGCGACAGACCTCCCTCGACGCGAACTCTTCTAAGTGGCGGCAGGACTGGAAATATTTAAGTATCCATCCTTCCACAGCCTTCGTTCCTCGATCAAACTTCTTCGTAGAGGCCTTCAAGACCCCAATCACTTGCGCAAAATGGATTCTTCCTCGCCAGCCGTCTCGCTTTCCGCAGGTGATGATGAGTCTGTCAACTTATCTACCACCCAGTCAGCCATGCGCATCGCACTTTCACACTGCTTTCGCTGTATCAATCTCATTGCTCAATTCGGAGACGCTAATAAGATTGAGTGCAAAGGTTTGCGTGCCACTTGCTTCCTAACTATTCTTAGACCCCTTTGCTGACCTACATAGACTTTGTGCACTCTGTTTGGCGGTCCAATTGTGGGTATTGCCACCACCAGAAGCTCACATGTGGAGTGGTAAGAGCGACATTCCCAGTCCCGGAGCATGCCTCTGACGCCGTGACAGATGCCGGATCAGTTTTACGATCAGTCTAAAGAACTCATCGAGGTTCATGATCGTTTCTGGGCTGTGCCTTCTCGCCAGACACCAGCCCTCAAGGCAGACCTCGTCAAGCTTATGACCTCATTCAGGTCCAGGACGCCTGCTGTTTCTGCCATCAATCGCTTAGTGCGTAGCGAACGTGGAAAGAAACGCGTGAATGGCCACATCCGCGCCATGGAAGGCACTCGTGGGCCCACGGTTACCTCTAGTGAACAAATCGATCCTCCGACTGCGGCGCCCGATGACAAGGCTGTATTGCGAAGTGTAGTCGCGGTCTTGACCGAGAATACATCGACCCTCCGCGAGGTAGTTTCTCAGCTTAAGATGGTAAGTAGCTAATATCAACGATATCGAATGTCTAGTTGGAAGACCCGTTCTGACACTGCCGGTAGATAAGTGATCGACAGAAGCAAACACCGGCTGGTAGCTTACCGACGTCTTTTCGAAGTCCAGTGCGGGCTGGCCTTCATGGCATGACTCCTATTTCAGTCACTTCTGCTCATGCATCCCCCCGGACTGATACCCAATCGACTGAGACTGTCGAAATGCCTGTTCCAATGCGCCTTTCTTCTCCTGCCACATTGCTACCTAGTCGCTTGCTCCCGCAGCCCTGCTTCCGGCCCCTCGTAGCTTCTCAATCCTTCAGCTTCGGTTCTTCTGCATCCATGCTATCAGAGCCTGTCGGTTCCCAGCAGGGGGATCTGTCGAATTCCCCAGATCATATTCGTCGTCGCCAGTTGCATTCGCCTGAGTCCAGGACAGCCACTCCAAGGAACGGCACGCCTTCGTCTTGCCATTCCAATCCAGGTGGGGGATCACCGTTCACGACACAAGATACGGCATCAGCGGTCCAACATCCGAGTAACTCCTCCGCCGGAGATCTAGTGACAAACCGCAAGAACGATCACACTGGCACTCTTCCCATGCTTCGAAACTTGGGGTCTCTTTCAGCCTTCGAGCATTCAGTCACATTGCCACCACTGGAATATCTCATGGCCCCCTCACACTCTGTGCCATCACCAGGGCGCCCAACTTGCCTGCCGGACGTTGCTGACCAGAGTGAAAGCCCTGTGTCGATGGGTCCCGTCAATATGAGCGATTCCAACGTCGAAGACCACTCGATGCCACTCCCAACTCCGTCACTTCCAGCTTCATATCTCCCTCAGCATGAGTCTTCCATCACGCGCTCAGAAACTGCGGTTAACCGATGTCGGTCTCCCTCGATGGAGGCGCAAAGATCAACAGTCAGCCCGCTGACTTCTGGTTCCATCACGAGCTCATTGCAATTGCCACGAGGACTCAAGGACATCACTGGACAAAAGTTTCGCTCCCCTCTCAGCACGGTCAGCATCGAAAACGTTCTTCCCCCTAACACAAAGCGATTGCGGCGCCCTCCTACCCGGCATGTCCTGGGCAGCCGAGTTGAGACCCTTCCTAGGTCACTGAATTTTACACCGGCCCGTTGGAAGCAGCCAGTTTCAGACTGCATTCACGTCTCTTCGTCCAGAGCTTCCCCCCCAGCTATTAGACGTGTCCGCCGACGAACGCGCTTGAGAGATTGATCATGTCGCTCTTCTGGGCATTGTATAGTGTGGCATCTTTATTGAAGTTTCAAATTAGCTAAATCGCGTGTTGCCCTAGCCTAAACAATTTGTTCTCCTATTTTCCTCAATCATCTTCAGAGTCTAGGTCTTCTTCTGAATCGTCTTCCATACCTCCCATCGCTCTGAGATAACGCCCGGGAATCCTATCTTCCCTCACTTTCTGAACCCTTTTCAGAGGCTTCTGGCCAGCCATCTTCCTCGCTGCGTTAATAGTGTGGTCTCCACATCTATTGCCCCACCTTGTATTATACGTCGTCTTCGTGAAGGCCTGAAACTCCCGTGACTTTGGTTTCGCGGCAATAATGTAACTTCTCGTCTTTTGGACGTTGCTTGCGACAACACCCGTTATCATGTCAGTACAACGCTTTACTTTGCCCAAAAATTCCGCACTTTTAGGGTACAGAGTCGTGCCCCCATTGCGTTCGAAACGCCCCGCCTCTTTGCTATACTGAGAAGCTAGTACCAAAACGCCACGATGCCAGTCCGGGTCTTTCCCTTTCCCAGGAAGAAGGACAAGGAAATAGTAATGAATGCGGCAAAGAATCCGGCCTTCAACTGAATCCCCGGACGTCTTGGATGAGGTATCAGGATCTTCGGGAAGTTCGATTGTATCCCAGCCAGGCTCGCTCTCCTCAAGGGGCGGAGTGCCTAGATAGAAGCCGTCCAGGCGGGAGCCCCCATTCCTGCTCTTGGTACCGTCGCTTGTCTTTGGAACTCCCTTGTTGGGGTCTGTATCTGATCCAAAGACCGAGGAGGAGGATGGGGGCTTAGCTGATTTGGTGGATTCTTGACCATGGATTGCTGCGTCTTTGGCTTGACCCTGGGAACGTTGATCTTTGTCACTTCTGGTATTATCTTGTTCATGCTCAGAGTTTTGTTCTCGCACATCAACATCACTCGCCTTGGGATTGCTCTTGTCGGAATCTGATCCTGAGACTGGATGAGTGGATTGTGACTCAGTAGTGCCCGTGGACTGATCGCTGGCTACCACTGCGTCTTCATTCCTGCCTTGAGAACGTTGATCTTTGTCGTTCTCGCCGCCGCTATTATCTTGCTGACGCTCAGGGTTGCTTTCTCGAGCACCGGTATCTGCACCATTCCCATCTCTGTTCTCTTCCCCGACACGTTCCTCGGTAGGGACCGTAGAGTCTTCTCCTTGGCTTGAGATTACGTTTTTGCTGGGCTTAACCCTCGAACTCCCAGCTTCTTCATTTCTCTTTGGTGGATTGGTGTCGGATCTCCAAAGATATTCGTCTACGGGTATAGCCTCTTGCTTCTCATGGCATGCCGTCAGCCATGTCTCTTTCAGTAGGGTAAATCCGTTCTTCTCGGCATTCTTGAATTTCTTAGTCTTTTGGTCCACTTTAGGGCCTACGATCAGGTAAAAAGTGTGACCCTTTAGATATTTTTTCTCCTTCGCGCCGTCCACCTTATTGACGACCTTCGCACCCAGTTCCAGTGCCGTCTCTTCGGCGGCTGACTGGCCGTTTGGAAAATTGCCAGCAAAGGCAAGAGCATAATTATCAAGAGCAGACGGCATTTCGGGAGTAAGCTGGATCGGAAATGGTCGGTGCTTCCAGCCTTGTTTGATATGGATTCCACAAGAGGCGGCAAGGCGCCGCTTTTTATGTCGAAGCAGGCTTGGTACGTACAGGAATATAATTAAGTTTCTGTATTTCAAATCCATAAATTTAGATCCAAAGTCGTCACTGGCAGTTGCGAAACGCGAAGCCAACCTTGACAATTTATGTGCATCCTACTAAGTCTATTAAAGTGGCTTTGTTTCCAAGCGCCGATAAAATCAGTTCCCACTTCCCGTTTACTAAGGCAACGTCATTCAGGCTTACGGCTTTCAGCTGGGTATGCCTGTGAACAAAGTCCACAACGGCATGTCTGGCTACATAGACACCTGCCAACCTCAAAAGCAGTAATTGAGACTGTTGAACATCCTCCAAAGGAAAAATGAAGCCGTGATGACGGTAAGCAGCTACCGAAAGCCTCTGGAGATTCGGAAATGACCGTAGAAACTCAACGAAAGCCGGAGTGTCTGTTGTGGCGAGGAATAAAGCACCGATGTCTAAGTCTCTAATCCATTCGAGCTCGCATATGGTCGGAAATTCTGCCAAGCGACTTCTGATATGCAGAGAATGAATGCGTTTGAATCTAGGCAAAAGGCGACACACGATGTCAAGGAGATTTCCAACAGAGTCGAAGGTCGTCGGTGACATCCGAATTTGGTGGCGTAGCTCAGCAAGTTTGGCCTTCCCCAGTCTGCCGACTGTCTTCTTCATGAGAGACGAAACTACGATCTTTTCCAAAGGTGGCAAGTGCAGCATAATCCGTTCGAGTTGCGCCTGGTCATCATCGATGTTGCGGCGACGTTCTTCTTTGATAAAGTTGAGGTATGCGTTGAAAGCTCCCTGTGCAAGTTCATCGCTTGTAGCCCGTTTGTCTTGGCTTGAAAACATGCTTTGGGGTGCATCAGCGACTTGAAGAGGGTGGGTGGCCCAATCGTCCCGTGTGCAGGTCGGCCATGTGCCGTGGTATACAGAAAGTTGGCGCGTGGAAAGACCGCCAGATGTAACGAGATTCTCCAGTTCCGAGAGACAAGACGTGGTATTTAGGACAGCAATATGCTGAAAAATAGAGCGACGACAACAGGAAGCCACGCGCCGACTTACAAGTGCAAGGCTAAGGAGGTCAGAGAGGTCCAGGTATGACGCGACCTCCTGCAAAATTTCGACTGGTGCGGCCTCCATACTGAGAGTAGTCTGTATTGATACTAGAGTTTCAAACTTACTCTATTTCACATGGTCAAATATATAATACCCGCGGAGGTCCAGGCAGTCGCTGCCGCCGCGGCAGCCATACAAAAACTGGAATTTAATTTTCAGAAACGACAACTATGTTACCCATCACGCTTAATTGTGCCCGGCGCTTAGGCGAGCTGCAAGCGCTGCGTGTGTCCTAAGCCAGCAAGCCCCCCCCCCCTCCCCTGCCCCAAAAAAACCAAAAAAAAAAACCAAAAAAACCTGGACGCTTGGTGGAACTTGCCGCATTGGCGGCATTGACGCGTAGGTAACAACGCGATCAGAGCCAGGTTCGAGAGATCAATCTACTTCAAGCCCTTTGAACTCAGATAATGTTACGTATGGTCAGGGAAGTGGCGGATTTCAGACACTTCAAAAACCTCGGCAGGATAGAGATCATTTTTATTGTCTAGCTAAAAGAACAATCCAGCCCCCAGCATGTTAAAGACTATCGTAGTGCCGAGGAACAGGCCGCTGCAGAGGGCACTGTCACCAGACTGGACATCGAGGCCCCAGCCGCTCAGTGCAGTCTTCATCATACCGATGGTTGTAACCATGAAAATGGCAACGAATAGAGGGACACACATGCCTAAGAACAGCAGAACCTTTGCCCAAAAGCCCAGAACCCGGCGCATCCAGAGTATGATAACGTACAAAATCGCTGTAGAACTCGCAAGGAAAAGATCGCTAATAACTAAGTCGTCGAAAATGAGATCCTTCATCACGTTGATCGCTTCTGCCAAAGGTCCGAGGTCGGGCCCGTCCACAAGATTCCTCGCAGTGTCGAGCGCGTCGTGCAAGGAGGAACAGTTGACTGTGCCCTCTCGGAATCCGAGACATGCTCCTTGGAATCCAAGGCTGAAGTTCGCAACTTGTCCGAGCTTGAAGTCCTCAATGCCAGGATTAGCTGGGTTGTAGAACTTCTTCTTGTCAATGGATCAATGAATCGCTGCCTGCCAAGCTCATGAGGCACCTACCTGAACTGTGATAATCCCCTGGTTCCGAAGCTTATCAGCCTTCTGGAGGACGATCCCTAGCCCAAGATGAAGTGCAAGTGACACTAAGGCGACCACGGATAGGAATACCCTAATGCTCATTGTTTCGGCGATTCTTTTTTGGCACACTGAATCTGGTCAGAACAATTAGCTACGTAGGCGAGCCTTATATTTGTAGACGTCTTTGGCACCGTCTAGCTGAGTTCCAGGAATTTAAATCTTCGAATTGAATTTTAGAAATCTCAAAATGAATTGTTGGGTGGACGGGGATCCTCGCATACATATTTAAAGCGATGCCTGTCCATACAGTTGCATCGAGGAACCAAAAGACTATCCGCCAGTCCCGCCATGATCCAAGAAACATTGCAATGGGCTGCCGGGCCTGGAGACCACTGCGGGAATCTCCAGCCTCACTATGCATCGGACGTCAATCAATCAACACCGTATTTCCAATGGCTACCCCATTGGCCGCAACCATGCGCGAGTGAAGCTGACCCCTCACCGCTAGGGCCACAAGTTGAAGACAGCCTTCTCAAAGAATTTCATGCAGAGCCAGAGCCGATGGATATTGACTCCGATCTGCCTTCGCCTGGGCTATCACCCTGGAGTCACAATAGTACGAAGGCTACATTCACACAGGAGCCAGAACCGGAGTCTAGTAGGGCTGTCGACGCCCGCAAACCCCGTGCCTGCCGCACCAGGACCAACTCAAGTCGCGGTATCAATAAACGGAGGTCTCTCCACCTGGCCGATGTCGTCCCTACATCACCGCCATGGAGTGCCATCATGCGCAGCTTACTGAGTCAGACTCCAAAAATTCTCGACCAGAGCTCGTGGACAAGCGTCCATAACTGTTGGCGGGACGTGCTCCAGCGATCCGCCATGACGGGCGATGTTAGCCAGGTGCAGGAGGTATTTCGATTTGTAGATGGCATTATAGACAGTTCTTCAATGCATTGGCTAACAAGATGCGCTTATTTGCACCTTACACGAATGTTAGTGTTCCTGACCAATGTCATTAAAACAGATCGGGAGAATGGCCGCCTACGACTAGAAATCGGTAGGGGCGATGCGACCGTTGCTTTGGAAATCTATCACCAATCACAATGTGGGGTTTCGGCTCAACAAACCTTGAAGCAAGCAAAGAGACGGTTGCGCATTGCACGACGATGGGCCGATCTCACAGGAGGGTCTCTCCTACTGGTGTTTACTTACCACGATAAAGCAGACATAGTCATGTACTTACTGTTCAAATACACTACTACATAAGGTAAAGCTGACTCTAAGTAGCCGAAACTTTTCCATTACGAACCGAACTCTTAAAAATGTTGCGAGGAGTACTATTGCGGGATTCCCTCACCGATTAACGGGGCCATCTAGCGAGCTCATCCAACTTAGTGACATGGCAGTGCAAGGTTCACTGACAGATGCACAAGCAAACATAGCTTTGTCAAGGTTGGAAGCGGTGTTATGCGATGCGAAATTAATACGAAGAGCACAATTTGGTGACAACCCGCGGCCCCCGGACACACAAGGGTACTTTTAGAACCTGCTTCTTTTGGTTGGGTCTCCTCATTAGAGGATATTTTGGGGGATGCCTTTGGGGGATGCCTTTGGGGGATGCCTTTGGGGGATGCCTTTGGGGGATGCCTTTGGGGGATGCCTTTGGGGGATGCCTTTGCGGGATGCCGTAGGATGAGTCATTAATACAAATCCCTGTGAATCTTACCTAAGCACGGACCAGATGATCCACGTGATATATGCCATATCTTTAAGGCGTTCATCGTATCACCTATCGAACTGCCTTGCGGTGCATATCGAAAAAACAAGCCATTGCGGAAACTTTTACGGCAATCATGACCACCCAAACCGACACTGTCGTCTTGTGGAATGACTTCCTTCGAAACTACAACCATGAAAATAAGCTCTTCAAGACAGAATTTGACAGTTTAAGACAATCATTGCAGTCGCTTGAACAACGAGCGATAGCTACGGAACGGCAAGTCGGCGATCGCCTCGACCGCTTCGAAAGTCGAGCGCGAAGTACGGAACAACGTATTGAGGATCGCCTCGATCGTTTCGAAAATCGCCTCGATCACTTCGAAAAACGAGCGATTGATTCTGAACAACGAAGGGCTGAATCACTACAAATCGCGGCAAGCCTGAGGAACCACACTATTCGAATTCCGACTCTCCGAATCTACCCCCTGGTTGCCTTTGACCTCGAGCGGGGTATCGTCGAACCAGAGTCTGAGTGGTTTCCGAAGAACGCAAATGAGTTCTACTCATTGAGAAATCCAAAGACCGCTCGTCAACGCCGCATGCTGAAATATCTGGTGGAGTTCTACGACGTGTCGCAGCACATCGATGCCTCGGGTGATTCGAGCGATTCAGGTAGTCAGGCCGACGTTATACAAGATCCCGAAACGGCCGTCACTATGCTGGAAGGTGTTCTCGGTCTCAATGAAGATAATTTCATCCACTTCAGACGGCACGTAGAGGAGTCAAGCAGACGCTTAGCACCCACTGCTGGCAAGCGATTTCAAACCGAGGAACACGAGCGAAGGACGAGGCCCGAAGTGTGCCAGTCATCGGTTTTACCTCTTCGGGTGCAAATGGAATCAATCTCTCGCCATCTCCCTGCCGAGCCCCAACTTGCCAGTCCACCACCGAAGGCGCAGTCATACGAATCGGAAGACGCGCATATTAGTTGGGGGTCGCGCCAAACGCCTTCAGATCAGCGGCAGACTGTCAACGGGCTGGCTGCTCATGTTCGTAAAATGAAAAAGTTGACACAGGAGCAACAGGGAAGCGAAGAGAACAAGAGGGAAAGTGACGGTAGCGAAAGTCCCACCGCAGCATTCACGTCTAGTGAAAGAGGGTGATAAGTTCGTGCCTATGGTTTCCCGTACGCCTAGTCTGTGTTGCTCTTCGTCACCACGTTCGCATTAGCTCTCCATGATATCCAAGAATATCGGTCGCTCTAGAGCGTCCGTCGTTATATCTGAAGCGAGACCCGCCCAGTCCCTGTCTACATACATACAGTCATTCCAAAACGTGAACAGCCGCCCATCTCAAGGCAACGAAGAGCAGAGGAATCATGGACGGTATCGACCTATTGAAAAATGAATTCATCCGTCAATGATCCGATCATCCACGTTCGCAATCACTCGATCACGTCCCAATCGTTACGCCGCAAAGCAACCGTGGCGCTTGGATCATGTCATCCATGCGCTCTCCTCGTATCATTGTTGCAAGGATTGATGTCATTGTGATGCTTTCTTGAGAAATTTCTCTTTTTGGGGCGCTATGCGACCCAAGGCTGTTGCCTAGAAGCCATGCACGTTGGTGATAACAATCTGTACACCCGCGTCGGCTGTCACTACACCAAAGTGCTGCAGCAGTCCCATTAGGGGGTGAAAATGGCGGGGTTTGAGCGCTAGTAGACCTAGAAGGCCGACAATGTAGGTGCATGCATGCTGCAAGGCGTTTCTCAGCTTGTGACTCACATGGGCCAGTTTAAGATTTGCAGGTGTCAGTTGCGAAAGGTCTCGCTGCAATAAAACAGAGTGCCACCGAAATACAGATCTGTGCCGACCAACGCCATTCCGCGCCCTGCCCGTGACTGAGCGACACAAAGGCAGCGTTTCCAGTGGTTGGATGTGGCTGTGTGATATCACATATGACTTTTGATATAAGTGGTGTCTATCTGGCCTTCATGAATAAGTTGAGTGAGCAGCCTGACAACAGCACGCCTGCACTTGGCAAGAGAAGTGTTAAACCCCCCACAACTAGCAGTTGCTTAGACTTCTGTCAAGTATGCTGAGCTTTGGCTCAGAGGTTGAGTGAACGATCCTGGTGCTTCTTGGCATCCGGCTTCTTCTAGCCAGTACCCTTGCCACAAGTGCAGGCGTCCTCAGAGGTTGTTGGTCTCGGCTAATTATTGCTCTGATACGAAAGATTTTATTCTACATTTTACCTTGCTGCCTTGAAGCACCCATGCGGGAAGGCAACTAAAAACGCTTCGCCATATCAGATGGGTTGGTTGATGCTGACATGGCTCAGTGTGTGTGTGTGGGGGGGGGGGGGGGGGGGGAAGGCATTCTTGGAAGAATATAAAAGCCCAGCCGCGGAGCAGATGAAAGCAAGACAAATCTCTAGCCAACTTCACGTTCATCCACTTTTGTATCCGCCAACCCGCCGTAACTTGCTTTGTTCTAGGTTGATATTTGCTTCGCATCTACATCTATCGTCCTCCGCCACGCCAATCTGTGCTTATTTCCTCACAAATCGAGGTAGGATCTCATAGCTTCCAGCTCAATTGACGAATCATCAACTCAAGGAATACAAACTGAAACATTGCTAGCCAACATGCCCGCAGGATCCAAAAGCGCTTTTACAACTTGTGCTACGCTTGGTTGTGATGGGGCAAACATCGGACGCGGCCAAGCGTGCCCCAAGGGATGTGGTTGGACGCGCCCCTCGAACGACGGAAAGTGATTGATTAGCAGCACATGGTGGATGGGTCATTTCCATCACGGAGTGTGACAGTCCACCCCTCATCGGGAGAACGCAGATAACATGAGCAGACTGTTTTCTATCAAATATATGCATGTAGAAAACCAAAATGTAGTTTGTGTTTACCAATATCCATCAATCAGCTCACCAAGGCAGCACTGCGTGTTTCTCTAATCAAATGAGAAAAGTCCACACCGCCGTCTTTGCCACGCACCTCAATTGTGTCACACAACTGCCCATGCATACGACCGTCTGCGGTGGGCTAGCTAATTAAAGTAGCTGCCACTGTGGGCCCAATGCAGCGTTCAGCCCATCCTGCACTTCTATAAAGCCCCAAGCAATCCTCCCATTGACTTGGCCCTCGAAACCCCACAAGTATGTGAGTGATCTTCTTCGTACTCCCAATGGACGCAAATTCGAGTTCCTGGACAACAGTTCGGGAATTTCTTCGGGACAACGACCAACATTCTATCGCATGTTTCGAATCAGTCAACTGGGATCAGCTATGTCAAATCGCCTCGAATGCCAATCGCAACTTGGAATGTGTGGCTCTTGATCAGATAACGAGTGGACTCAACAATGTCGTCCGTCAACTTGAGTTTTCCGACAAGACTCGCTGGGCAGCCAGGATTCCCATCATCAGAAACCAGCGTCTCGCTTCTTACAGCACGAAGCTAGACAATGAAATAGCAGCCATGCAGTTTATTCGAGAAAATTCCAGTTTGCCAGTCCCCCGAGTCTTTGCGTACGACACTGACGCAAACAATGGCGTCAAAACTGCTTATATGCTCATTGAGGTCTTGCCCGGCATCGTTGCTATGGATGCTCTCGGTGGTCATAAAGTACACGGTGGTGTGATCCCTATGCGGTACCGGCAGACCTTCTATCGCTCCGTTGCGGAGTGTCATGTAGGTACTCAGCGGCTTTCCTTCTTAGTCTTAACGTGCATTGACTTGCTTAAGTAGATCCAGATGACATCAATGCGACTTCCGAAAATTGGGACTATCATCCGCAATGAGGACGGCGAATACGAGTCTGGGCCGATTCCGGGGATCGGGGGCCCGTTCGATACAGCGGCGGCTTTTTTTGAGGCATGGGCTGATAAGGTTGATTTCAAGCTTGACAAGGAAACAATCACGCAAATGATGCAGAGAAGCCCAGTATCAGCGGCTGAAATGACTCGGATTGTCGAGGAGTTCCCATCGCAGATCAAAAGCATGGCCAAACAGCTGGACTTATACAACAACGGGCCATTTCCTCTGTGCCATGATGATTTCCTCCACAGCAATATCTTGGTCGACGAGGCTAGCTTCAACGTGACGGGAGTTATTGATTGGGAGGGGGCATGCACGGTCCCGTGGGTGCTCGTAGCGTACCCCGAATTCCTTCAAGTCATGCCCAGGTCATTCGACCTGCCCCAGCATTACGACGAAGACGGGCAACCCCTCAAGGAGAGCGTGAGAGAAAGATGGTCCGAGCAGCGAGACTATGTTGACATGGTGAAATCAGTGGAACGTGAGGATAACCTACTCTCGGCTTGTCTCAGCAGCAACTTGAACCAGGCTCTCGCTTATTCCTATGGAGCGTTTACCACTGGAAAATTGGGATTTTATGATAGAGTTGTAGCGCAATTGAAAGAAGGACGGTATATTTAATACCTTCTATGAATCTCTGGACAATCATCTTCTCGGCGGAATCTTCAACTCAAGTTGGTGAAAGAGACTTCCGCAGCCCATCTTTCTCACCATGAATGAATTGTGTTACTCAGTCTCTAATATCATCTCCGTTGCGAGACGAGGATAGCGAGGAGCCGTCCGCGTTAATGGCAATTCAGATTGCGTGGGGTAAGGGTGAAACACTAGAGGAGTGATATGGAACACAGCGTCAGTATCTTGACAAGGTGTTGAACCTTTTGTTGCTAGTCACGTGTGGGCCGCCGGAGGGAGCCAGGGCAGACAAATTGCCTGTAATGAGCATCCAATCATTACGGATCAAAATCTAGGCAACAAGGTTGCCTTATCAGTGGCGGTGTATTTGAACCTCTTGCCTCGCGCACAACATTTGGAACTCGTTGCCAGGCTATTTGTTTAGACATATTCTACCACACACAAAAAAATGTCAAGCAATCAACGCACGAGGCAGTGCAGTCTGTCCCCCTATCAAACCAAAGTCATGCGACTAGTAGAAATGCAACGGCGAACACTGCTTGAGGAACCGGTAGGTTCAGACCCGTATAGCATTCACAAAGCTTACAAGAGTCAGTTCCATAAGAAGGTGCATGCATACGATCTCCTTAGACCTTCATCGCATGGCTCCAACAACCCTCAAGCTGCGGATAAAGAGAGTCTGACCATCGAGCCCAACCTGTCGAACTTGGATTCAACGAGATGAGTGTTGCTAGTGGATATGGAACAGAATGACTTGTACTGTCCGCGCGAATCGATAATATTCCTGGGCTTCGAGGACAAAGAGATGCCCAAATCCAGTTCTGAGATGCCCTTTCAAAACGAGACTAGGGCTAAGGCTATCATGACGGAGTTGCTTGGGGTAAAAGTTTGCTGCGCTCGCGTACAGTTATTGTTTCGTGTAATTTCACTTTGATGTACTCTTGAATAAACTTGTCTGTGGTTGGGGTGATTTGATTTCTCCGGCTTCTTTGCCAAAGCGTCTCATACTTCGAGAGCAGAACTAGCTTGATGACCTTGACGCTTTGGCACGTTGATCACGGTATCTGCAATGACTCTTATTCGCATACATCCCCGAATCTATCACTATTTCAAGTTTCACTGAGCGTGTGAGTTTGTTGAAACGGGACTTGGGGCCAGCTCGGTCACCTGCGATGCCGGCAGCCCTACAAATACAAGCACCCCGTGTTCGGCAGCGTCATTGACTTCTTCAGCTTGGGTCGATTCCAAGAACTATCTGAGTGTACTGTGTTAATACATCTTCAGGCTCAACATAATTCGAGGAGTTTTTCTTGTTCGACGTCTGAAAACGGAGAAACCGCTTCCAGCTAAGATCGAATCTCAAGACCGACAGCCAGGTCAAGATGATTAGGAGTTAGAAGATGGAGATTGAATTGCCGAAAGCGTATGAGATGGCATTTTTGCCAGGCTAAAGAACAGTCGGTCAGTGTAAAAGGAACGCCGCCGCTACTCGCAGACTGGTGCCGACGATGCATCCTTTGAAAGTTCAAAGGGGGATCAGCGTTGGAAGGAACCGGAGCCCAATGTACTGGCACCATTCAGCACACAATGAGATAGCCAAGGTTTTTCAGCAAGCCATACCAAGATTGATGATAGAGCACCAAGCTGCATCGGGGTTGGAGAACATTGTAGAGTAACTGTTGATATCCCCATCACAGGGTAGTTGATTCGAACCGGTAGGCTCTGTGGGGAACTAAAGATCAACTGCTGTTTATTGATTGAGTCTGCGTAATATGTAAAAGGGATGTTCCAACCGTAGGTTGAAGGGTTAGTTGAGGTCTAATTGAGGCCATTGGAGGTGGTCCTTGCCGCCGCCCTGACTCGTAGTCGAAGTGGACTTCCAGTCTGACAGTTAATTGCATCTTGGTCTGGGCCGTTATTGAATCGGGCATCTTAGTGTTGCTGGCTGCTAAAAGCTTTTGAAAGTGAGCCATCAATGATAAAACTATCGCCGGACGATGGCATGTCAAAAGAGAAAGCTATTAGCATTCCTTGATCGCGACTGTCGCTCAATCTAGGGATTAGTATGGTCAACCAACAACGTACATGTCACCAACCAGCAAGCCAACCAGCCAATAAACCATCGCATATCAGCACCCCGACCCACCAGCAAGCCAACAAACCAGCAAACCAGCAAACCAACAAAGTCCGCCAACACCATGTAGGGGGAGATCACATGCAACATGAGCAGTCTTTTATAGGTTTTTTGGGCTATTGGGTTCTATAAAGTGCCGAGTTCGCCCTCCCAGCTATTCACCGCGGCCTAATTAATCCTACATCATTGTTCCATCACCGAGCCAACAACTTTCATTGGTTACGCACACCTAAGAGACCCGGTCTCTCAACAACGCCTAGCCTTCACGCCGCTTCTGCAATTGGATCGCTCGGCAAACAAGGCCAGACCAAGACTTTATAAGTCGGAGTAATCGATCTTACCATGCACGTTCAAGAGGATGACAACGAGGATGATCACGACTATGGCCATGACGATGAAAATCCCATTGACATCGGCCGAGCAACCTACGAACGAGAGTCTAGTACTCATGAGCATGAAGATCTGGGATCCGCGCCGTTGTAGAATCGTTTGAATCACGACACAGTGACAGTACAAACAGGCGAACTTGCGACAAAACAGAGGCAAGGCTTTCGAAAGTAAGATTAACGCTAAGAATCAGAAATATCACCATTGGGCCAGGAGACATGCTGGAATGGAACAGATCAATCGGTCCGAATCCCAGCCGTGGTACCGATACCTCTTCTACCAACCAGCCAGCAGCCGACGAGAACCATGCCCAAGGCTCAATCCATGCTATTGGTGCAGCCAGTCTTCAGATAGAGCCGTCTGTCAAAAGCCGGAATGCCGCTTTGGAAGAGTACGAACACCAACTTGAGCTTCTTTTTCCAGAGAAAGGATCCACCCAAAACGAACAAGCGCGGTGTGGCCGAGTTCCCCAACGGCGCGGATCGGAAGAGGAAGCGTAGAGCCTACAAATGAGAGGAAAGCCTGGGCGCACGTCCAAGTTCGCGAAAATCACCATGCTAGTGGCTGACTGTCTGTATTGGTATTTCCTAGGCGGCACAAGCTACAGCCGTTCACTACATCTCCCAAGCTGACTCTGAATGAGTAATATATAAATCTCACATTCCGACTGAATCTCGATTATACGTTTGAGGTTGAGAATGTACTTGCTATCGGTGGGGGTCGGCTTTCGTTGGGATCAAGACTTTGGGTATCCTGTGCAGGATACTACATTGGCATTACTGCCCTTAATCACCATGTTGAAATCGTAACTTTGACCGAGTCTCAACTCCTAGGGTCGACCAAAATTAAGCTGTTGTCTGACCGTTGCTCATCAGATAGAGAGCCTTACCGTTCATTTGCAGGCTTTGTGAGACTACAGAGCTTTTGCCCTCTCCACAAAGAATCGATTCCTCTCACCCCGAATGCAATTGTTGTACGATTATGAGAAGTCTTTCTTCATCTGTGTGAGAAGTATTACCCCAGTACGCGAGCAAAAGCGACAGACAGCACGCTTGCCCAACCTGATGTACTTCACAGACGGCAAGCAAGTGCCTGACTTGCAATTTGATTATTCCCACACCGCCGGCGTCTACGACCGAATGGCACGACAGTCGAGCGCGTCCATATGTGAAGAAACTTTTTCATGCGTTCTGCGGCTTTCTCTGTACATGAACCTGATGTTACAACCGCGTATACGGCATCTGTAAGGTTTCGTGTGGTAGTCAATGTACATCCTGTGGCAAGTAGACATTGGTGAGCCCCGTGTAAAAGTAGCAATTATGCAAATGAACGGCTACTAACTGGTAAGAAGCGGTGGAATATGTGGGCAGATGTTCACTACATTCTTCATCGGGGCAGTGATATCGACCCTCTTGCGTTGGGCCTCTGAGGTACCAAGGGTGCGACCTATCAGGCCCATCAAAGCTCTCCATATCTGTGACTGCAGCTAATAGTGAATGTTATTAAATTTAATAAAAAGAAGCTCCGTGACAGAGAAACCTTACCAATACGGCGCCCAGGAGCATCAATAGCTCCCGAAATCTCGCGACCTTGCCTTGACGATTTCCCACCATACTGCCTCGCTTTTGGTATCTGTCGCTGTAGCATCACGATTTCTTCGCAATGGAACACGATGTCTTCTCGGGAGTCGAAGTCTCTGTCTGGTGGAGGCCAGTGAAAGAGTTGCCGAAAGTTTTCTAGAGAGGGGAAATACGCGCGCATCTCAACGTATCGAGTCGGGAGGGTGGGTTCGAACTTGGGCAATATCGGAAGCGGATCGGTCCAGACAAATAACGCACTGTCAATCAGAAAAAGAGAACTACAGAAGGTGCTAAAGTTGCTTACACCTGGTAACCACGATATACGTAGTTTGATGCCACAGTGTTTCGTCGAATTTCACCTGGCTCGGTTTCCGAGAGGAGATCATGGAGAACTGCCCTCTCAAACTCCAACCGGTCAAAGCGACTCCGGGGGTATCTTGGAACGGATCCTGGATGAGGAATCCAAAGCGGCTTCGGATCAGCTAGAGAGCTGAATACCGTTCGTCTCTTAAAGAAAACTGCGTAGTCAACGAGTCGAGTATGTGGGGTTTGAAAACAGTGGTGTGGAGTATCAGTACACTTGTCTCGAGCCGTAGTACGCTCGTTTTTATCCGTCTTATAATCCTCCAGAGCCCTCTTACACTTGTGGGGTGTCAGGGTGTTGCACTCGTCCTTGATTCGGATACATGGTATGCATGGGCGAAGCCATACCGATCCGTGAACACATGCAAGCTCGCTATGAAAAGTGCCGTCGAAGTTGGTAAACTTCTCGACCGCGTGGTCGAGATGTGAGCCTGTCCTTGAGTACTGTTTAGCTGAAGTCTCGGAGGGCTGGTGCGTTGACGCGCTTACATTGAGGTAGCAAGACTAAAGTCGGCTTGGTGGGCGAAGATGCCGGATTGGCAGAGGTTAATTTACGTTCTTAACAACGTTCCGGGCGGGAGGAGCCCATAGGTACTCGCAGCCCGTCGATCAATGAAGCTGCTCATGAGGGAAAGAGCTCGGCAGGGTATGCAAGGCTTGGGTTGGCTGCTGACGAGTATGTCCAAGTTCTGTACATTCTTTTCAGGTCCAGTTGCACTGCAATGAAAGGCGTTACTGGAAATAAGGGGGCACGCATCGAGTGAAACCCCCACACACTGTGCCCCTGCAAGTACATTGCCAGTCCACGCACCCCAGCTCCGGAGTAGCAATCTCGCCCGGTGTGCATGCATGGCCATGGACAGCAGACGTACAGGGGCAGACTTGGTACCCGCCTGTCATTCCGGCCTTTGCCAACTGGACAGCGGCGCTCCTCAAGTGATTATTTGCCCACGACCCTCACCATCTTTCAGTCTTCATCACGGTGCAAGCCAATTCTAGTGACCCTGTTTTCTACATTGATGTTGACGACGTTGTGAAAACCCGCCTTTTGCCGTACCACTACATGTGCGCTGTGACGTACTGGCTAAGTCTCCAAAGTAGGGTGCGGCTTACGGCCCCAAACATCCTTATGCAGACACCACAGATTCATTTTCCCGGACATGATCTCCTTTCGTAAAAGAGCGAGAAAGACCTGAACTTCGTTCCAGGACCAGCCAATTGATGTAGCCGGGCGTAGAATGAAGCCTTCCAGATCGTCCATCATCCCTTGCGCCCACGGTCTGGTTTCCTTACCATTTTCGTCCGGCTGCCATTGACCAAGCGGAAACTAGTAGTATCAGCCTCTTGTGGTTCTTCTTAAGAGAACGTTCGCTACCTACCTTGAATGTTTTCACTTGTATATCAGTGAATCCAGCCTTCACCATGCAGTCTTCCTGTAGCCCATTGCGTACTACTGCAAAGGTCTGGTCCACCATCTTACCGTACTCATCGAGGATACGAACCAATTGTTGACACGCGCTATTCTCGTCGGACCTACCATGATCGGTTTCAATGACCGGAGATGGCTCAGAGCTTTCGAAAATACCACCAGGCTTGAGGACTCGTAAGATTTCTGCAACCAAGGAATCCCAATTGCGAATGGAGCCGCTTAGAAACCTCATGTGTACATAGTCAAAGCGGTTATCCTTGTACGGCAATTTCTCCCCACAATCGACGACTTCGCTGCAGAACAAAAGAATTAGCGTAAGGGCCACGTAAGGATGACTGCAGGATTGAGGAGGGGTTGACTTACAAAAACACGTTTGGGGGAACCATACCGGGCTGGATTGGCGACAAATCCGTACCGATGACCGTAGCACTTGGAAAACATTCGCCAAATTGCCTATTCAGTTAGGAATACATAAATTGAAAGACCTCGACACTCACACGGCCCAGCTTCCCGTTCCAGTTCCAATGTCCAGCACTCGCTGACGGAAGTTAGCGGCAAGCCAGAGTAGACGCAGTAGACTTACTTGGATATCAGGTGCCAACTCTGCACGTTGCATCCGTCCTGTAAAATCCCTGTACGTGTCGTTGCTGGATATTGGGATCGTTAAGCACATTTCAGAACCCGTCTTGTGGTGTATGAGTCGTACTAAGAGTTCATTGCTTTGCTCTGAGGCTTGTCGTTGGCGCCCCTCATAGGTGTCAGCTTGCTTCGACCGGTGGACCTCGAAAGGGGGTACCAGTAGACTGTCGTGGACTCAGAGTAGCTATTATGGTATGTTCTACCACGAAGCACTTGGTAATTGATCGTGTCTTCATCCAACGATAACGTGGAGCGCCCTTCGTCATCATCAGCGAGCCCCGAATCGGCGTCGTCTTCCTCCTATCGAAATAGACTGTTAGATTAACAAGTCCTGCTTGAGGGGAAGCGTGGTACCTGCTCCCATATCAGTAACGTTAGGACTGACTAGTTCATCGATTGATGCCGTTGTCGGCTCTTCGGCTGCAGATCTGGGAGTTGTTTGGGCCTCCATTATCCCAGCTCGTGCCAGTCAATCGTGTCGGGATGAACACTCGCTTTCATTGCGTTGAAAAGTGCAAGACGTTGAATTTTATTTTTTCGTGGATAATCCTGAAATAAAATAGAACTTGCTAGGACTATCAGCTTTGATCCAGCCGGATCGAGGTACGCAACCGAAAAGGGGGTCATGGGTACAAGAGGTGCGATCATACATTTGATGCGACCATACGTCAACTGGTGGCGTACATCAGAGGCCGCGCCAACCTCGATTCCGCATCTCATTCCTCTGTGCCGTCCGGACCTTGCCCAATCTGCGCAGTACTCGGCAAGGGTAAACAGTGGGTACGCAGAAGCAGCTTCCTCTGAATCTTGTTATTGGAAGGCATCTATCAAGGAGTCTTAGTATTTAGGTACCCGTTCGCAGCCATGGATATTGCGGCTGCTGCACATTCCTGCAGCCGCCTCCTCGTTGGCTCACTTACGCCTCCGCCCGCACTTTGATCGTTCGTTCTCGATTAAGCTGCAATGAGCCATATCGAGCTTACCCGGATCATCGATCTTTGGGCTGCCTTCATACTATCAAACGCAGTTGTCGGCGTTTATTGCCTTCAATACAACAAACAGAGACCCATGTTGATCCGACTTTTGCCCTCGTTTGCTTCGATCTCGATTACCGCTCCACTGGCAATTGCTTTCCAGGTCATTCGAGACCACGTCAAAAGATCCACAGCCCCAAGCGTCTTGGCTACAGTGCTACACTGCTGCTGCATTTGCATCATAAATTATGTCGAGGTAAGTAGATGCCGGTGACTTCTCTTCATCGCTGACACGTCCGTAGTTCCTGGAGCTTCATACACTCATTTTCAGCATCCGCCCTCCACGAATCGCATTGCTTTGGAGCAACATGGATGCGAAGGGGGCTGTTTGGTTCATAGCTACCTTCGAATGCGTCCTTCTTGTAGCCGGCTTGGGAATTCTGGTTATTACGCCATATGATCTGGTAGCTTTGCCGTTGGTCGCCAATCGATTTCTCCAGTTCGCCTCTTTTTCTTGGTTGTTATGGCTGCGCAGTTGTAAGACAGACGACCTGCCGAGACCCAACTTGAGACTTGGCCCCTCACCGAGTCATTCGAGAGATCAAAGGCGCGTATGCGGCTTGACAGCATGCAGTTCTGTGGCTACGGCTGTGTCGACATTAGCTCTGGCGCTTTCAGCTGCGGGCAACCCCTTTTTTGCGACGTCGCTCCAGTGCTCAGTTTGCGTCTTGACACTTGGCCCAACATACGTCAAACGTGTTTCCGACACAAGGCACCACGAAGGGGCAGCATCACCTCAAAATTGGACTCATGGAAGCATTTTGAATACGGGCGCCGGGATACTCTGAGTATTTGAGAAATGAGAGGGCACACAAGATTGTAAATGCGTCGAGAAGAGTAGTAAATGAAATTGATTCTGCCTCGGTCTTCGAAATTTGCAAGACCCCGGCTTCTGAACGTTCTTGGCTCGGCCAGGCAATTATGTACCAAACCCTCTGTTTCGGCAGCCCTGAGCATCCCTCCCACCGAAGAGCACCTATGAGCGATGTTCCACACAAGTCCTTCGTTGAATCAACTGTTAGTTTTGTTTGTGCTAGTAGTGGGTGCGTCTGGCTGGCTAGCTCGAACTGGTCCTGGTTCGCGACGGAAGATGTCAGATGTTTGTGATCAACTCGAATGTGAACGAACAGACCTTGCCCTTGTTCCAATTCTCTGTCCCTCCAATCCAAGAATTCTTTCGATGCTATTTGAGGTCCTACTGACCCATGCAGCAGATCATTCCAATAGTATTCCGGAAATGAGACGTATTGCCAGCCATACCACTGCCTTTTAACTACCCCACCGTTTCCTCTGCCCATCATGTTCCATTGTACAAGTCGGTATTTCGCAAAAAATTCCGCGAGAAGCATTTCAGTCGCTTGAGTAGCCGAGCCAGGGGGTGAAATCTTTCCGAAGTAGCAGCGGGGATTGGGATACGTTGCTCTCTTGCCGTTTTCTTCTGCTTGTAAGAAATCGGAGATTGTGACAGTTTTTGGTAAGGGTTCATGGCTGAACACACAAGTGATGTAAAGGTTTTGAGAATCATCGCGAGCCGCATTAGTTATTAGAAAAAAGGAGAGCCCATCCGCAGCTGGAACTCTTACGGATATAGGCCCGTTACTCATGTTGGTGTTTTGTTGGTGTCGGTGGTGATCTTCGATTCATGGCGAACCATGCGGACCGGTAATCTTTTATGCTTAAGACCACCATGTTTTCAGGGAGACCTGGTTACTGCGTTTACTACGACTACCTGGACCACTTACATGGATTTCTCCACTCGGAAGCAAGTGGTTAGTTCGTACTTTTCTCCTCATTTTCATGCACTCCCATGCATGGTGAGAATCCGCATGGATTTCATGCAGCAATTACGGCGACGGCACGATGACAGTATCTCGCAAGGGGGCCTTCCCTTCAGCGAGTGACGCGATGCAAGTCCTGGAAATTCCGTTGATTGAGGAGCTTCTACCAGGAGTATTCAGACTAAAAGACAATTTCTATGTTTGTCGTCTCCTATTGACCAGCGCCTGCTTTCCTTTGGTATAGGGAGCAGCTTATTATCTACGGATTCAGCGTTCAACTCTTGGCCACGTTTGATCGTGCCGTAATAGCAAGTTTGCTCGTGGAAAACGCCGACTGCGCCTTGTGGGGTATCCTTAGTCCTATTGCCCTCAAGACTCCATTTCAGAGACGACCGGCCCGCAGCATCGAGACTTGTCCAAAGCACTGGAATTCGGCGACACCATTCTCGGAACCCGGGTTCACGGTGGGATTTCATAATCCGAGGAGCTTCCTTGCGTGCCTCAAAAGGAGGCAACATTCCGATTTCAGCGAGCGATTCTAGATCCGCCTGCTGGACGAATGGGGCTGAAATGATTTTGAGTGCTTTTTTACGGCTCTGCAGTTCTTTCAAAAACGCAGCCTCCATAGAAACCAGTTGATGGAACATCCGGATGGCTGAGGGGTTGTTTTGTCCTCGGGTAAAAGAAGCGAAAGCGACGCAGCAGGCCACACGTAGTGTTTTCCAGAGCACCTGCGTCGCAATGAGTCGCTGTGAGGCGATGAAGTAATCTTGCCGTTCGTTCTCGTCATCCCCATCTTCCGATTGTCTATAGCTATTAGAACGGTGGTCTGCATACCTTCCACATGAGGCCCAAACGTACATTGCTCTGTCTCTTTCCTTTTTGTCGTCCTGCATCTTCTGGACGGAAGGCTCGAATAAGGAATACCAGACCGTCCATACTGCAAGAACGACCGGTAAGGTAAATAACGAGAACAGCGTTTTCGGCAGAGCCGAGACGATACTGATTGTAATAGTAGGGAGTTTCACCACCCAGACTCTTAGGACAGAGCTCAAACAATCAGGCTTTGTAATCCATTCCTTCCCGCCTCTGCCGGGACTTTTTCTGAAAATTTCCGACACGAACTCGGAGAGCATCGGCTCTTGGACAGAAAATAAAATATCCTGTGTATCTTCAATGACTTGAAAAAGAAGCGCCTTAAAGAGATCCCAGTGGCCGTCGTAATGGTTTAGCCACTGGGTTAAGATGAGAGGCAAGCCATTGAGCGCTACCGTAAGTAGAAGGAGCAGCACATAGATAAGAATCGGCGTAAAATAAGGCGAAAACACAGCTTTGTTCATTTCGGCTTTTCGTGGAGTAAAGATTGCTGTGCAGCGATCGAACGAGGCCAACATCCTTCTAATAGCCCACCCAGGTCATCCCCTGAGGCATTCGTCCGGACGATTAATTGATGGTATGTCACGTCCTTTCAAACGTTTCTTGTCCGAGATGCAGTCGAGCAAGACTAGTGCAAACGAATCACCCGATGACTGCCTAAGCGAGATGGCCAGGCAATACTTGCAGCTCAAAGATCCAGGCGCGGTCCAGCATTCCGTTGGCGGGCCATTGAACATATCTGGCCCCAGGCAAGCTCGGTGATGGGAGCTGTGCCCTAGGAGGGAATGGGTCTCTGCAAAATAACAGCCCAAATTTCACAAGGAGGTGTCCATTCAAACACGTTCCCGGCAGCTCCGCTTCCAGTGCAATGGGTCAGGGCAAGCCGATTATTGTTGCATGCAGTGTAAGCTAAGCCTCAACAGAACAGCGAGTTTCCCTTTCCAAAACACATCAAAGAACCGATTTACACTGACATTACTGATTGTCTGGTGCCCTCTTCGGCGAATTTAACCACTTCTAATCTTGTGTGTCGATGATCTATCGTTGCTAGGTGGAAATGTCTAGTTCTGAGAGTTTCTACAATGCAGGCCACGAAATTCCCAGTGCCGCTCTGACCTCCACATCCGGAGACCGAGAAGGAGTGACTTCAATAGCAGATCACTCCTTGCTCATCCTTATTCCCATCCGCAGCTCGCTGATTCCACCGCCCGTTCTGAGCCACGTCTAAAGTCCTGCCGGATTCCACCTCTAATCGAGCATGGTTATGCCCCATAACTGTAGACCAGCTTCATGTAATTATCTGTTGTACTGAACACAGAGTTCACAGAGTTAATATGGGCTTTATCATCGAGGCCGAGTATACATACCACCACGCAGTCCTCACATCGAGCTCCATGGACATTGACCCAGCCCGGGCAATCGACCCCGTGCTTATAACGGTTCACACACGGGTATCTATCCATCGTTAAGGAGATCAAATATTCTTTCTTGGTGTATCAAGCGGTGACGAAATTCAGTAGGGTAGAAAAGGCATCAAACGTCGTTGACTGAACTACCATCAAGATAGGTAGGGGACAAGGTCAACTATATATCTCATCGTGGCTGCTCCCCACTTGCGCCTTGTCCAAGCAGTAAAGTATTGATCACCAGAAGGATCCCAAAGGAAATTTTCAAGCCTATCGAATGCACACGACCCTCACTCAAACGCGTGTGATATGTGCCAAGCTAATATATGACATATCACATGTATGGTGCGTGTAGCCTCCTGTATAGTTTCAGTAAGAGGTCGCATTATGGAGTAACCTTCTGATATCGACATGTCCCAACTGCTTCCCCACAGGGGAGATGGCGGTAGGGCGACACGGGATTTGAATTATTAAAGCAGCTAGGTATATGAAATCAGACAAGAGGGTAGATGAGAAAGCCAGTATTCATTGAGTTCACGTGGACGAAGACTGAACTTCGTTTGTCCCTACGTCCGGTTCTCCAGACAAGGTATGTGGTGTCTTATCGCCACGAGATCCCTCAACCCCATCTGGCATTGATGTGTTATTTTGCTCCGGCACCGTCACATATTGATTGATGTCATTGAATATTTGCGACCTTTGGGAGCCGCAATGTACGAGTCTGAAGACGATAATGAAACCTTTCATTGGTGCACTCATGAAGAATGCTGCCTAAGGAGCGTGAGCGAGAATGAGTTCCCGAGGAAAAAGCATCCAACTTACGAGATACAGAAGCTGGATGTCGGAGACGAAGGCCACTAGCGGTGTCAGAATGTAGCAAGCCAGGCAAAGCACCAAGACGTAGTTCATCTTCCGTGGTTTATAATCCTCCAAGAGGTCTTTGAGGCACCCTTTGAAAGCCCAAGCATGCCAGAGCCCTTGCAAAGATATCGCGGCAAGTGCCACTCTCTGCACAAGTCGCTGATTCACCAGGGCCGCACCACCAACTAGTGCAAGTAGATTGACAATGGATAAGCCCGCCTCTACGAGTATCGCCGGAGGCATTAGGGTCCCTTGAGATGTCTCGAGACGAGAAAAAGGCATTATCAGTGGCTGGAAACATTAGCCTTGGCCTCTATGAGCGTGATAGGTGTTAGTGGCCTACTCGGGCGGTATTCAACCATACTGCTAGAGCCAAAAATATAGTGGTCGAGAGTCCCTGGGTAAAAACCCCCCTCATAAAGAAGAAGGAGCAAAGACTAACGCCAAGAGCTTGCTGCAGAAGGTCGAGGGCAAGGTAAACACCGGAGACTTGAGGGAAGCTGCTCTTTCGACAGTATTGAACAGCGAGGTGCATGAGAGCCAACGCCCAGGTAACGTTGAGAACGGCCAGAAAGGCACCAAATCGGGATTGTGATTCCATTGGTGACTGTGACAGAGACGAGGCAACCAGGCAACCGAGGAGAATGCAGATTGACCTGCAGATGAACAGGGCTGCTGGCATTCTATATGCTTTATCCCCTCGGGCCTGCAAGCGGAAAAGGCATTCTCACGACGAGAAGGGCGGACAGTCTCTCCCGAGGCCGCCGGTTGGGGCCCAGACTGCCGCAAGATGATGATGTGATTCCTGATTACTGCTTCGTCAAAATTGCTTGAGACCCCTCGCTGGAATACGGACTGATCATCCGCCGGACGGATCTATGAGGCGGGGGCACCCACTAGCGCATAATTTCGGACAAGGGGGGGGGCAAACATGGCCATGTTTGCCCCCCCCCCTTGTTCAGAGCGACTCGCAAGAAATAACAGTAATTCTGCTTGTTCAATTTGGTCGCCTGTTTAACCACTACACGTTACTTGATTGTGCTCTTTCATCTCCGAGATGTCGAAACAGGTGACTGTTTACGAAAATGACATCAATAACTCCAAACTACCACCAAAGAACACGGAATTCTTTACGATCCGGTTCATTTACGCCAACGGCCACCGGAGATGGGCACAAGTGCGGTTTGTAGAGTTCGAGGACGACTTCTTGAAGAGCTCTATCTCGTCCATAGCCTGTTGTCACGAGGCTGTAGTGGACATTTTCGACGCTGCCATCGATCGTGCCCACAGTCGATGTTATGGAGAGGGCAAATGGCTGAAAACACAGTAAGCGGGTTGATTGATATGTCTCTTCTTCGTCACTCAAAGCTGACATAAGTGGTCATAGACGACAAAGCTTGTCGCATGACTCACCGATTGGTACTTGCTCAGGCGCAGAGCGAAGCGCTCTCAAGGCACTGGGTATTGCGTGCGGTAACAAGCGGCCACGAGATGCCGATGTCACCTGCGAGAAAGAACGAGCTCGAGAGGCCACAGGAAGCAAACGACCTCGCGTATCTGCGAGCATCTACAATACACGTGTCAATGAAGAGCCTCAGCTTATCAACGTCACTGAGACCGACCATACGAACAGTGAGGTCTTTGTCAAACGACTACAGGAGTTGAAGGACGAAGTGCGCAACTTGCCGAAATACATACGCCCCGTTACGGATACCTCTGAAAAAAGCGCCTCTCACAAGAGTGCCCTTCGAAACAGCAACAAATACTGTGAAAACAGGACTGCATTTGAGAAGAAGTCGGGCGACATTTCTAAATGTCTTGATGGTTTGATCGAATCTGCGCCATATCTGCAAAAGGACGTTGACGATGTGAAGGCTCTCCTCTCAGGCGCAGTTGAAACGGCGTGTTTCGTGGATGTCGTGAGAAGCAATTGTTGTTGTTGTTGTTGTTGTATTTAACGCCGTGGCGGCCGGGCTAGAGCCCTTACCGCAGACCTCCCGAAGGGTATATGGCGTGGAGGGCCGTGAGCCAAGGCTACCTACTCTACAGTACGTCGTCTCTTTACATCGTCCTCCAAATCATGCCTTGTGGCCACTACGCGTTCTGTCTGTCCCCGGTTCCCGCTGGTGCCCCAGTTTCATTCTTTCCCAAATCGTCCCTTGGAATCGGGAGGTTCTTTGTAGTCCGCACTCACATCTACGTAGGTGTGGATGCTGCTACCGCAGACAGATCTTCTGGAAGAAGTCCGTCACGCGGAGAAAGGCCTCGAAGCCTCGTGGGTCGGTGATTAATCTCTTGAAGTAGGCCTCGAGAGATCCCATAGGGCCTATGGGCTCGGGCATACTGCGAGAGTGGAGGGTCGGCCACCGTTGCCTCCTCGCCAGCGTTAGTCGACAGTAGACCAGGTGGTCCACGTCTTTCGCCTCTCCACAAGAGCACATCATTAGAGCGTCGTCGTGGTTGAAACGTCGGTGATATTGCTCGAAGTCCCCGTGACCCGATCGTGCCGCCAGCAGGTGATGTAACGTAGCCCGCGGCAAGGCCAGTTCAGGAGGGCTGGACAGAGCTGCCTCAAGCCCCAAGTCCGCGTACCGCGGCCTTCGCTCTTTATACCACCATCTCCTGTGCTGGCTTTGTAATTTTTCCCTTGCAAGCCGCTTGATGCCCGCTAGTGTTGCCATTTGACCCATCCGCGCCGGCAGTGTCGTTCCTTCTTTGGCCAGCCGGTCCGCGGCCTCGTTTCCTTCGATGCCCTGGTGTCCCGGGGACCAGTGCGTCCGTATATCAAATATCCTGGCCGCTTCTTGGATTTCGAGGAACGCGTCTTGTGACGAGTCCGGCGCCTTGCCGCGGATGCCTTGTATAACGCTGGTGTTGTCGATACATATGTGGATTGGATGACCGCGATTGGTGAGCAGAGCCCTTCTGAGGCCGGTTCGCGCCCCTTCGACCTCGGCGTCGAACACTTCTGCTAGTCCGAGTCGGCCGCACCCTTGTGCTATGCGTTTGGAGTCTCGGTAGATGACGAAGCCGTACCCCACGGCTCCGTTCGTCGCCCTGGAGCCGTCCGAGAAGACGATCATATGGCTTTCCGGTACTGTCTTTAGCCAGCGCTCGAAAGCTTTCGCAGCCTCTTCTTTGCATTGAACTACTATCTGATCCTGTGAGCTTGGCAGGTACTGTGATTGAAGGAACGCTGGTCTTCCGCATCTTGGCAGAAGTTCAGCCGTCCGTTGTAGTCTCGTCTGTTGCTGTCCCTGCTGGGAGAGCCGCGCGACTAGCGGGTGTCGGCGATCAATCCTCTGTAGTCGGACTGCGGCCCGTAAGCGGACGCCCTCTAAGGCGACTTTGGCTGACGGTAAGCCGGCGTCTCGGAGGAGGCTACTGGTTGGCGTTGTCCTCCAGACAGGCAGAACGGCCCTTGCTGCCGCTGTAATGACGCTGTCGATCTTCTGCACGAGCCCCTTTTGGCCTGTGTTGACGGGTCTTCCTTGGAGAGGCGGATTCGTGTCTGTCTCCGCTTGGCGTCTCGAAGCCGGCTTCGTGATACCTGCGTACCATGTTTCGGCGCCGAAGAGCGCGATCGGCAGTACGCAGGAGACGACGGCTTTTCGCACGGCGGCCGCTGGGAGTCCCCTCTTTGTGTTCGTAAGCTGTCTCAGATGTTGAGCTGCCCTCTTTGCTGCAGCTACTTTTGCGTCGACATGGTGCCGGAAGGACAGTCTCTTGTCGAACCAGACACCCAGCCAGCGTACAGGTTTCGTCGAGGCCTTGACCACCAAATCCCCCGCCCGGACCTCTGGCAGCTCCGCTGGCTGGCCGTGCTTCCTAGTAAAGTGGATGACCTCGCACTTGCTCGGGTCAAAGGAGACCTTGTTCTCCAAGCCCCATCTGAGAATGCCGGCTGCGCTTCGGTTGAGTATTGCGACGTTGCTCTCCAGGGAGGGGCTGATGGCCAGAGTGGCGATGTCGTCCGCGTACCCGAATCGCGCGTTCGGGTCGTCTTCAAGTATCTCTGCGATGTAGAGCAGAAAGGCAATGGGAGATAGTGGTGACCCCTGAGGCAGCCCGCATGACAGCGGGAAGTACTCCGTTGTGCTTTCTTCCAGTCGGACTCTAGCGGTGCGGTTGCAGCAGAAGCTAAAGATCAGTCTGGTCAGGCCATGTGGCCATCCCTGCTGACGCAGTCTAATGACGAGCCGGTTCCGAAGGACGGAGTCGAACGCCCCTTTTACGTCCATAGTCAGAAGTGTCGCCGTGAGTCCTTTTAGGAGGGCCATCTCGATGTCGTGGGTGAGGCAGGTCGTCAGATCGACGGCTGACCTGCCTTGTAGAGCCCCGATCTGTTGCGGACTGATGATGCGCTCGACAATCGCCAGGGACGCCATCCTTCTGGCTATCAGTCGCTCTAGTCCCTTGCCCAGGCACGAGAGGAGCGCGATCGGCCGCCAGGACCCGGGCTTGGAGGCATCCCTGCCGGCCTTCTGGATCATGACCACCTCAGCTCTGCGGAAGGGCAGAGGAAAGTGGCCGGCCCGCATACAGGACTGGAATAGCTGCCTGACCGGTTCCGAGATGACATCCCAGCATGCCTGGAGGAGGCGTGTTGTGATGCCGTCCACACCAGGGGTCGTTGTCTTTGTTAAGGTGGCCGTCTTCACTTCTTCTCCGCTAACATTGTCCTGCCAAGTAATCGCTCGCCTCGGGACGACGGGTACGTCAAACGGGTCACCCGGTGCGTCATCTTCCGCACTAAACCTGTCGAGAAGGGCTCCCCGAAGCGCTTGAGCCTTTTCGTTAGTATCCTCGATCGTCTGGTTGTCCACAACCAATGGGGGTGCTCTGGTCAGTAGGCTCGCCTTCCGCCAACCCATGATCTGGTACAGGTCCCGGTCTGAAGCGACTCCATCGATCTTTCCGGCCCAGTATGCTCGCTTAGCCTTCCTCACCGTGCTCAGGAACGCCTTTCGTTTCTCCATTAGATAAAGGTGCGCATCTTGCTCCGTCTCCCAGGCTTGTTGGTTGCGGGCAGCACGGTATGCTCTGTGGGCCTCTGCGCATTCCTCCGTCCACCAAGCCGCGCCTTTACCATGTTTTCCTCTCTTCTTGCCGACCGCCTCAATGGCTCGGGAGAAGAGCTCGACGATGTGACTTGCCTGCCCGTCCAGGTCTTCCGGAGTAGGTTGATCCCCCAGATTGGGCATCGCAGCTAGCCCCCCTTCGATCAGGTCTCTCAGCCGAGGCAGCGCCGAGTCGGGCACTGACAGTGGCCGTGGCTGCGGGTGGCCCTCTCCCTGTGACACTGGGCGTTTGAGTAGTGGTATGACGGCCACGATGGCCTCGTGGTCAGCTCCCGGGTGTAGCTGTGGGCTGACCTGCGCGTGCGCAAAAGGGATATTAGAGAAAGCCAGGTCCAGGACATGTCCGCAATCCTGGGTTGCCACCCCAACTTCGCTGATAAGAGAGAGATTGTGGCCGTCTGCCCAGCCTGCGATGTCATCTCCCCGGTTCCCGTTCCTCGTCCCGGGCTCCCAAGAGTAGTGATGCGCGTTGAAGTCACCCGCGATCAAAGCTCGCTCCGGGGGTTTGAGTTCTAGCAGTATCCCTGTTGTGCGGCTGTGGGGGTCGCGGGGTTGTCTGTACACGTTGACGATAGTCGTCGTTTTGTCGACCACCAGCCACAGTACGTCTCTCGTGTGGACAGGCCTCTGCTGCTCCACCGTCATCCCTATCCCTTTGCGTGTGTAGGTCAATACTCTTGGTCTGGTTCCTTCGCTGTCCCAGAAGTCGACCGGGACGAAAGAGTCGAAACCCGGGTGCGTGTTCAGTTGCACGTTTCCGTCCTTCCAGCCCGTCCAGGGTTCCTGGACGAGGACCACATCTATCTGAGCCTCCCAGCAGAGCTGCAGGAAAGCCGTGTGCGCCGGGGAGATCTTTCCGACGTTGCCCTGCGCAACGCGTAGCATCCGTGGGGTCGCCGCTCTCGGCTTACGTCTCCGAGTCGAGTTCGAGGTGGGTGTAGGCATTCGCGACGTTGTAGTTTGGCTTCTGTGCTGCCCGTTGGCTCCTGCTTGGCATGGGTAGCACGGGACGGTCGATGGAGGTGTTGTCGGGGGAGTCTTCGCCTTCGCCTTCGTCCGCCTCGTCTTCATCCATGCTGCTGCTGTCAGTGCTTCCGTCACCGAGGCAAACGATCGAGCTTGCGGAGGGCGTTCTCGTGCGCGCGCGCTTGGCGCCGGGTTGCTGGTTCTGGCTGGTGGAGGTAGGGACGCCTGCCGCCTCCTGGCTACTGTCGGATCGAGTAGCCTTGTACAGAGTGTCCGATGCTTTCTGGCCGGCCTTCCGGATCCGAGCCCGCTCCTTTCGACCGGGAAGGGAGACGACGCCGTTTACGGCCGAGGGCCTCGCTGGGCAGTCTGTGTGGCTGGCTTGGAAGGGGCCGCAGCAGTTGGCACATTGGGGCCTGGCCATGCAGGGTCCCGTTTCGTGTGAATCGGAAGGTCTTCCGCAGTTGCTGCAGATCGGTCGTCGTCCGCAGAACCGGTTGGAGTGGTAGCCCTGGCAGCCGGGGTCGTGTCGGATGAGCGTCCTTCGTTTCTTGACGGGCAGAGATCTGCCGCTTTGGTTGAAGAGCCTGAAGGGCGTGACCTCTGATGTGAATGATATGAGCCAAGATATTTCGTTCGTGACTGGGTTGGGCCCAAGGCGGGACGGTCGAGCAAGGACAGGCTTCTGTCCTGTCTGTGCGAAGACCTCATCTTCAACGAGTGTGGCTGGGTCCAGGACGTCCCCGCCAATGCTGTGTAGTTTTGTTGGGCATCGCGGCACAACGTAAGTGTACCACTTGATAGGCGTCTCGACCTGGTGGGCGCCGAGGCATTCCGCCAGCTTTGCCTTACTTGCAAGTAGTCTTTCCTGTATTTGCTTGTTTCGCGGCTTCAGAGAGTAACCTGTGCTGATATGGTAGACGTGGGGAAGGTCCGCTAGCCCCAGGCCAACGGCCTTACAGACGATCTGTCGTACGGCGAACGGTGCGATCTTCCGAGCGGCCGCTAAGCTTTCTTCCGGGACGCGGGCAAAGATGCGGAGGTCCTCCTTCGGCTGCGCCTGCGGCTGATCCTCGGCGGGGAGTGTGGCCTTCGGGCGGGCAGAGCTCTGGCAGCTCTGGCCGCTCCGGGTCGCCGCAGTGGTGTTGCCCGCCATCGGTGCGACGACAGCCGCCCAACTCCGGGCCGCTATTGGGCTTGTCTCGTGATTGATCAGTCTCTTGAGGGTTTGAATGACATAGGCAGTGGCTTCTTTCGCGATCTGCTTTCTAGAACCGTCAAAGCTGGCGACAACGCTGTCGACGGACCGTGCAATGGTCAGAAAGACGTCTTTCCGTGCCTCGTACTGTCTAGCTTCTTCTGCAAGGGCTGTCAAGACGGACCCTGTGGCAGATCCGCTCGGAGCAGATGCGGTAGAGGCTGCGGGCCCCTCGGCCGAGGTAGGGGCGTCGGTGGTGGCATCAAGCTGGCTTCCCGTTAGGCTGGGCCGGGTCGGCTGTGCCTCGGCGTCGCGGCGTCGCTTAGCTCTTGAGGTGGGGTTCGGCTCCGGAGGTGTCCCGGAGCCTGGTTCGGGGTCGGCTTGGTCGGCCGACATCAGTCCGGTGCCCGACGGCGGCTGTGAGGCCATCGCGGATGCGGGCTCCGGCAAGGGGAGGTGAAGAGTTTTCGGCTGTTAGTAATTTGGTGGTAGGCTCACTCATTCACTAACAGCAGATGCCAAGAAAAATTAGGCGAGAGGGAAGTTGTCGTGAGAAGCAATGTGGCCAAGTTGAAAGTCGTGGCACCTGACGATTTGTGGGACTCAGTGCCATTCGGTCAATTTATTTACAGCCTCAAGGCTCAGCGACATGCGAAACAGACCGAACTTGAAAACGTACTGGAGGCCAGCACACGCCTCAAGGATATTCTGTCATCTGCGCAGAAGCAAGTCGCGAAGCACTTCGACGTTCTCAAATCGGAATACAACCTGTATTCAAGTTCCACCGAGCTTCTCCGGAGATTCTTGCTAGACGTGAGAGATCGCATGTTGAAGGCATCCAACGGAAATGTCACATCAGAGCCTCTGACGCCGTATTTGCAAAATTTGCTGTCATCCGGTCTCAGCTTCTCCCAACCAACCGGTAGAAAAAGTAAAAGAGCCCGCAAAAATGACAAGAGAACTGCCGACAGAAAACACAGAGTATCGGTCTTTATCAACAGGGTCATCAACAAGCTATTCAAGTTGGTTGGAGCGAACGCCTTAGCGGTATACGCTGCTATGAAGGGTACGCTTTCCTGTCCTATGGTCGTCAGAAACTTTAGATCTAACGCGGCTCAAACATCAATAGGCGCGCAATTCACATCTCTAGGGACAACGAACCTGGGCGACATGGAATTTTTCGCGGATTCTGCTGTGGAAGCCCTCCGTGAGTCTGATATCAAACTACTCCCCGGCAGCTTCCGGGTTCTTCACATTCCAGGTGTATTGAGCTGGCTACTAGACGTCGAGTCCGTACTGATTGTCCTCCCTACTTGAGTCTATCCTGATAACCGCAGTTATGAAAGTGTTTGCCACGGGCTTCAGCTACCGGCATTGGCAGCACACAACCCCGGTGTTGCGGCTCATCTTGATGAACTTGCCTCGGAACTTACGCATCCAGGCCGAGAGGATTCCACCGAAATACCAATGCGAACAATGAACAAACGAGTCAGAAACGCAATGAGACCTACGTTGCTGAGTCTCGGCCTGCCACTGACTAACGGCCCTGCCGGAATCGCCACACGAGAAGTGAACAACGACAAAACTAGCCTTCAAAACGACGGGTCAACGATGCCGCTCTACGGAGCCACTGGAACTTTCGCAGGACTTTCATCGGGCTTCTGCCCTAATACTCCAAGTCAAACATCGAGCGAGAGGGATCAGGTCCAACCAAATAACGACGTGCCCGTTGTTGCGAGAAGAAGGGTCTCTAGCAGTGAACGTGCTTTTGATGAGTTGTCCACGAGTGGTGTTGATGGATGTGGGGTGTACGTAGGATTCGATGTGGGACAGTTGCCAGGAATCGGGACGAGGCATCCCGAAGGCTCCGACTCTCATAATCGCAGCACACCAGGAACAGGGACAGGAGTGCTCCCCGACATGGCAATGTTTCAATACATGGATTTGAACATGACGTTCAATGATTTGGGGACTACTGATCATTGGATATCAGGCTTAGTAACAATCTGAAGGTGGTCATTCTGTTTTCCTAGTTATCGTGAAGACAATCAAAAGAAACATGTTGCTTCCTGGACGAATACAAAAGTCTCCTCCGGTCATCATCAATATCTCTCCTTCAGGCACAATCGGCTCGACCGAGTTGAATTTATCCCTCAATTCTACCGTGGGTGGATGTCGCACCTCCCTTTTCATATCCAAATCGGCGCTGTCATTGCCGGATTTGAGCGGCAGAATGAGTGCGATTTCGTTATCCTCGATTTTCAGCCAGCCACTCTCCAGCAGCAAGATACTTGGTGCTTTCTTGGGCGACCCGATGATGACTCGCAATCTCGCCGCAGCGTCTTTCACGGCCTGTTTCTGTAATCTGCATTAGGTTGACAAGGTCTCTTGATGGAGTGACTGTATATACCTCTGTAGACATGAAAGCCTTGATAAACTCGCGGAATTGCAGTGGAAATGGTTGTAAATATAGTTTCAGGTTATTTGCGTCGCTTGCCTTCAACTCCTTCTCTCGCGATACTGGATGAGCTGCGGCGGAAGCCTGGGCCCAGAGGTCCAGCAAGGCCGGTGGTAATGGGTGTTTGAAGTAATGCATCGGTGGCCGGTTTTCAGAGATAACACAAATGGAATCACTCTTTGTTTCCAAATGAAGGCGGTTGTATTTATATGTAAAGTCATACTAGAAAAGCGTCTTCATCTGAGCTATTTTGACAAAAATCTGGTCACCAGTCCTCCATCTCCAGGTGCGGGGCCTGAGTCGGGCCCAAGCTGGGCGATCCTCCGATTTCCGCGGAATAATGGTTTGCCCACTCCGACCCGGGCCTGTCGTCCAATGATACATCAACAAATGAACTCAATTCGACTCCGTTTCATCGGCATTTGGACTTGCTCAGCTTAGTAAATGATCACAGCGTTTGTAAAAGTTCGGATCCTACCTGGAGTCCTCGAAAGCAATTTCTTCCTTATCTCGTTCACTGACATTGGTCAGAAGAGATGTCGCAGAGGTTGCGGCATCTGACTGGGGAACGCCATTGACGGACGGCTGAGCGTTCTCATCGCAAGATTTCTGATTGTCATTGTCTGCCATTGATGGTGATAAATAATGTGCAAAGTCAAAGCCTGGGAGCCAGGCAAGTTTAATCAACTTTATTGAAAATGGGATTGAGAAGTCCAAGTTGGAGAAGAGGCTGATTTCTGAGGCTTGATGTTTGAGTATCTCAATGCGGACAAAACTGTTGGAGACGTTGTCTGTGAGCCAGCCGGGAAACGAGCAACAAAGGCAGAAACATTGCTCTTATAGTTTTACAATGATAGGTTCGTGAGGTCTGGAGAGAGAGGGAGAGAGAGACAAACGGATTGGCTGGCATCCGCTTCAGGACTCGGGGATTCGGATCTACTGACATGCACACCAGCTCGTTGGTCTCCAATCTGGTCAGCAATGCGGCCAAAGGACTGGCCATAGCAAGCCAAGTATGGTTGTCTGACGATGCGACTGTTTAAACCTTGTTACTTGCATCACACTTGGGTTTTCTCGTCGGCTCCAGGCTCTGACAAACATGTATTGAGTGTACATTCCAGGGGTCATCAAAAGGGACTCTATAGTCGTCTGCAAGAAGATAGTGGGTGCATTGAGTTACAGAATCCTCATCGGCTTCATGGCGATCCCTGAGAACGTTTTCGCTAGTCACCTTGGTTGATTAATGATGCAAATTACTTCTATTACTGACTTATGGTATCTGACACCTTGGGGTTCCGAGAACCTCCCGAGCTCTTGCATACGGGATGAGGTTGCCAGAATTGTCAATCACTTGGTTGCTGTTAATTCGCAAAAGCAAGGCCCTGTGATGCAAGTACTTGGTCTTCACGATCCATCAATCGAGGTGGAAGACAAGATGCCAATTGCAAGCAACGTCTGAATGCCAGACCGGTGGCATTCTCATCCCGGCATGAACTTTGCAGTTCCGTCAAGGGCGAACTGGACTAGAACTCGTCTAGCGAGACAAAAGCGGAAGACGATCGACCGTAGCTAATCATGCATCCTGCTTCTCACGTCTGGCGGCGTAGCCTTTACGAGTGATGGTTATGTTTGGTGACATTGGTGGCTTCGACGACTTTGGTGACCTTGGTGACTTTGGTGACCTTGGTGACCTTGGTGACCACATCGATACGATGACCCTAGTAACATAGGTAATTGGTGAGTGGTGCATATTGATTGGCCTTAGCGACCTGAGAGACTTTGGTGACTTTGGTGACCTCGGTGATCATGATGGTTGCGGTGACCCTTGTAATCCTGGTGATTGGTCATCAGGAGTGCATATTGGCTTTAGCGACCTTGGTGACTTTGGTGACCTTGGTGACTTTGGCGACCTTGGTGATCATGATGGTTGCGATGACCCTTGTAATATTGGTGACTGGTCATCAGGAGTGCATATTGGCTTTAGCGACCTTGGTGACTTTAGTGACTTCGGTGACCTTGGTGACCTTGGTGACCTTGGTGACGTTAGATCCACAAACACGTTGCAATGCATGAGTAGCACTGAGAGGGGTTAAACACGGAGTAATACTGGTGGCCTTGGTGATTGGTGGATAGTGGATAGTGACCTTGGTGACTTTGGTGACCTTGGTGACCTTGGCGCTTAGCGATTGGTTGCTTTGATTACTCCTGTGACTTTGGTGACCTTGGTGACCTTGGTGACGTTAGATCCACAGACACGTTGCAATGCATTAGTAGCATTAGGGGGTTAAACATAGAGTAATGCTGGTGGCCTTGGTGATTAGTAGATAGTAGATAATGGCCTAAGCGACCTGTGTGACCTGTGTGACCTGCGTGACCTGCGTGACCTTGGCGCTTGACGATTGGTGGCTTTGAAAACTCTGGTGACTTTGGTGACCTTGGTGAGACATGCGTTGCAGCATTGGTGGCACCATTGGGTTAACGATGCAGCAATGTTGGTGACCTTGGTCCTTTCGGTGATGTTCGTGCCCTTGAACTGGATTTCTGACATTAGGGAAGTAGGATAGTAATTACCTTATCTGCGTCACGCGGTCACAGTGCATTAGTGGCTTCGGAAGCCTTTAGTATCGAAGCATGTTGAATCTGGATTGCCATGATTGTTAATGTTGAGACTTTGGAAGCTTCGTTCGCCATTGGCTAGCTAACCGGCGAACCCTTGTTGGCCTCCGGTTGAGCCAAGTCCCATGAGCTGTCAACGAGGTAGTCAGCTCCGCCCCTCACATGTGGCTCGGTCAACAGACAAGCCACAATCAGGCAAAAATTCAAACCCCGCTTCGCTAACGCCTGACCATCTACGTGATCGTGTCCTGAGATCAAAGCTGTCGACCAGCGCCATCAAAGACGCGATGTTCCAATCCAAGTCACGTCGGACCACTCTGCACTAGAACCACCAGCTTCGAATCTCTCCGACCTATTGTCGACTTTGCGGCGCTGCGGGACGCGCGGTTCATCATCTAGCATTACGCGATTGCGCATAGTCTGTCATGACTGGCGCAGAAGAAGTCACATCGGAAACTTTGGTAAGTTGGAGATATGGGACAACGAACAGATCACTAACCACACTCTGACAGAGCGGGAGCTGGAAGTCTTTGACGGTTTCTCCAGACTTCTTCAAGGGTTGTCGATCGCGCGCTCTCAACTACATCGTGTCCGAGGATTACGAACGAAAATACTACTTTCACGAGTGTAGTGAGGTCTCCTTTCAGAATGACCAGGGCAAGACGATATGGACAACATCAGGGAGCGGAGAAATCGAAATCCCGGCAGGCGTAGCTGTCTATGTTAAATTTGGACAGTCACGGCCTTGATGCTATCCGGATGCTACAGAGAGTACAACTGGTTGATCAACTGGATTCCCTTCCAGAACTGGGTGCGCAAGCGAATTGTACCATAATTGGGTGTCCCACGCATTATCGTCATCGTTAGACAGTCAGTCACGTCGAGGAGGAAATGTTCTTCCTCCCATTGCCGTAGTTGGCTTTCGAGCAGAGCATCGTATGTGGCTGCATTGAACACAGAACCTATCCCTACAACATCAGTGCCTAGCATCGTGAAGTATCCATAGTCTTTTGTTTATGGTCAGCATGCCTGTGTTCAACATAAGTAGAGAGCGTACCTATATGCGATGACGACGCATCGGGACGTAGGCCTTCCGCGAAATCTTTCAGTGGTCCTGCGACAGCGACTGGGAACTTGACTGCGAGTGATTGTGGATATAGTATCTTTGCCAAATCGATAGCGTTTCCGACATCTAAGTGGAATATAATGTCCTCGTCTTTGTCGGGTCGATATGCTCGTATACATTTCGTCAACTGAGACCCCGACCGCGACGATTTGTTCGCATGTGATAGCATTACATGTTCATGTGCTAGCATTACATGTTCAGAAACGCGCCTACCAAACGTGGTAGAGATACGCCGCAAATCGCAAGTATCGAAGTCGGCGACGTGTTTCGGGTTGGCTGATGTCAGAGGAGCGGTGCTCATAGGATCTTCTACTGTGTTAGCATCATTGGCCTCTACTGAGGAGCGTGGCCGAACCTCGTGGGAACAAAACGGCTAAAGCTTGCTGGAACTCCCGGCTTTTGATGATGTTGTTTCGTTCAGCCACGTCTTGCAGGAAACTCCTTGAACTGGCATCAAGACGAATTTTTGATTGTCGACTAAATCTTCGTTTGGTCTCAGAGATATTGATACTTGGGGAAGCTCCAGGCCCGACTGCTATAATGAAAGGGAGGAAAAGCAATGGGCTGCGGTCGAGGATCGAGCTGTAGACGTTCCTGGCTTGCTTCATCCTTGCATAACTGGCGATTTCCGCTCGACTGTATTTGCTTCCGTTGGACGGAGGTGGCCTAGGAACACCGCAGACGATGGGCAGTCTTGACTCGAGATTTGCACGGTGCTTGGGAAGGATAGCGCCATGTTCAATCAGCTCATCAATGACCTTGTCAATGCGTCTGAAAATGAGAGGCTCCGTCATTAGGAAAGGCAGGGTGCAGAAAGAACTCGGGGCAAGTTTGCAGCGGGGCGGAAGCGGAAAACGGAGAGCTTTCCCTCTGGCGGCAGGGCACTTGGCCAGAATGATTACCTAACTAGAGCCTCAGGCATACAGGTCTGTAGAGAGGCCGAGCGACTGACAGCCACGAGAACAGGGTTGCGCCAGGGGAAATCCCTGACTAAGGAAGCCGACTGCCTGAAAATCTGAGCCTCACATACCACAGGAAGGCATCACGTTTGACGACGAGCTCGCAAGCGGTATGGAGGCACACGCAGGGGAACAGAGAAGTTGTTCGGCGTGTTGAGCCTAGGAAAAGCGGACAATTCTTCTGTCATCCACTCAGGAGCTGAGGCGTTGCGCCGTTCATGCCGGTGGAAATTACACATGCCCGGATGGGACAGAAACCGTTCAGTGCGGGGTCCAGCCAATCGCACCTTCTCATGCACGGATTAAAAGTTATCACTATCACTCAAGTCACCAGAGTCACCAAGGTCACTAAGGTCACTAAGGTCACCAAAGTCACCAAGATTATCAAGGCCACCGATGTCACCCATCTCGCAGCTAGCGCAGGCCCCAGGGTGGTGGAAGGGACGTTGAACGGAGTACGGGGTACGGGATACGCCAACCAACGAGTACTCCACAACGCCAAGGCTTTTGTCGCTACTCAAAGTGCTGAGACACGCAAACCAAATTTCTGTTTTTGAATTCTGGGTTCCCTTTTCAAGTCATCGAAGCGGCTTTATTTTACTACATATTCCGCGGCAACGTCGTCCTCCTCTATGAGCATGCACGGACACTCGCGGATTCCTCCAGTATGTCCAATCCAGTAATCATTGTGACTTGCCCGACCCCTACCAGCCCGTCACCTCCAGATTCGATAGTGAAATTCCTGTAGCCATGCCCGTGTCGCCTACAGATACAGAGAGTGTGGCGTCCAGGATGTCAGAACACCCTGCAGCGGGGCTGTCAACCTGGTCCTCCGGCTGCAGCACCTACTCCACACTACTCGACGAGGAGTCTTCCGCCTCGATGATGCGAGCTATCTATCTCGGCGACTTGCTAACAGCGGGGCGGCTGCTCTTACGCGGCATCCCTGTCCCTGAGATCCCTGCTGTGCTAGCTCTCTTGGGTCAACCAGAACTTGACCTCAACCGGCCAACCAACTGTCCCAATGGTGATAGAATCATTCACTTTCTGCTACGTACTTCCGCCAGCAACTTTCAGAGCAGCAAAATCGAGACTCTCAAGGCATTCCTCTCAAGGGGCCTCAATCTAACACAGCAGGGTGCACAAGGTGACACCGTCTTCCATCTCCTCTGCGGACCTCTCGGCTCGGCCCCGGATGAGGACGAAAATCTTTCTCTTTTGCGTTATTTACTGGAGGAGGGGTTCGCTGGCTCTCCGCAAGATCTTGACATTGTTAACTTCAGAAATGATTTCGGGAATACGCCATTGCTTGTGGCAGTTCTCTATGGATTTAGCAAATGCGTAGAGTATCTGCTGGAAACGGGGGCCGATCCCGAAATCAGGGGAGAAGAGGGCAGGAAACCTCTGTCATGGGCAATTCAGCGCGGGTATTTGGGTATAGCCAATGCGTTGCTCGACTACGGGGCAGCTTTTGACAAAGATATCGCGATGGAAACGGACGTGTCAGTGATGAAGAGAATTATCAGAGACTACTGTAAATTACGTAGCTAAGTTATCTCAAGTTTTGCTTCGTGAGTGCTAGCTAATATACAATTTGACCTTTGTGTGGCAAAAGCCGAGTAGATGACCTTGGCAACGTGCGGTTTAAGCCGGGATTCTGGGTATCAGTTCGTACTGCTGCATTGGACCGTTCGTCCCCCCCAAACCCTTCGATGGTATTTTAGGTCGATTTCACCATATTGACCTCCACAAGTATGGCAGATAAATTGTTTCGGAAGATGGTGCCTTTGGATGTGGACTTCAATCTGGCGGTTGCCCCCAAAGATCTTCGTAGTCGAAATGCAAGTGCTATGTAGGCACCTATAGCCTGCCGACACTTTGGAAATCCACGAACGTTGTGAGTTGGCTCGTTCGCTGATTGACAATGCGCTTTTGATACAATATTTTAGCATATGAGTGAGCTTAGGGAATGAGAAACACTCACGCTACGGCATTGGACTGCGGTCGACATCCATGATAATCGCGGTAGTGCTATTCAAAATTTAATCAGCCACCGTCTGATTAATTTCAAAACACAAGAACGTACAACGGTACGATTTCTCTTCGACTTATAATCGCGAGAACAGCCGAGCTCGCATTTGAACCTAGGAGCAGGTGAAGGAGCAGACTCAGGAGCTGGAATGGAGTCGGGAGTGGTGTCAGATACCGCGCTCTGCTCGGGAGCTAGACCGGAGTCAGAAGTGGTATCAGATACCGTGCTCTGCTCGGGAGCTAGACCGGAGCCGGGAGTAGTGTCAGATACCGCGCTCTGCTCGGGGGCTAGACCGGAGTCGGAAGTGGTGTCAGATACCGTGCTCTGTTCGGGAGCTGGAATGGAGTCGGAAGTGGTGTTAGATACCGTGCTCTGTTCGGGAGCTGGAGCGGAAACGAAAGTGGTGTTCAATACCGGGCTGATGACAGTGCCATTATCGCCAGCATAGAATACAACTGACGAGTTAGTCAAGTCATGGCCGAAAATGTTGATGGAGTATAGTCCAGTGTGCGTGTCAACGCAATTGGCTCGTCCAAGGCGACAGTTTGATGGGAAAAGGTAGGCTTCCACATAGATCAGGGGGTCCCGGAAATTGGCGACAGCGTGGTAGTGACTTTCGCTGATGGAGGCGCGGGACGTCACTTCGGCGAACTTCAGCCAAGGCGATGTGAAAGCCACTTCACTTACAACGATTAGAGACATCTATACGTATGATGGCTGAGCTTACAATCGACCCATCTGTGTTTCTCTCTCAAACTTCTGAATCTTCTCATTTTTGGTCGTAAACCCTTCCTTTCGGGATAACGTAAACAGACCCTCCAATAATTCCTTGTCGAAGGAGACTCCAGGAATAGTCGTTTCAATTTCCCCCGAATATGTGATGTAGAGAACTTGGTGGCCCTTGCCTTTGTTGGTGAAAATGAGCTGACCACCTTCATAGACGTCAAGCCTAATGGTCCGGTAAAGTGAGGATGGGGGGTGGCAGTTCATGACTATTGATGGAAGAAGAGGAATAGAAGCGTGTGGCTGAGTAAAGGAGGTGAATTTGGGTCGTCCTCCCGGTTTATATATTCGCAGAGGCACAGCCTTTCTCCAGGTCTTCTTGGTGGGTGTGGGAGTAGGAACAGAAAGCGGGCAAGGAGTTTCCAGCGTCGCCTTAGCTGGTCTGTACGATGATAAGCGCTGAATGACCCCTGGACCTGTAGTCACCCTCTGGCCCGAGACCGCAAGTGACCCCCTTTTCGCAATCCCTGCCCGTCCATGGTGGTGCAATGGCACTTCCCAGAAGAATGCTGAAGATCATGTAAAAGATTTGGATAAAGCTAAAGCCGTGTAACTATAGAACGTATTCAATTTACTCTTGCTTTCCGGCCTAACGACAGAATCAACTAAATGCATCGAACCCATCGACAGTACTGGACTGTCAACTTCGGTGCTACGATCATCACGCCATTGCCCGTAGGAAGATTCATAATGGTATTCTCTACAAGGAGATATCCGTTCGGTGTCCGACATGACGTGAAAATATCGCCTTGAACCGTTGCTAAGATTTCACCACTGAGGCCTGGGTTCGCTGGAAAGTTTCAGCTTCGTCTCCCGCGCCACGAGAGAAGGACAAACCTGTTCGCCAGATCACGTAATCTTCCATACCATACTTCCATTCTTCACACCTTTGGGTGACTGACTTGGGCGGATGCTGCAAAGTTCCCCAGTGGGCCGTAGCTCTGATATCTTCCGCGAGACCCGGGTTTGCGGCTTCGAACCAATATTGCCACTGTTGCAATAGGGCCCAGTAGTATGCATCTCGGTTTCGGCAGCCGTAGATTTGCCATTGTAATCTTCGGATTCTGGCAAAGAACTCTAGGAAATGTACAGTCCTCTTATCGTTTGCTCCTATGATGGCAATTTCCGTTTGAATGTGTGGGCACAAGTCCTCGTGGTGCCCCCCCGGTGCGAAATCGAAAATGGTAGCTTCTACTGGCGTATTCGTGTCATCGCGGACGCATTGGAGGATGAGCTCTCCATTGCGTATTAGCATCTCCTTCGTCGTCAAAACAACCTGGCTCATATGTCCACTCTTGATTCGCATGCTGTGTATTTGGCTTGATTCGGTGCACTCAGAATACGTGTATGTACCTCCTCAACCTTTTAAACGAATCAAGGCGGGTCCCCGTGCAGTATTCAGCGAATTGGCGTCTTTGCTGCCTGCTTGCTGGAAGTGTCATATACAAGAAGTATCTCGGTCCTACAAACGGCTTGCTGCGGATGTGATTTCGCGCTCCTCTAAGCCGCCCTCCGGTGTGCCTGTTGACGTACGAGAGGCGCATCGTCGATCGAGACTGTAAAATTGGGAAACGTCCTCATCACTAAACGGCCCCTGTAACTCCATCCAAGCAGTATTTATCAAGACAATCTCCAGACCTGGCCTCCCGGGGCATGCCCGATTCGCTACCAAGAGAATCGATCCTAAAACCAGCGCAGGGGCTCATATAGGAGCTAGTCTAGATCAGAGAACCGGTGAACCCCGGTCGGCTAGCTGACCTTTGTTGTAACCACACCTCGCTCACCTGAGCAGAATGGAGGAGCATAAGTGGTGGATAAGACAAGGGAATGTTGGTGCTATCAACGTTTGCGCGAAGAGCGCGGACAAGAGGGGGAGGAATGGACCGGTCTTCAATGTTTCACGACTTCGAGACCAGTTTGACGGCTTCAAGAGTCTTCTAAGAAGAACATATTACCTATTTGGTCTCCATCACTCGCACAAGCGCGGAACGAGTCAAGTCCCATGAAGAGCCATCCCCTGCTCGAGTAGAGCTGAGGAGGTTTTCTCTACCCAACGACTCGATGGAGAAATTCCAAGCTCCCTCTGATAGTCCTTGATTTTCTGTCTAGAGGCATGCTACCAACAAGTCTGTTGGTCAATGCTCTTAGTCAGCTCTATTGATTGGTCTTGTTGCTCTGCTGGTCACTTCTGCTGGTCACCTTATCCTTGCTGGCGACCGGTGATTCTAAGTTGGTAGTCTGTTGGTCAGGGTTGTTGGTCATGCGTTGGTCTAGTGTTGGTCAGACGTTGGCCATGCATGCATTAGGTTCTGTGACAATCATGCGATTATCATAGCCAAGAATGAGGGTTGGCCAGAGGGTACGTAGTAATGAAGATGACATGGGTGGTTCATCTTCGGATCTCAACCAATCGGCCAAAGTGCGGGGTCACATGCACGGAGATGAACGTTGGGTTTCCCACAGCTGAGGATGACTTTGTTTCCGCTTCCTAGCTACTTACACTCAAGCCAGAGCTGGTCGATGCCTCTTTCTGCCTGATGAATCATGGCTGGCACTAAGCCACAACCCGGAATTTGCTGAAGTCCAATTTGAGGCGTGCCGTCGGGTCCAGTAATAGGAGTAATGTCACATTGTCGCCCAGAGGGTTTATTACTGTAGCCTCATTGACCCTTTCCAATGAGCGAACTGAACATTCACGGTCATAGCTGAGGAAGGCGGGTGATGCCAGCGGAGTGGCCAAGACAATGAAAGATCTGGCCAGGTTGACAGACAGTACCTCAAGGCTTCGCTTACCCTTTGTTACTTTTTTCCAGGCTGCGCGGCGAGGACCGGCCCCACTTCGACTTTCCCCGGTTCCGGTTTAGTGGGTCGAAACCGGGGTTTACCGAAAGCGCTTAAGGTCTTCCGAATGCTTTTCCTGGCGTCGGAAGCGCCGCTAATTCGGCTACCCCCGTCATCACAGGCCCGAAGCGCCCGGCAGTCGAGAAGAAGTTCGTAATCGATTTAGTTTTAGTTCCATTCTAGCCGCTCGCCAAGAGAGCTCATGAAAAATAGGGGCAGGCCTACTGTTATTTATAACGAGATCCGGCATATCCACCCCTCATTTTCGCGTATGTTCTCTCTGCTGACCCTCATTCTACTTTCATTCGTCATGTATACTTTACATCGCCAGACAGATTGCGCTGATGGATTTGCGTTCTATGTCTGCAGCCACAACAATTTCCGTGGTTGCTGCTCAACCGATCCATGTGCGCTATTCAACTGTCCAGACGTTGCTATATCGTCATCGATGAACCCAACGACTCTATCCTTGAGTATTGTAACGACGTCGTTCGAGATGAGTTCGACAATCCCCTTTCCATCTGGTGTAACAACAGCCACAACAACCACCCTAAGTTCCGTAGCGCCCCTGGCTAGCAATTCGAGCATGGGAAACGATGTCGAAGAAGTTTCACCTCCATGGATAGGATTAATCGTCGGGCTTGGACTCGTTGCGATTATCGGAATTGCTTTTCTCACGATCTGCATGAGAAAAAGGTTCCAGCTGAAGCCCGCTAGTTCAAGTATGTTATGCCATGGTGAAATGATCGCCTGCCAAGTCCTGACATTACACAGATCTACCCGTAACGACGGAGCTGCCCGAAGCCATTGAGCTGCCCGAAGCCATTGAGCTGCCCGGAGCCATTGAGCTGCCCGAAGCCACTGAACCGCCCCGAGCTATTGAGCTGCCCGGAGCCAATGCGCTGCTCTCAGAGCTTTCTGTGGGGATCAGCGCGGAATTGCCCGATGCCGACAAGCAACATGAAACGAGAGAAGAATGGCCTAGCTGTGAACTCAAGGCTACGATGAGCGCTACACCACAGGAGATCTCTAGAAATGAGTATGTAAATAGCTGGTCACGTTATAGTTTCAATCACAAAGTCTAAGCGGAGTTCTGTCGCCATTTATTGTTCCCCGAAGCTTTATGTAATTTGAGCGTGTTCAGTCGCCTGACTCCGCCGAAGGCAATCTCTGAGAGATATGGTTTGTCCGGGGTGGCCATTCAATGGTGATCATCCTGTTCATTGTTATCGCAGCTACCAGTAATGAGCCATCAGTCCTTGCGTACTACGTTAAAGTATATCTAACTCGTTTTGGCGCTTTCCTGAGGTAATTATCAAAGACGAGCCTGAACAAGGTTGTTGCCTTTGGAAATTCGCGAGATAACTCGGACCTACTAGTCTAGCGGTAAGTAAAACAACGACGACCGCCCGTCTGGTTGGTCCCCATTTGTCAAGGCGATTCTCACCAGTATCATGGAGGGGAATCGAACCATCCGCTTGGCCGAATGCACCACCTGAGACAAGTTTTGTCTGATGAATCAAGTCTCTAAGGCCTATCAATGCGCTGGTCAACTTGTTGCTTACCTTGTTGGTCAGCTAACGCCCGTTTGTCGTATGCCCACCTGCTGGTCACCTCACTGGCCGTCACATTTACTGACGTGTTGGCTCTTATGTTGGTCTTTGAGTTGGTCCCTATGTTAGCCACTATTCTGGCTGTCACATCTACTAGTTTGTCAGCGACTTTATTGGTCTCCATGTAGGCCACCTCACTGGCCGTCACATTTACTGACGTGTTGGCCCATGTGTTGGACTTCGCATTGGCCACTTTTCGGGGACCGGTGAATGCCGATGACCGAGAAGTGCGGCGAAATCGTACCATCGACAGTGGAAAGGCCAACACGAAGGCCACCCAAGAGGCTCACATGACAATCAGAGACATTCGTATCAGCAACCGATATGGTGGCCAGATTATTGATGAAAAGAGGGTCGCACAGTCGAAGTGAAGACCTATCACCGTCAAGACAGTCCAACGACCAACTGCTTGGCTAGCGCTATCACATGCACGGAGATGAGGCCAGGCAAAGGGTCGGAATAGTGACGACCTATCAACTGATGTGGCGACAATTCCATAATGCATATGCTGTGTGACGACCTTGTACGTAGCCTCTCGTGTTGCTAAATTAGATGTCATGTGGTCGCCGAAAATGGCTTCTCTGCCGGCCAACATTTCGCCCAGCAGGATGCCAGTCGGGCGAATGATGGAAGTGACGGCTAACATGTCCCCGGTGGGCCCGGCAAGCAACCCTCAGAGTGCTTTGACATCCAATCATCGAGAAGTATGCGATACTTGTTCAACTTTTCATCCCATTGACAAGCTGGATGATGTATCATGCGGTCATTGCAATTAGTTGCAAAATATCACCAACATGTTCGATCAGCCATCTCCGAGACGCTCACCAAGGCAAGCTCATAGGCACCGAAGTCGCCCAGCAACCATTCGTGGAGGATCCAAGCTTCGTGATTGAGGTAGATAGAGAGGAGGCAGTCTATAAATACAAGACACCCAGAGCCCCAATAGTTTCCTCGGATCATTTTTCCACTCAACACAACTCATTTCACTTCTAAGACATAGCTCCTTGCCCATCTTCTTTGAGGCTTCGATATCCTCGCTGTTGACAACTTACAACATGGCCGGTCTCCCGATCAAATCCAATAGCAGTGTCAGGCAGACATTCGCATCTGCTGTCGACTTGAACCAATGTTCAATGCCGTCGTCACAGAGCTCGTCACTGCTGGCTCAGGGATCTCAGTCGATCCGTGCTACAAAGCCTTCTATAACCAAAACTGTCAGCAGATCCGGCATTCCTCTAATCGTCGATCTCACCGATGATTCCGATGGCAAAGAGAGAGATAGCAACATCAAACAAGATGTCGACAGTACATCTGTCAGCACCCTAAGTCAAGTCCCAACCTTCAAACGAGAGGATAGCCAAGAGAAAGAGGTTACAAAGCTCCTGGATATCACCGACATTCCGATGTTCAATAATGATTGGCGGCCCAGATTGTGCCTCCAGGATATCGACCAGGTTTGCCGCAAGATCTTAGACCTCCACAAGAGGGTAGTATCTTTAGAACAGCATAGACGTGGCTCGAATCCTACAGAGCCAAGCCGGACTCCGCAATCAAGGACACCGCAACGGATCAAACGAGCGGGACGCGAGGGACCGAAGCCATGCTCAATCACAGACATGAAAAATCACGATATCAATTCAAGCATCAAAGCAGAACACAACATCGTCTCCCGCGGCTCAAGAGAGGACAGAAAGATACCGTTCAAGACTCAAACGCGCTCTGACATCTATCTTGTTTCACGCATGTATCAATTTTGCAAAGAAGGAGATGAAGAAGGAAAGGAAGGAGAAGGCTGGCGAAAGCATCGACTCAAGTGGAATCGGGAAACGAAGCTCTATGAAAGCGAAGTATATGGAGCTACACGAATTTGCATCGATGTATTTTCCCAGGACGTGAGGACTGAGACGATCCTGTAGTTAAAGAGAATACTTCCAACTCGGTCGAGTCGCCGAGCATTATCTACGCGTACAAATCTGTACATACGCATCTCCGGTGATACCTAAGGATATGTTAATGAGAACTTCTATTGTTTCGGAATTTCCTCGAATGAAAGGGAGACATCAAAGTTTGGTCTGGAGAAAGTATGAGGGGGTCTTTGTAGTAAAGCCATTCCATGGTTGATGGTACAAGCCTTGTGAGTGGTTTAGAATTTAATGATTGCAAGGGGTTGGTCTGTCTGAACCTGAGTCATCAAATTCTATTTGGATCTTTCCAAGATGAGCTTGGACATGGTCACCTCTTCGGGACCTAACGAGCTAGCTAGGGGTTCTTGGTCTTTGGATGTTCTATTCAGAAGCCTAAAGTTTCTGTTCCATATTTCTCGCCCTTGTCAACCGACGGTTCTGCTACCCGCTATTATGGCCGCTTAATCCCTGTCTGGCTGTCTCGTCCGTGATAATCCCATGCATGCTTTGTCCAGGACTCAAAACCATCAACAGTGAATTCCTTGCCTTCCTTGCGTTGACAAATAATGCATGAAAATGTCTTATTGAAAAGTCCAGTGTGTTTGTGGGCTCGATTCGTGTGCCGTGAGTAGCTGTTACCAACGCATACAGCCAAGCCGCAAAGCAAACATGCCAACCTCTCAGCCTTTCCTCGTTGCTTTGGAACTTTCTGTCGTAATCTAAGATGTGTTAGGTAAGTCGGTAGGTATGGCGCATTCGAGGCTCCATGATACTTCTCGACGTGATGGCTCCATGCCGAGGGCCTATCAATGGGCTCAGATGATCGACCTAAGCGAGCACATTCGGGGCATTCAAAAGGCCGTTCGAAATGTCCCTTTGCAATGTGAATATTCTGCGTATGCCTGGTCAAGTTTGGCCGGCTTTTGTATGTGCCACAACCAAACATACACCTGTAAGTCTGCTCACATTCTTCTGTATCGCTTTGGGGCGATTCGGCTGGGACTGGTGAAGATCGAACGTTCGGCCCAGCCTCGGAGCTTGTAGTGAGGCATCTATCAGCTACTGTCTTAGCTGATGCTGGAATCTGGCCAAGATATGCAAGACCCATTTGAACGAAGTCGATAGTTCTCTCATTGGAAGGAGTCTTCTGACACAAGAACTTGCCGATCGCAGCGGCTCCTTCCGAGCTTGCCTCATGGAAGCGCCTTCGATGTGACTCAGAACTCTGGCTTAACTCTCCCGGTATCGGCATTCCGGAGGCTCGTAGCGTGTCAACTCTTTCAAAATAAGTCCTTCTTTCTCGATCGATGGTGAGTTCCTCAAGCTTGTCGCGTATGGACTGAATTCGGGCCGCTATACGTTTGGCTTCTGGACGGTCGGCGTTTGCTTTTCTTCGTACAGTCTCGTACTCGATCCTCAGGTTTTGAAGATCACTACGTTGTTCCCATGATTCGATGTCTTCTTTCTTAGGGTAAATTGGAGCGTTCTCGTCTCGATGAAGGCTCGAATTTGCCAGAAGAGCGTATAATCTTTCTTGATGGTCGACTTGGAGGACCCTGGCAAAGGCTACCCGAGGAAGGTTTTCGGCCACATGAACCGGTTGATAGCTTCCTTGAAATACGGCCGAGGTATGCGAAAGAATGAAGTTGCTTAAGTGAGGCTCTAGACACTCTGTGAACTTGTAAGAGACGGTTGGTTGATGTAGTAGGGTGACTCACTATGTAGCCTGCCGCCTGCACCTACTCTCATCGAATATGGCCGTGGAGGCTCGCGTACACCAGCTACAAGGAGTACCTGGTACCACAACTCGTAAAAGGCCGGGTATGTTATTTCAAATAACGTCTGATGTTCCATATCTTTTTTCCAACGCAGAGGGACGTAGTCCACATCTTCCATAATAGGGCGACAGAGGATCTCGCCCATCGAGCTGAAGGGTGTTTCAAAGGCGTTCTTCTCAAGAGCCACCACGATGACTTGACTGACGATACACAAGAGCGGCCATGGAACTATTGTGATCGATATCTTTACTCTAAAACGCGAATTAGCTGGTGAGTCGATCTTGGTGATGAACCAAATAATATGGATACTCACACATCATCTTGTTTCCGTCCAATTTTCTTGCTCGCTTGCTTATTCTGATAGATGGTGAACGTTGCAACGAGTTGAGTTCTGCTTTTATCCAGCGGGTCACGAACGACGGCCAGCTGGACCTGACTGAAAGGCATCTGCATGAGTGTGCCGGGCCGAAAGCCTCCGATGCTAGAGAGAAGCAAAACGGCATGAAAGGCTATCCTCGTCTTCGGGGAACACCTGACGTCCATTGCACGCCTCCACAGGACATCTAGATAAAGTGTTATGTCTTCGGCAGTGGCAGGCACCTTTTCGAATGTTTGCTCCCGCTTGAGTTGCATAATGTCAACAAGCTTCTCTCTCAGCCACTGTAACGTTGGATCAGTGATAGATGGTACCTAGGAGTAGGCATGTACTGACCAAGGATACCTTGTAGGCCGGATTGCTCGTATGTCCCCTTCCTTCGTGGAAGACTAACTTCCACTGCGCTTGGTTGTGTGGCTCCTCCTGTCTCTTTTTCTGAAGCACTTTCATATCGGCGGACCCCACGAGACTTTTCCATACATCCATAAGCGCAACCCCTGTTGTGACCATGCTCACCCATTCATACTCTTCTGGACCCAGACAAACACGGAGCTCAAACGAGTTTTCGACGTAGGCTTTGAGAAACATTCGTATGTAGGTAGTAGCCGTGTTGCAATGGAGGCAAAAATCAATCCAAGTCTGATTGGGGTCGATGTCCACAACATTCTTTGCCCACCTGTACGTACGAGAATAGCGTCAGTAAACCAGTGCTGATTTCAGGGTGAAGCTTTCTCACAATTCCCATTTTGCCCACACTCTGTCACGTTGATCTGTTGTTTTGGGTGCAACGCTAGCGCGGTCCGGCAAAGCTTCCTCGGAGAAAAGAGCGAAATCCCTCGCAGCTCTTTCTTGTTGTGAGCGTAAGTCGCCAGGGACTGGTCGGCCGGGGATCGATTGAAAATCCATCGTGGGAGGAACAAGAAGTCTTCGAGGTAGCGAGTGGGAGGACGAAGGGAACGCCGGGAATGAGTGAGAGGGACGGAGGAGTGTGAATGAGTGAGGGAGGGAGGGATGAAAAGGAATTTGAATCCTGGATTTGAAATTGACCGCAATAACCGCCGTCATCTATGGCCACACCCGGGCTCTGCCTTTGCGGCGCGTAACAGCGACCGGGCCGGAGGCCAGAAACGGAGGTGTCGCCCAAACGGTACGGGCAACACGGGGAGGAAATGTGGGGCCATCTCCGTCTCACCGGCACTTAGTCATAAATGCGACTCTCCATAGGTAAGACTCCCCTCATTGGCTTATCTATGGGAGAGCGGACGGGATCCCGAGTTTTCCAATGGGTATGGTCGTATGTGATGGTTTGAGCCGGAGAGAGCGTAGATAAAGGCAGAGGCGGGCAGCTAGGCTCACGGTTGTGGATGACACAACGAAGGTTTGTCCAGAAGGGCGATGGTATATGGTGATGGTTAGATGGGGCTTGTTGTAGTTGAAGTGGCGTTTGGTAATTGAGTGGTTATTTAATAGGGGAGATCAGATCTGTCCACGAGGCGAGAGAGCGGATGGAGAGGTCGTCAGCCACAAGCCATGTTTACACCCGAGAACGAAAGAAAACTTGCATATGCGTATGTTTGCAGACAAAATAAACCCACTTGTGCGACCTTTCATGGTTTTGCAGCTCACGAGGCACTGGCTTTTCTTTCCTATTAGCCGGGGAGGGTAGATGCTGTGTCAAAGCTGTGAGGCCGAGTTGACCCCCCCCCCTTCGTTATCATCATGTTGCAACGACTCGAACCATGTTGCAGGAAACCTCTATGAAGAGACAATATTCTGAGGACACACAATGATTCAACCTTGATAGCTAAACGATATTAATTATGTATACTTTGATATCGTAGTGCTTTGTACGAGCTTCACTCCCACAGTCATGAGTAGTGAGAATACTGAATTTTGTAAAGAACACCCAGTTGTATTAATCAAACATTGCCTAAACCCTACGGCATTTAGGTACGAGTCCACCATTGACCAAAAAGAGAATACAAGATATATACACAATCACAGTCAAGCAACACTATCGTCACAAGCCCCCTCCCTCTCACATGGGCCTACCATCATACACCGTCCCGTACGGCACAGTCTCAATATCCCCATGACAGGCCCTATCATAGGCCGCCAGCTCAGGCATATCCTGCTGAACGCTCAAGAACGTCTCGAGCTCGCACCAGCCGTCTAATCTCGTGACATCGCAATCGGGAAAACTCCAACCCAAAGGCACGGTCCTTTGGTTCAGAACAAAGTGAATATATTTTGTCTCCCCGCCGTCCTTTTCGTATCCGGAACGATCGGCCTTGAAAGGCTTGGGCGTCTTGATGACCTCGATGTCGAGCCGGGCGCCAAACGGCGTGATATGCGAGACGGTGAAGTTGTGCTGGCCCGGGTACTCCGTCGGCTGAAGGAGTTGGGCGAATTGCTTCAGACCAAACGCCGTTAGGATAGAGGCGATGTTGGTGTCGTGGGAGAAGTCAAAGTAGAGGCTCTGGTTGAGAGGGAACGTGACCGTGTTGTTGTCCAATGTCACGTTGATCTGAGACCCAGAGTAACCCAGAGTGTGGTTCTGGAGGCGGGCAATGACTTCCTGTTGATAGCCGATACCTACGGCACGCTGCAGCCTTGTCAACATCGGATCATTTGGCGCAGAGTGAAAGTTGTACATACACCTGTGGGGTTCTGGAACGCGTTGTTGCCGGCAAACATGAGGTCAACAGAGTAGGAGAAGCCAACCCACTCCTCATACGTGAACAAATCGCAAAAGACGCTGAAGCCGTAGGCCACCTGTTTCAAGGTCAGTCAAAAGTAGCTCTTTCTCGTTTCGCGCATGGAAGCTCTCACCGTCTCGTATGGGCACATGGTCTGAGCCGCGTACGTGTCATCAATGGTCCAGTCATATCCATCCGCCAGATCTTTCAATCGAGCAGTAGCTGAGAAAAAGTGTAAGTGGCGTGTATACGATTGCATAACTTAACAGCAGGTAGACTTACCATTGGCCAGGTAGTTTGAGATCCAAACCTTGGCAGCATCGTCGCCTCCATTCTGCTTGCGGGCGTTGGGGCAGTTCAAGTAACCGGCGAGCGAATTGTTTGCCCTGTCTTGTTCGATGATGACCTCAATAGTAGCATTGTTTGTCCTGATGCATAGGTTAGCTGTGAGCTTCACACCGCGTCAAGCAGAGCACCATACCATTCAAGACCAAAGAAGCCGGCCAGCCAGTACTCGGCCGACTTGAGCATCCTGTCTTGCGTCTGCAAGCGTGTCAGTCATGGGTCATCAAAACTAGCAGTCAATACTCCCGACGTACAGTTGTTCGCACAATGATCTTGCTGTTCGGATTATACAGCGATGAATACATGTACGAGTGTAGGATACCTAGGCAGCAATTAGTCTTGATGCTGCAAAACCTTGCGCAGACTGTCTAGTATCAGGCCACCCACCGGAGTCAAACAGCTCTTGACGCCCTGCGGATGAAAGGTCAGCGATTTCGCACACAGACGAGGCCTCAGTAAAACCAACCTTTTGGGACCAGGATCTCGTGTCCCAACTGATACCTCCAGTTGTTCAAAAACTTCAAAGCACCCTTGGCATTCAACTTGTTGCCAGCCTTTGCGATGCGCTGCCCAAAATCGGCTACATTGGATCCCATGGTGGGATATCTAGATCCGTGGCGAGAGAGCATCTATGACAAGTTAGCCAGGCTGAGCATCTCCTATCGTGACCTAGGAATATAGCCCCTAAAGCCCATCCGTAGCTGGCTCAGATGGAGCTTACCTGAACTTGGACAATATCGGCCCCTTCTGGCAGCGCGTATTCCTCGACACCAAAGCCAGGACTCGGTTGATACGGCGTAAGATAGCTAAACACCCGGGAACTTGAGCATTCACCCTTATCACGTTCAGGGCACGCGAACTTACCCCATCATGTTGAAAATGCTCTCATTCTTGCTTCCCATCCCCTCGATAGGGATGTCCGTCTGTAGCGGCGCATTTGGCACAAAGGTGCCTGTAGGGATGACTCTCGTCTGCGCCATGAAAGCAGGTCTACCAGTCGCCGTCGGGCCAGCCCACAACTCCGGGCTCGTCCTGAAGTACTGCGGCACGTCATCGTCCTGTCTGCACGGGCAGTCGTCTAGGTTCTTCAAGCCGTCCAACGCGTTCGGGCCCCGTCTCACGCCGCCGTTGTCCCAGGCGAAGCCCAGGACTACGAAGGCGAGCATACATCCCACGAACGCCAGCGCGAGCGCGATGGCGATGGTGGCTCGACGACGGCTGCTGGGCGAGTTGTGAGAGCCATCGCCGTGGAGATCAATGTCGACAAAGGCGGCTCCGGACGTGGGTGTCGGCGGCGGGAGGGCCGGGAGAGGCTTCTCGCTGGGCAAGGCCTTCTGCCTCCGGCCGGCGGAACCGGAACGGCTGCGGCGAGGCTGCTGGCGGGAAAAGTCGTTTTCCTGTCCCGGAACGCGGAGATAGCCACCCTGGCGGGGTGCCATATTTGCTATAATTCCCAGGGGAGGACCGAGGTTTGCGCAATGCTCGATGATGAGAGAGTGGCGGGAGGGATCCGACGCTTGAAAGGAGGTACAAGTGACCCCTTCGGAGTTGACGGTCCACTGAAGGCTTTTCTTGCAGGTGATGCACGACACTGCTTGCCCAGGGAAGCTGCAGCTAGCAGTATCCAGTCACAAACTGCCGGAGGTAGCACCGAGACACCAACCGGACACAGAGCCCGTACGCAGTCAAGGTAGGCAAAAGAGGGGGGCGTGGAACACGCAAAGTACAACAAGGTACGTCAAGACAGGATTCGTTTCACATTCGGGGGTGCAAATGTAGGTAGGATGGAGCGGTTGTTTCTCGAAGTGGATGGTACCTAGGATAGGTATGCAGCTCTCAAAGCGGCACTATCAAGCGGTCAAACCGAGGTTGGCGTAGGCGAGACGACGATGCAGGGTGAAACGTGCAGTACTGCGTAGACGGCGGTTGAATAAAGCGATTGTGAGGTGCGGCAGTAAAGGTATGACGGATGCAGATGCAGGAAAGAAGGGATCTTCTTCGACACATGCGGCGGGCAGTCGATCCCCAGGCCTCGGGAGCAACGTCCGTGATTCCCCAATTGGCCACCTGGATGGTCAGTGCGATGCGATGGGAGGAAAGGCAACTTTGCGGAACGGGAAGGGCGGGAATGACGGTCTAGGTATTGTGAAGAAGAAGCAAACAAACGGCGGTCAGGTGTGAGTCGTAAGACCATGCCTTTCTGCTGTAAGGTAAGGTATCCGTCAGAGGAAGGTTTGATAACGTCGCGATGGGGAGGTGTCGTCTGAGGCGGCCAGGAGGAACTCGAGGTAGGGAGACTCGCGGTTAGGGGGCACCTGTCGTTGGGAGTGGCGCCTTCTCATTCGACGATGCGTGGCCCCATCGGCAGCTTACCTTAGCGGCTTAGCTCAACCGGGAAGGCGGATCCGGTCCCGACAACGCACGGCCAACAGCCAATGACAAGTATGTACTACCTACAGAGAACCTAGGTATGGCCTGGGCTGTTCTGGCTGCTACGGCAGATGGCTCTGTGCAGTGTGTACTGCTGCCCTGAGTGGCTCTTGAATGATGAATCCCAATCTGGGAGGATTCATTGGCACGTGATACCTGAAGGTAGGCAGGTACCTTTCACGGCATACTTACCACGGAACGCTCAGGTACCCTAGAATTCAATCGCGGTACGGTTATTCCTACCTCACTTTATCTTACCTTACCTTACCTTATGCTAGACTGCCGCCGAATCCGCGGATGCATCCCCGGAAGAGCCCTGCAAGCCCATCGCTGTCAGCACATTCCCAGGCCACTTTCAGCCGTTGACGAACCGATGGACGGGACGTCAATCTGCAATCTCCATCCACGCAACCACGCAACTACCACCAAACAATCGCAACACCCGTCGCTCATACTTGCTTTTTTCTTCTTCATGGTCGCCGTCCGCTCCCTCCCCCACGTCCACCAACTTCTCCCCCAAAGGCCTTGTTCTCCGGGCTAGGTGAGCTCCATCCAGCTAGGTATTGCTCAGTAATCAGCTACCGCATGTTTGGTTACGCATAGGTACACAGATCCTGACAACCAAGTCGCGCAGCGAGCGAGCATCGTGAGGAAGCCCTACACCCCTAAGGGATTCTAGACCTTGCCAAGTTGCCCCAACTTCCAAGTCCACAATACCATCTCAACATCAATCATACTTGACTTGGACGTTCGTGGCAGGGCTTGTAGCGACCTGCAGCTCTTTCAACGATAGTCTTCCCAAACAGGCCTCAACCAAAGTTGATTAGTGATTCCACGCAGGTGTCAGCAAGTCGCTTTTGGGCCTAGGGGTTTTGTGACAAACCCCCGTACATACATACAACCCCGACCTCCTACTATCCCATCACCCATTGTCAGTCATGGTGTCAATTTTTTTTTTTTTTTTTTTTTTGTTGCTTCTTCTACTCCTTCTTGCTCGTCTTGGCGCCCTGTTGAGAAGAAGAAATTATTGCTGAAGCCCATGTGCTCCACAGTGCGTGTCTTCAATGTCTCCGCCGCTTTCTCCTGGGCGCACTAGGCTCTGTGGCTCCTCAAATCCTCCTCCTCCCCCTCAAGGTGGACAATCCTAGCGTGCCTCTGCTCGCAAAATGGGCCCCGTTTCTATCCCTCCGATCGATCGCCTACGCTAAGAGCCGATGACAACCTCCCCGTCGCGTACAGGCCATGCCACCATGCTTTGACGGGGAAAAAGAAAAGAAAACATCGAGTCCCGGAATTACAGAAAAAGCAAGAAAGTTACAAACGGAAGAAGCGGGTGCGCTGGCTGCACACATCTATCTCGAGACCTGTTAGCGAAGGACGAGCCGGTCATGCCGACCTCGGACCACCGCCGGATTTCCTCCCCATTCCCAATTACTCAAGCACTCAAGTCAAGCTTGCTGTGAGTGCAAGGTTTCTTTGCAACCAACCGGTAAAAAGCAAATATCCTCGACATGCACCCATGGGTTTCGTACTTACGGATACTCCTCTTGCCTTACTCTCCTCTTGTCTGCATGGAACACGTATGCTGCCCGTTGGTGACAAGCAACGTGTCTGCCCAGGATCACCAGGTGACCAGCGTCATCGGAAAACCCCAGGTCCTCCAGAAGACCAAGTCCGGACTGAAGACATTGGCAAAAGCAAGAAAACATCCCGGCGTAGGGGTCCTCGAGACGGCGCTGATGCACTTCTGGAAAACACTCCAAAAGTTCCCGCATGGCGGCCTCCTCTTTCATTACCCACTTCTCATGCATGCCTCTTTTTCGCTCCTCCCTTCCCTTGTAGGGATGCGAACGCAAACCTGCCGTAGATTCGCTTCCGCTTATATCCTGGGCGACCGACCAGGGCCACAGATTGTAGCCAGCGATCCGGCATTCCCATGCAGGCGACGAAAATGTGCATGCCCATCGACGCTGATACCAGCGTATTGCAGGTGTCAAAAGCTGCTTGTCGTTCCGCCATGAGCTGCAGCCACGCGCTCGCTTGCTTGCCGATCACTGAGAGAAATACAATAAAAGTGCAGGAAAAGCCAAAGACATGCTGCCAATAGAAGCGCTTAGTGGCTCTTTAGGTGTCTTGACAGAGGCTTCGACCCTGCTAGGCGGCTGTCGACTTCCTACAGGCCAGGATGCTCGACTTGTCCTTTGGCCATGGCGAAGTGCGAACTCCATGCCCATCTAAGATATCGGTCAGCTGCTCTGCCAGTCAAGACGCCACGCTTTCCTTGCAAGGTCAATGGCCTCACCGTTGAGGATCCCAGATATTGATGTCTGTTCGCATCATCGTTGCTTTTCCGGCTTGTAGCTGAGTTGCTGTCCGTCAGAGAGTTTTTTCGTTTGGGTCTGGGAATACGGGACCGTCATATGCACGTCTTTCTACGTTAGAGGCGGCGAATAAGCAATGTTGGATCCGCAGAGAGATTAAGCGGCCGTTCTTCCATGCATAACGTGGTGAGTTTCCTGATTCCACAATCGTCAGTGTCCTGGAGCAAGTTTTAACAACTTGACAGAACCCAAATGCGGCAATCTCACAATAAAGCACTGACCAGAGGCTACACAGGAGTCTCATGCATATACCCATCTCCTTTTCTCGTGTTCTCTCTCTGTGGACTGACGCAGCACGCGATGAGCTCCGCCAGTTCCGCCAGGGAGGGAATCAGGGCCTTTTGTGATCGAGAAGCTGAAAATATGAAATGAGGCTCGTCTTTGCCTACGTTGACAGGTGTACACCGATGTCTTGAACTTCGTTTGACCATTGGTCAGCTGTTTGACCGGTCCTGCATGGATGTAGGTTTCCAGCTCCATGGTCGTGTGACCAATGGCTGTCGTTACCTATCCTCAGCCACCTCATTGACAGCCGGGATATCAGTACCACATGTCTCAGAATCAGACTTGCCGCAGTCATTTCAAGCTTCGTGCACCAGACAGGTTTGACGGTCAAGGATCATTAGGTTATACTATAACCACTCCGGATTTTACATCCCAACCATTGTATACATGCTTTTCCCAACCGGGTTCTAATCTGTGAACTCCAACGGACTCCGTGCTTTTCTGACCGTAAACGACGAGGAAACGATAATAAACTTTTGTGGTGCAAGGGGGAGTAAGTGAAATGCTGCGAAAGGAAAGACGGACAAGAAAAGATGCGGTGGTTGACTCCGCGCAAGAAGAAGCCCAGCCCGGTTTCCCGTGTTCGAAACATGCGAGTCCAAATAATTCAACCATGACGCCTCTTTCTCCCTTTTTGGTGATTCTCCATGAGGCGTTCCAGCAAAAAATCAAAGACCAGAATGTGCAGAATCAGTTGGGGTACTTTCTGAGGGGGAAGAATGCGTCAGGCATCGGCTCAAGGTGCCAGACGCGGTCGGCAGGCTTGTCGAAAGCATCGTACCACTCGCGCTGGAGGGCATCGGGAATAGACCAGCCAAGCTGCTCGTTGCGCACGCGCATGCGCACAAGATGACGCTTTTCGCTAGCACCTTGGCCGTTGACAAAGGCCTCACGTCGGTGGAGGATGGCCAAGTTGTTGATAAAGTGGATGTCGCCTGCGCGAGTCTGAATCTCCATTTGAGTAGCCTTGGCAATGGCCTCGACGGCATCAAGAGCCTCGATCTGACGAGCCGTCAAGGATGGGAAGTGTGCCGGTCTGGGATGAGCCGAGTTGCCCATCAAGGGGGTGCGACCAAAGTTGATAATGATCTTTCCATCATGATGGAAAAGAACCGGACGGCATTGGAACTTGGGGCTAGGATCTGGTCAGTTGACAACTCGAAAACAGCAAAGGACTAGTGAGCTACCGGGAATGTAGACTTACAGGGCAAAGGGCCAGTCGGAACGGGACAAAGTGCGAATGATGTCGGGTCGAGTGGCTGCAAGAACATTGTAGACGGTGTGGGCAGAGGCGATGATGCACTTGCCACCGGCGGCAGCAGTGTTGCGGGTCAACCAGCTGATGACATCGCCCGACTCCTCATTGTGGAAGGTCTAGTGATGGCTTTGTCAGTACGTTGCCAGTGAAGATGATGGCGGCCAAGCTTACAATGGCTGAAGTAGAATGGCGATGGTGATCCGCCTTGGCCTGGCTTGTGTTGTCGGCAACGATGTGGACTGTTGTTGGATTGTAGTTAGCAAAGAATGTTCAAAGACGAACAACAAGACAATGTCAACGTACCAAGCATATTTCCCTTCTTGTCTTGACGGGCCCGCTGGCTGGCAACATACCCCTGGATGCCAAGGTACAGGACCGTAAGATCCTCGACAGAGTGCTGCTGCGGGTCAATGCCGCGGACCACAGCGAAGCCCTTGCCGTGATGAATGTCACGGGCAATGCCATCCAAAGTGGTACCAAGGGCCGGCAGAGGGAAGTTGTCCCGGTTGACAAGATCGCCGTCTAGGCCCAGAGCTAAATTGGCACCAAACGTCAGCCTTCGGATATTGGTAGCATGAGGTGGGCAGACTTTAGCATACTCTTGAAGTGCTTGAGCGCGGCAGTGAGCTCGTCAAGGTCCGCATTAGTGAGGCTGTAAGTGTACTGCGACTGTTTGGTAAATTGCGGGCCGGTCCAGGCTGATTCGTTGACCACTGTCTCGGGAAAGCCAGTGGGGATGACAGGAACGTCCGCGACTGGGGCATTGCGGTCGAGGTGGTGAATGTGGTGACCAGCGGCTGCTGTGGTAGCACCCACGACCGGACCAACTGCACTAGACGCCATCTTGCTGATGTGAGAACTGAAATCAGACTTGTCAGAAGATAGCCATGGGCGAAACATGAGTAAGCAGTGGCAGGGGGCATGTTCGGAACGAACCTGGGAACGTTTGTTTGATATTGACTTTCTGCCGTGCGGCGTGGGATGTAAGGCCAAGAAGCGTGGGCGTGAAGAAAGCGACCTGAAATCAGGTCGAGGCTCAGAACAAGCTTTAAGAAGAAGGAGACGTAGTGACGACGGAGCCGACGACTGAGCCGACGACTACGGATGTGTGCTTGAAGTTGAGGAGCGTCTGGAAGTGACTGAGTGGGCGTGGCAGAGACTGACTTGTATAAAGGATTGGGAAGAAGAGAAGACGAGACAAAAGCTGGTGCGGAAGATGATGGCGTTGATGGGAGAAGAAACGGTTGAGGGAGAGATGGCGAGGATCTGACATGATCTGGCAGAAGCCTAATATACTTGCTTCACGGCCAGGAGAGGCAAGCAGAGAGCAGTCGGTGAAGAAGGATACTTCATCGGCAGGCGCAGGAGCAGCAGGAGCAGGAGCAGAAGCAAGAGCAGAAGCAAGAGCAGGCTCAGGGCATACGGTGGCAAGGAATAGGAAGGACAGAACGGGTTGGGACGACAGGCGAGATAGCAGGAAGCCGCTGGATGTATGGGTCCATGGAGTGGTTACCCGAGTTGCGCCTGCTTGCTTGCGTAGGGGTTTTTGCAGTAACGGACGGGAGTGAAAGTGAGAGTGAATTGATGAAGGGATTGTTCGTGAAGCAAGAAGGCGAGGCGCCGAAGCTGAACGGAGTACGAACGAATAGGTACAGGCAGTGCTGGCCTTTCTCTAGGTGGTATCCGGGCCCCGTCGATGGCCACATGTGCTGGTGAGGTGGGCTAGGTGGGCGTGGATATGTGGGCGTGAACGACGAGAAAGAGATATGGGCGTGTGCGTGTGCGCGCGCAAAGAAGCAGCAATGGTGCTTTACCTTAGTTCGCGGGAAAGCGGCAAGGGCAGGTGGCAGGTGAGCCAGGCCGTTGGGAGGGCCAGCCAGAGACAGGAAATGAGGTGATGGTGCGAGATTGCCGTCAAGACATTTTAAGTCATGGGGAGTTGGTTGTGAGAAGAAGAAGAAACTGCAGACGAGAGCGGAGGACCAAGGTGACTGGTAAAGAACGGAAGGGAGGTGCTGATGGAGCCCACCTCACATTGGGTCCAGAGAGGCATGCGAATGGCAACTGAGAGTGAGTTGGTCGAAAAAATAAAGTAAAACAACAAAAGGTAGTATCTACCCTGGATACGGAGTACTAATCGTAGGCAAGGAACAAAAAGGCAGGATAGGCCAAGACAAGCACTGCGAGGCGAGGTCAATGGAAGGAAACTAACCTATTTTACCTTACCTACCTTGAGACAACACTTGGAGAATAGCTCGAGGTGTACAGAGGTGTGCAGAGTAGACGACAGTACGAAAACGATGAGTACCGACCTGAGGCAGGTAGGTGGTAGGCATGGCAAGAACAGAACTTGAAGGGAGATGCAGATGCAGGGTGCCAAAGTGCACCACAGTCCACGGCCATGAAGTATAGTTGGACGGGAGGGTACATGCCGAGTTTACCTTGCCTAACTCCCTACCTTGAGGTACCTTCCCATACCTTGCCACAGTTGATCATTCCTTCCCAAGCATGAAAGTTGGGTGCGTAAGGTAAGGTAACCTGAGATCGAGTATCCGTAGGGTGAATAAGGAAGGCAAGGTAAGAAAAGTGTCTGTAAGCAGTTTCGGACACCTCGTTGCACGGAATGTCATGGGGGGGTGCATATGGAAGGAGGGATGGGAGAACTGAGAGAAAAAAAAAGGACGGAAAGATGGACGGACAGTTGCACTTGCTTGGCCTTGACTTCAAAGGTACGTCTCCTCCCTAACTACCTTACCTTACTTTACATCACTTGTGTAGTGCCTTCCACCACACCTAAGGTATCCGTCCACGCAATACGCAATGAGTACTTGCCTTTCTCACTTTTTCCTTCTCTCCTTCCCTCATCAATTCTTTTGTTTTTCTTTGTATATTTTTCCCCATTGCTGTCCCAGGCATGGAGGCTGTTGCGAGTCCAGGTATCAAAAGTGGCCAGCCCGTCAGGTGGACTTGCGCAACGCCAGGGGGTGGGAAAGTGCACCATACTTTTGCAGGTACCCGGCGAGAAAGAAGCAATATGCGAGGAAAAGAAGATCTGGGCTGGTCCGGGCTGAGCTGGGCCGTGATTGCGATGGACAACCTGAACTTGACGTGGAAGTGAATAAAACACAATCGAAGAAGGGTAGGGGGAAAAAAAAATTAAGGATGCACCGCGCACCCCATCTTAGGCCGGTTGTGCCTCATCTCCCCTTGCCCTGACGACCCTCTGGCTGGCTGAGTACCCACGCCGGGCATATCTTCTGCTCGAGGTACGAGACATGGATGATGGTGTAGAAGAGAAAGAAGGACGAGAGCTGATAGAGCGATAGAAGGTGCTTCCTGTACGACGAGTGGGGTTCGAATGGAACCGGAAGAACAGTGTAGAAAAGAGGAGCCGATGCAGTGGTGGTGGACCGGGGAAAAAAAAGGTTGAGTAAGGTACCTGAGGTATCACGGGCTCCGTAGGGTAGGGTCCGTAGGGACTGGGAGGGGGTTACAATAGTTCCGTTGTCTCTTGAAATGCGCTCCTTGGTGGGTAACAACCTGTGGCGAGCCGCGAGGGATGAGAACGACAAACGCAGCAACCCGATGCAATGACGGGACACGCACATTACTGAGCACTTTGAATGCAATATGTAGCCGTTCAGAGAGCGTAAACCAGATAGAGCGTAGCTGGAATATGGAAAAAACCAGCGGCTCTACAAGGGAGCTACTGATATGTGCTAGGTGCCCATTGTAGGTGTTACGTACGTAACCATGCATTGCTTGTGCTAAGAACGGTTAACTAGCAATTTGATCGCCCACGATGCACACTGTGGGGAGGGGCGTTGGAAAAAAACACTGCGAAATAAACATCAAGTCGGTTTTGGCGTGACAGGCTAGCCAGCTCCTCGTGGCACGCAGGGCGCGATTTGGGTCTGCTGAAGTTGCGACGGTGACGGGGCTTCGACGGACTCAAAGACACGTCGTGCGCGCAATGTGTCGTCGAATGGATCGTTATTGGCAATGATACCGCAGTCGTACGCTTCCATGCAGATTGTGAGTTACCATGGTGGATAAGAGGAGGTACGGCACGGGCACCAGATTGCAGCAGCAGGGTACGCGTGGTGAGGTTGACATTGGACGAACATGGACCACCAAGGCTACCTCGCTCGGCGTCGGGAAAGCACCTCAGCGATCCAATGCGGTGGGGAATGGGTGTGCGATCAGAGACATGATCGATCCCACGTCGGTACGGAGTAGGAAAACACGTTTTGTGGCGAGCGCCTCCGCTGCTTGTTGAAACATCCACAGACGAGGAAGACGCAGAGGAAGAAAGCGGGCATCAAAATGCGACGCGGCTGGGTCACGATCAATTGGAAGCTCTTGTGGCTATCGTGTAGCACGGCATATTCGAATCCTCGGGACGATGACGGGTGGGTGGGTGTTCGGGAGCACTAGGCCACGGCACAGAGCTCTGCATGGTGTTGTCGCCCGTCTCCGCGCCTTGAACCGGGCCGTCAAGTCGAGTTGTGCGCTCCGGGGACGATGGTAGGTGGTGTCCGATTCGATTCGTGTGCTCGTGTTGCCCCGATGAACTACCCGCGGCCCTAGACCAAATGATAGGATCAACGTTCGAAGGCCTGGTCACCCGACGCTCAGATTCCCCTTTGCTCTGCGAGATTGATTAAGCGCCTCAACAAACCAATCGGTGCTGCTGCTAGCCGTTTCTCTCGTCCCACCTCGTTCGATCCCAAGGAATTGAAAGAACCGACAGCCATCTTGAGAGGAGATGGTGTATCGAAGGAAAGGTGCTACGGTGCACGCCGGTAGGGTCCGAGTCGAGAATGCGAAGGAAAAAAAAAAAAGCTGGCAACAAAGGCAGTCTCGACGAGGAGTTTGAAGGGAGTTGGTGTGCTCATAAGCCACGCAAGACAGCGACTGGACGCTGGCTGGCGCTGGCTGGCTGAGTGACTGACACATCGGGCATTATCAACAGAGCTTGATCGAAATGGAGGTTGTGTGTCTAAGCTATCCATGTTTCAACGTGGAGTCGGCGACATGGGTAACGTAGCTGGTGTCCAGCAGCAAAAGCAATAAAGATTATCGGAATTAGTATCCATTATTCTCTCTAAAGAGGTGTTGGTAACATGTACAAAGCCGGGTAGAGAAGACAGGTGAGGTCAGGTAGGTTTAGGTACGTACCCATGACTGAACTGCAGATGCGACGATGCGTCTGTGGGCGCTAGGCGAGGCGTTTGTCCCACAGATGCACGCAACTGGAGACATGCAGACAACGAGCATGTAATGTGAAAAGACAAGAAAAGAAAAGATTCTCAAACAAACACAATCAGGAGGCAGCAGGCGGTGGTGGGCTCGCAGATGAAAGACATAACGTACCTAGACATTCGAAAAAAGCCGAAGTACGGATAGAAGAAGGGGAGGAAGATGGGAGGCATCACACACATCGGAAGCACTGGGAAGGTAAGGCAGTACTGAGGTACCTTACCTATCCAGAGGAACACTACATCCCACCCACCAGTCTTTTCGCGATGGCGAATTGTTGATAAGGCAGGAAGGAACAGGCCCAGGACGAAGAGGGGAAGAGATGGTCGTCTGAAATTTTTGGACTTGGCTGGACGCACTTGCATCTACACCCATGTAAAATAAGGTAAGCAGCTAGCCGGGCGGTAGGCGAACGGGACAGGAGAGCCGCGACCCCTGACGCCGATGGCTGGGACCACTCGCAGTCCGCCCCGGTCGCACCTCCCGTTTTTTTCGATGAGCGAGGGGCCCCTGCACTTCTCCCCCGGTCCCTTCCACGTCGGGAACATCGATGTGCAATATATGGGCCCCTCCGGTAGGTACGTGCACGGTACCCATCCCTTTCAGTTAGAAGGAACCCGGAAGGCAAGCACGCAAGGTTTATGGCGGGGAGGTCCTGGCCTTAGGTAAGGCCATTCCCAACTTCCCGTTGGTTCTCCACACTTTCCCGATTAAACGTCACCTCACCTCCTGGCCCTGCCTGCCCAGTCCGCCTTCACCATCGTGACTCCTCCAAACCTGCCGGCACAGACAACAGCCAGACCCGGCCGGGAAAGATGCGAGCAACCTCGTAATACGACCCCAAGTGCTGCAAGCCCAGGGTCACTTTTGAGCAACTCGACGAGTTTTCTTCCCTTTACCGCCCAACCCAATGTTTGTTCCTGTCATCCTTGATAACTCCGGCCGCATGGCGGGAACGAAAATGCGGCGAACCTCGGGAAGAATCTACCTAATTCTTTGTTTTCATTCTTGTTTGCTTTCGAGTAGTCCGTATCGTAATTTCGACTCAACATGTCTTCTATCTGGTGAGGGGGGTTTTCAAGGGTTTCCTTCCTTCTTCCCCACGCCCCCCTCCCCCCATCTCCCTCCATCAAACAAGGCTTGTTCGAGGCCTACCTTACCGACAACCACCTCAGACCTGTACACCCTCAGGGAATGGTATAATCCCTCAGGGACTGGTATACTCCCCCAAGCCAACAGGGAAAACATCAAGTTCAGACCGGATTTCATCCGAGTTGCTTGCCAGACATGTCTTAGTCGACGACACCACACCACATTCCCCATCTCCCATTTCCCATCCCGCCAGTCGCTATCCTCCATCCCGCTGATCCATCATTCAATCTCCCGTCCTCCCCCAGATTGCCACCCGACTATGAAACATTCCGATGTCCCATCGACCGCAACAACATGTCAGTCGGGTCTGGCGCGCGCGTATACACACTTTTCTCTGAATGTGATGTGTATCATTTTCATCTTGTCTTGGATTTTTTTTTAACTTTTTTTTGACAGCACTGGACCGGCCCGCGAACCAGAGATGCATATGAAATCTGATGAAAAGCGGAGTCTGCATTGGGCCGGTGAAGGATTTCTACGAATAGAACTGCGCCAACTCCACACCCTTCGACCGGACACTCGTCTGCAAGGACACCTGCAGGACCCTGTCCAACGGTGCACATGGCGGATCGACACAGCTCGAGCCATTCTCGACCAAGACGATGTGTTCAAGTTTTGCAAACCATAATGCAGTAAAAGATCATGTGCGCGCATCCCCTGGTTGAATCTTCGGTGGGGGGTGCGGGTGGAACACTGCAGTTTCCAAGACGGAATCCTGGGCTCGATAAGTTCTAGCTGTTTCATTCCTCGACTTCAAGCATCTTTGTCTTTGATACGCATCGCCAGCTCTTGTAGGTTCCCAGCATCTCCTAAATGCCGTGGTGCAACATTACGCAAAATACAGGCATTCGCCACAGTCAATCATTGGACATGCACAATCTCGGCAATACGATACGCTGGACGGAACCACCGGATGAGCACAAATACACCAAGTTACTATGGACAACAGCAGAAACAACAAGCCTCGGCTCCTGATCATGTTTTGCCACCCATCGTCATCGTCGTCAACTTTCGTTGAAACCTCCCCCTCTCAATTTTCCTCCCCTGCCCACGAGATGAAGGGAAAGAAGAGTGATGGGAAAGAGCCACCAGTATGCATTCTCCCTCCATTGCCGTCGCCATCGCCCTGTGGAACAAACAGACAGACCGAGGTGGACCTCTACGATTCAAGAGCCCCGGTCGAACGAGAAGAATAAGTAAGTATCAAACGGCCTGCTCGCAAAAAAAAAAAAAAAAGTAAAAAGATGAAAGCATGAGATGAACACCGCCTTCAATGCCAAACCTTTAAAAGCCAATGACTTGTCTTTTGGGCCCTCCCGCATTGCGCCTCTGCACGTCGCTTTAGTGTGTGCACCCCTCCCCAATCCCAGTGAAAAAGATCCAAACGGAAAGTATCGCCCTTCTCCCCCTCATCTCCTGGCGTTCATCCCTCCACCTGCCACCTGCCACCTACCACCTCGATTAATATGCCCACGTTTGGGGCTGCCAGTCTCGCTGGAAGAGCTGGCTGACAAAGAAGTATGGCTGTTCGTACTGGTTGGCTTGTTGAACCTCTTCCCATTCGCGTTCTAGATCAATCGCGTCAGTCATCACTCCCAACTTGTTGGTTGGCCTGTCACACTGCCGATCCAAGGGAGGCCATTGCCATTGAGATACCCAAGTATCTCTCCCGCACACACACAAAAAGTCACACACACAAAAGTACTCCCGTCTCGGTCACAAGGGGGAGGGGGGTTTAGTTCAGGAAACAAGGGCTGCCACTGACTGTTTTGCATTGCCATAGCGCGCGTGTAGTGGATAAACTGCACCGCATCGTCGTCCAGCTGCGCGAGCGTCCGCAAGTCCTGGTCTCTGCAATCCTCGGAAAATGGGTAGATTCCCTTATTGCAGTAGTGGAAGTACGCGAGGAGAATCGTTCCTCCTGTTCGTTTGGCTCGTCAGCATGTCTTACTCAACAAAAAAAAAAAAAAGCCAAACAAATTGGGCCACCGCTGAACATAAAGTAATCGCCCCAGCCAGTTGTTGCGCACTTACCCATGTGGTACTCCTGGACATCCGTCTGTCTTGCAAACTTCGTCTGCCACGACAAATATCACATGTTAGCAAACTCATGCTAAAGTCATTCTTGGGTGCGACCTCCCATCGAGCCGGAGAGCCCGCTCCATCCCGACTCACCTTCATACCGTGCTTCCTTGCGTATGAAGCATCGTGATCCGTCACGAGCGCGATGTTGTGCAGTAACATAAACGTCACCAGGTAGGTGGTCAACCAAGTCTTCTGCTTATTCTGCAGCGTCATCTTTTGGAGCTTTTCCAGCATTTCTCGTCGAAGTCTCGTCTGTATATGCTGGATGAGGACCAAGTCCAGCTGAGCCCCCATCACAGGTGGGAGGGGAATGCGTCCGTGCTGCGGGCTGCTGCTATCCAGAATATCGCGGTCCATTCCGAGTGTGTCGTCCCCAACAATCTCTATCGACTTCGTCGTCAAGCGAACCGCCATCCATAATTCAAGCGTTTGAATCAGAAGCTCCCTCTCATCTTTGGCAGTCAAAGGATCTTGCGAGAGTTTCCAAGCTTTGAGGTAGGTCTCGAAGAGCAGTCGGTCCCGGACACCCATCACACTCTCCACGACCGAGTTGAAGCATTCATCGACACCTCTCTTGATATAATCCTCGTACGCCGTCTGCGCTTCGTCCAGATTCGTGATGGCGTACGTGGGGATCGCCACAGACTTCCTTTCGCCTTCCTCAGTGACCCAGGTCCGTTCCAACTTGTCACCCGGTTGAGGAACGAATTCTCGCACAGAAAGCTGAACCGACATACTGCTCGGCGTGTAACCCTCCCATAAGCGTACGACCCTCACTTCATTGGATGCCCAATTGTTAATGTTGTCTACAATGCCGTTGTTGAAACGCTGGGTCCACTCGAAACCAGGTGCCTGGCCTTTCTTGAAGAAATGGCATTCCGTGATTTTGTGGCGTACACAGGGCTGGCGGACAAGTTGCTTATGATGATTGTTGTTCGATCTTGGTTTGCAGCCTAGACAGGGTCCCTTCGGATCCTCCGGGTCAGTTTTGCACTATCATCGTTTGTTAGCAGTCAGACAAACCACTCCTAACCTATGTGCTACTTACTCTCACTCGTTGCATCTTACATCGGATGCAAGATCCGTTCTTCCTTGTTGCTGCTGTCTCTTCCCGGGCTTTCTGGTCCTTGAAAGGGCCACGCTTTGAAGCTGGCGGACGCTGATTATGGAAAACAACATCAAGGCCGACGCTGACTTGAGTGTTGGCGACAGAACCATCCATATCCTCAGTCTTGACGCAGGACATGGGGAATGCGGGGGGCATAGCATACCCGGCAGTTGTAACGGGCACAGATGCGGGAGTATGCAACGTTGGAGACATGGCCATGCCCATCATGTTACCGCCGTATGTAGGCGGGAGAGTCTCTCTTGGAGTCAGACGACGGTCAATGGTGTTTGGATTAGAGTAACTGGGTTCACCGCCAACATGAACACTGGGTGTTGTGGAATAGAAGGACGCTGCCGAGACGTCGGTTACATAGACGCCGGTGTCAGTCCCGGAGTGTTGAGCAACCATTGTCTGGTTAGGGTCTTCTTGTACAGGTTGATAGCTGGACACATAGGAGCCCAGCAAACTGTTGTCTCCGGCCGGAAATGCATTCTGGTTGTTAGAGACAACTGGCGTAGGGACATAGACATCTGGTTGAGAAACTTGCGCTGAGGGTGGTTTCTCAATCTCATAAGGTCTGTTACTGTTGGTTCCATAGTCATAAGTAGCGGCCTCGGAACCAGGAAGGGGTTGATAACCTGATATTCAGATCAGTAAGAGTAAAACGACCGTTTGGTACGCCGCAGTACATACCATCATTGGTAACAGCACAGGTGCTCCAACAGTTCTGACAAAACGTCAAAGCCAGCGTCTGCATCCCCTGAGTCAATCCATTGACGACAGGACCTGGAAACCCTGACGAACGGTCTAGTTCGACGTTGGCGAGGCCATGTTGCCCAACGTGCGGGGCCTTCTCCTCATAGTCCTCAGAAAGAGTGCCTCCTGTGTACTGAGAAGACATGGAGTAGCCTGATACGAGCCGTTGCCTCTTGTGGGCGTTTTCTATTTGCGAGGTGTTGGAAAGGATTTGGTGAAGTCGGAAACCTGGAATGTTGTATAGGTCCGCGACTTGGTTGATTAGGATTTGGGTCTCGGGATGAAGGGTAGAGAAGTGTATATTGGCATATGAAGAAGGCGAAGGGCTGTGATGTCCCGGCACTATAGAAGAGTCGTCTTCGGGGCCGGGAACCCGGCGCTTTCTGAGATGATTGTGATTCTAAGATGAAATCAATCCACGCACATTCAAGGTGCAATAGGGCAGAGGGGGGGATGGGATTGATGAGCAAACGGGAACAGCTAGGGCTAACAAAGATATAAGGGAACAATGTGTGTGCAATGATGCGGGTGCTGGGACAGCGGCTGGGCTCGAATGACATTGGGGAAGATCGGTGATATATCCCATGCACGCTGCCGCCAGCCGGGAAGCAGGGACATCTCTTACCATGATTGATGCAACGAGAGAGGGTGTGTTGGACAAAGCCTAGTAGCGAGACCAAGTACCACAATCTGTGGCCTGTATAAGGTATACGGCAGAGACAAGCAGCAAGCAGGAGTGAGCAGGCACAGCGAAGCACAAGGGGAGCGTAGAAAATTGCGCCTCACCGGGAGGGGGTGGGGGAGGGAGCTACGGTCTCACGAGAGCCATTGCCACATAATGGCACCCCTTGTGCGCGAGTGGAGTACAGGAGAGAGGGTATGGTAGGGGAAAGGAAAGGAGGGTTGATGACTCGGCTAGGAACGAAAGGCGGAGGAAGAACTACTCGGCGTAGAATACAGAGGAGTGCAAATGGAGGTAGGGAGTCAGGCTAAAATGCCGTTGTGAAGAGAGACAGACAGGCCTGCTTGACAGCATACACTCGGCCGAAACTGGGGGGGATGAACCAAAGGAAAAGACGGCAAGTCCTGCTGCTGCTGCGTGCGTGTGCGTGCTTGTGCTTGGAGGTATGCGTATGCCGCTCTGCTTTTTTTTTTCTTTCCCTCTCTCTTTTTTTCTCAGAGGGAGTACTCCGGCTGCCGCTGTCTCTCTCTCAGTCGGTTTCTGCAGCCGTTGCTCCTCGTCCTTGACGGATGTCGCAGATGCTGCTGGCCGTGGTCTGAGCCTAGTCGCCTGGATGTTTCGCCCGTCCGGCGCGAACTTGAGAGCTGTCGTTCTCGTTGTTTGCTTTGTGCGATGTTTCCTCCGGTGGAGCACAGCGTTGCGCGCGCTGGCAGGCTAGAATCAGAGAGCGTGCCGATAGAGACTCTGGTACTGGCGATTGGCGTATCCTGTGCTGGTCGGTCGGTCGGTCAGTTCGAAGGAGTCGAGGCTGAAGTGAGAAGACTCGGTGAGAGGAAAGTTGAGGAAGTGGGCTGCACCCGTGCTGAATTGTATTTCACCGGTCTGAGGGGTACTCATGAGAGGACAGGGGTTCTTGAGACCACGCCACGCGAGAAGAGGAGCCGAGCATCTTCCCGCCCCTGCCGAGTGGATGGATTTCAGGCTGCCCGTCTGATGGGAATAAGGCGACAGGGGTGGTGGAGAGAACACTATGGAACCGACTGTTGTGAGCGCTGCTGATCCTGTTTCTGGCCTTCACTTCCGCCTCTTTTTGTGTAACCAGCAGGTGCCATTTGCTTCGTCTGCATGGAAGAGCCAAGCGTTAGGCCAATCAAGTGCCGGGAAACTTCTGATGCTGGACCTGCTGATGCTTCTGACTGTTGCTCACGGCGAAGGTTGTTACGATTCCCAGCCAACGATTGCAAATGCCGCTACGGAGTACAACTTCACACATTGGTGATCGGTTGGTCTCGGGAGGCGGATGCAGGCCCAAGGCTATCCTGTCTACTGTCTGGCCGAGATGTGGATTTGGATGCGTGTGCTTACGTGAAGCGTCCTGAAAGATCTCACGCGGGCGACGACGTGATCCAAGACTGGGAGTCATCATATTTCCATCGCCCGGCTAGCAACGTGCGCCATGCTACCAAAAGGCCGAGGCAACCAACCACCACGCGTGCGGCCGCAACCCCCCGGATTTGGCTCCCTAATCGCCTCTTTTGCCAATATGACCTCCGCGCTTCTCGACGTTCCATCGAAAAGCGCCACGGTCCCGAGAGTCTGACACCCTTTGCCTGCCTACCCTCGTTTAGTTAGATCGCTCGAGCAGCCTGCAAGTCTAGGGATGCGTGTACGGAGTATGCGTGAGGTAGCTAAGAGCAGCCTCGTCGTTATTTTCCTCTGACAATGCGTCTCCAACCCGATCCAGAGGTCGTCACCGCTTTTCCAGGAGTGAGACTACTTCAAGAAAGCTGATGAACATGTGCTGGGCCCAGCCGACTTTCTGTGCCGTCTCTGAATATGAATGGGATGAACAATGACGGAGAATGCGGCCCGCGAAAGGGGCCAGTAAAAGATTTCGGGAGAAGAACTTCGATTTCGTTCTGGGTCGTCAACAGCCCAGTTGGCTCAAACTACCATGTAATTGGTCCGTTTGAAAATCTGTCAGTCGATCGATCAGTCGATTCAGCCTGTAGCTTGCACATGATTGAGTGAAATTAACATCTTCAGCTTTTGACGATGATGTAGCTGCTCTGCCCCAGTAACCGGGTGTACGTCCAACGCCACGGTCTGACCTGACTAGGTCTGGCCGTACTGTTGGGCCGTCCTTCGGAGCGCCGGTAAAGGAACCTGCCGGCTGTCAGAAAGTGAAGCATGCAGCAGAATACGCACTTCCGGCAGCCCCATGTCTGCTCAAAAGGGGCTTGACCGCCTTTAACCACCCCGCAGCCCCTGGTCCTGGCGTGTTGCCCGAGGCGGGTTGTCGTTGGAAAGAGGGAATTCCCATGAGATCCGCTCACGAACAGCCAATGTTGAAGACTCGTTACCATTACGAAACTGCAAGCATACCCGCAGTCGCAGGAAGTCGACGGCCGCACGGCTTCTTGACCGCGAAAAGACGATCCCGCCCTAGCAGCCGTAGGTCAAAAGGGTGCATTGCGTGCGGGCCCTGCGAATTGGTGTCCCGGCTGAGAGCAAACTTTTGACATTCATCTCAAGAAAATCTGTCGGTCAACAGATTTGGCCATTTCACAGGTAAAAGCGTCTGTGGAAAGCAAAGCCCTGCATGCGCGGGCGTCACCAACGATGGCAGCCTATGTCGATGCAGCTGATGAGGTCAGGGAACCCTCCACTAATGGTCTCGTATCAAATCAACGTCCGACGTTCCTCTGCAGGTCGCCGTGCCAGTCGAGTGAGGCGAAGTGAAGTAAGAGCGTTGCGAGATGGCCGCACGGAGCGGAAGTGTATATGTTGGATCCCTGAACCAGGCCTTGGTGATTGTGAGATGCACAAAATCGGCCTGCCAACAACGAACACGGTTGCAATATGCTGCTCCAGAGCAGGCATGGACGACGAGGAATACCGCATTCTGGTGGGACGCAGGAGACCGTGGACAGTTTAAGCTCAAATGGGCAACCGGTGAGTCGGGAGCCTCGCTTGTGGATGGTCGCTCGACAGACCAAAGACTCGACCCGTGGAACTGTGTGGATTCATCCCGGCAAGGCCAGGCGATAGCCAAGTGAAATTATGTCCCGTGGCATGCCCCCAAACCCAGAACCCCAGCGCTGTTCCGTCCTGCCCAATTCCGTCGGAGGTTGCCAGTCATTGGATTGTCTAGCTCTGCCTCGTACAATGCTTTGATGCTCAACCTTGTATCCATACTTTGGTCGGGTGCCACAATGTCGAGTCCCCGGGCTGCAGCTAGAGCGGTGGTGATTCGTGAATAGGGTGTGCTGGCCTCTTACAGCCCAGACAGTCCGATGACGATTGTGGATTGACAAATGATGACTGTTGGACTAGAGAAAATTTTGCTGGAACCTTTTATTTATTTACCGAGATTTCGTTAGGTTGCCTCGCAGGCTAATTCAGATACTACGAGAGCAACAAACTTCCAACGGATCGCAGAACTAATCGGGGCGACATTTGTCATTGCGTAAGACGAGCATAGTGATCCATTTCTCTGCCGATTCTTGAGATCTGCTGGGCACTAGTTTTGGACAAGTCAGGTTGCAATGCGCTAGCATGCGATCGTGTCCGAACGGGCGGGGAGAGTTTTTCGGGTAGGCGGACATGACTACAGATTGTGTTAGTGAAATCCGCGCGGACTTGGTTTTTGGTTGAGTCGGTTCAAACCTAGCTATCGAGTCCTTTTCAGCATCCCATAATAGTACATGAAGCGGCTGCGCATGCATGCTCCGGTGATTACGGAAGAGGTCCCGTTGCTCTAGTCCCCGGCGGAACAAGGACAACCTTGCACATCGGTCAAGTCCAGGGGCCGAGCTGGCGGACGGGAGACTCAGGTACTAGCATCGGCCCATGGAGTGGATGTATCCGCCCGGTGAGGAAGAACATCGGAGACTGCAATGTATGCCAATCGCAGATTTGTGCAGAACTGAGCAGCAAAGCAAAGCAAAGGCTGACTTTGTTGGTCTTGGTCTAGCGATTCGTGGCGCTCAGTCATTTGCTTGAGTATGATTGGCAAGGAAATACCTCAGTAAGTAAGCTGCGGAACGGTGAGCCTTGTCGGCCCCCAGCGAAGAGCGGCTTCTGGCCGAGATGCAGCTCGGCGGCCACAGCATCGTTGGAAATAGCCCGGACCTTCATCCATTCGATCAATTCTGGATAAAATGTTGAGAGGTCTACATGGATGACGTTTGCGAGGTCGGTCGACGCCTTTCGACCTTGCCCTCATGGAATCTCACTGCTGTTCCCTGGGGGTTGAACGTAGTGGTGGGCCGGAGGATACTCCGGAGGTTATGACAAAGTCGCATCGAGCATCGGCGGCAATGCAACCCACTTCGCGGTCAAGGTGACCCCCAAGGACGAGGATGGGACTGCCGGCGCTGGCCAGAAGGTCCAGAAGCCACCCCTCGCAGAGATGCGAGCCAACGACGCTGAGAGAAGCGGACGTGTGGTGTGGTGGATTGACAGCATGCAGCGAGAAAATAGCACCTAGGGGTGCAAGAATCGAAAGTAGGAAGTGTTGAGGTTTGCCGCGACTGGGGACGTGAGGTGCGGGAGGCAGCTACTAGTACCGATATAAAGGCGAGGAATGGAAGGGAGCTTCGTCTCCGCTCTCAGGTACGGCGCCGATTTCGTCACGTGGAGTGCATCCCGGGTCGGGTGGTCCGAATGCAAAGTCAAAGCTTCATGTGCCGAGCGACACGTCCAAGGCTCAGGTTCTTCATCCGACCGGCCGAGAAGGACGGGGACATCGGTGTGTGCTCAGGCCTTTTCTATCGTCGATGCCGGGAGGCCGGTGTTGAGTTAAGGTTGAACCAACGACTCACCGTAGAAGAGATCATGAGAGAATCTGATTCCAGGAGAAAAAGATGTTTGTGCTTACAGTATTATTTGCACCTAGAGGGATTGTGAGATGCCGAGTCACGACGCTTTCGGACAAAGAATTCGTTCTTGCCTGAGGTAAGGTGAAGTCGATACCTTGATGCCTCGAAGTATCTTATCTAAAAGGTATACCCGCAGGACATGGAAGGAGGCAAGCAATTGAAGTAAGGTAAGGTAAGGTAGGTAGGTAGGTGTCAGTGCGCCTTCATCACTGTGAGCAACCTGGAAGTGGCAGGACAGCAAAATTGACGGGTAGGTAAGCAAGCACGTAAGGTACCTTCTCCCTCGTGTTGCTTCTTGGATTCCACCCAAGATGCAAGCACGTTTCAATCCTCAAGTAGTGGAGGCAAGGACCGTCCCGTCCCTTCCTACCTTAAGGTACCTCACCTCACCTCACCTGCGACCTAACCATCTTGGATTCCTTGCCTTCAATCGGGTGCCTTAGGTTCCCTTCAATTGGGCTGTTCCATTTGCTTCCACCGCATTGGCTTACCATAATGAGGAAAGACCTCCATAAGGTGACTGCATTGTCAACTTGATTTGGATTGAGCAAATCCCGACTCCCAAACCACCATAGCAACTGCCCCGCAAGCATTCTACATTTGCTGATATATGACCAAGTTACGCATCCTTCCGTCTGCTCAGACGATTTCTGACTGACCGAGAGGCACGAGAAGTACCCTCCTCGACGCACCTACCTTACCTTCGGATACCTCGCCTGTCTTATCCGTACATTGACTCGATGTACGAAGCGAGATGCCTACACTTTCCACTTTCGCTAGTCAAGCAGAGAGAGCGCATTCAACAATATTACTTCTTGAGATCTGCACCGAGGCAAGTTGCATCAACACTTAGGTCCTGCTGCCCTTTGCTTATTTCCTGCATTCTGCAAACCTCCCGTTCTGACCATGTTTGCACTTACTTTAGGAAAGCTTGCGGCTGCCAGCTTCTAAGTTTCAGCTGAGCGTATAGCCAGAGCCATCCATCACCTTTCCAATCACTCAAAGGCTGGATAATCTGATACGATCTGCATCGAATGCCTCTCCTCTACTTAGGTATTTGCCCGGTTTCTTACTAGGCATTTGTCCAGCCACGTAGTTAAGCCGGTCCCACGTCCATACCTAGGTACTCCCGACGGGAGCAACAGCCTTCCCCGCGACCGCGACCGAGACAATGTCGATCTCAGCTGCGGCATATTGCCTTAATGTCTTACAAAAACGGCTGGCCGCGGCTCGACGTCGAGGCAAATCGCAAGGGAAAAGAAACAATGGTGTTGGAGAGGCTGCCGGGCCGAGGCAGTGTCGAAGAGAAAAAGAAACCACGAAGCGGCCTCTTGTCCCCCGAGTTCCGTTGCCTGCCTGCCCAGCTGAGCACAGCACCTTCCAAGCTCACACACGCACGCGTGTCTTACCGTCTGCTTGTTCGCCTTACACTACTTCAGGATGGATACAGAAGCAGCGATTCCCAGTAGATAGGTACGCTTTCCCACCTTCCTTTGCGTACCTAAACCAGGGCTTCCTGCCTCTATCAAAAGTCCACCCGTGACCTGCCTTACCTACCTAAGCAAGGCAGACAAGGCAGGAAGCCGCAACGGCTCTGGCCAAGCAGATCGACGGGAGTCCAACTAGTGCGGCTCGCGGACAAGGAAGCTGCCTAGGGTGGGCACTGTCACTTCTCAGTAGGCAGAAATCCAGGTTGCAGATTTGCGAGGTGACATCGCCATTCGCAACCCCCCCCCCCCCCCCCCCTTC